TGATCGAAGGATGCACATCCCTGCTCGGATCGGACTAGAGGACGAAAGAGGGAGCAGATCCTCGTGCGATTGGGCTGTGGCTGGCGTGCAGATCGCAGGGCCGGGCGTTTCCGCCGCAGATCACACATCGGAAGTTTTGGTCAGCCAATTATAGAGAGGCTCGCTAAAACCAACTCTATTTGTCGGGCTCGGCTGAGTTGAACGATCACCCAAGGCAGCAACTATTAACGTTGTGGACAACTCCTCTATACTCTGCTCCGTAGCAGTACCGTACCCAGTCTAGGATTATTGCTATGCATTTGCATCATAGTGATGCACTCGAGTAAATGAATGCGCTGTCCGCCCCTTCACTGACGGATCGACACAGCGCCTCATCGCTCATCGGCGTTGGGGGGTGCAGGGCCGGGCGACTGATTGGCCTGACATTCTACGATTCCAGCCGCGCAGCATGTTGTCCCTACCTGCCATTCAGCTGAGCGAGTCGAACACCATGGCAGAGGGAAAGGAAGTGGGAACGACGCGATGGGATGGCCGCATGTTTGGCGGAGCATACAGTTACACTTTGGCCTGGCCGGGGTTGAGGTGGATCTGATGTGCGTGCATCCTATGGATGTACAGTGGGTGTAGGATGTAGCTGAAAGTCTACTTTGCAGCACGATGCTCCGTATTACGCTGAATTAATCCACCGCCCCTCCTCTTCGCTTCCCCTTCTTTCGGTATTCGCTGCTCCGAATATGACGCATGAGCATAAGCAAGAAAGCAAGAACGTTGGACCGCCGGTCGTGGCAGGGATGGTTGCCTCGATCCCGGCCCTCGAGGGTAAACAGGCCCTATGCCGCTGCGAACGGACACGCGGACTGATCGTGGCTGGCCCAATTCTGCTATCCTGCCTGCCCAGCCTTGTTCTGCCCCGGCCCCCTCCAGCGAGCGTTGTATTATTCCCCGATTGACGCCGAAAGTCTTGGAGAGGGATTAATCCCTCGCCTACCCCTGTTCCTTTCATCCTTTGGAGTCTGAGTCCCCAGCGGGTGTGGGGGGTGCGTAATTGATTGATTGACTCGGTTGACTCCGCGCCTAAGCGGTGCACATCACCATCCCGGGGAGTTAAGAACGCGGGCCCTTCCTTGCAGACATAAGCGTGGCGGAGTTAACGAATGACGAGCGCGGCGCGAAAGGTTTCAATTCAAAACAAAGGAGACCAGCGTCCGATGATTTGCATCCAATGCGGTGCGGGAGCCTCTAGAGCTCTACTATACAGAGTTAGGGGCTCCGACGGCAGCGTGGGATTTTGTGCCCTCCCCTCCCCCCAAACCCTTGTCAATATTCCACCAGCACAGACCCTCGCTCGAGTCATACTGTACATATTTTTGTGTCTAACGGCTGGTTCGTGTCTGATGGGGCTGACTACTGTACTACTAGTGCTAGTTAGTTAGTGACAAGCGAAGCAGTAAGCACCTCATCATCGGGGGGTTATGTGGTACTGCAGATACTTTGTGTTCAGATCCGATCTCAGCGTCGCACGGCGCATCGCTTCGCTCGATCTCGGGGCCTGATGATACGTATGTATGGTACATGTACATATTCAGATCTGGACGACCAGGTGACAACCTCCTTGTGTTGTTCGCTGGCACGGTCAGCCTGACCTGATTTGTGTGCTGGGCTGGGGGAGCCAGGGCTGCAGACGCGCTAGAATATTATTACCCAGGGATGCAACCCCAGGGGCAGGAGGGCCATGGAGGCTGGATGGATACTTGCTATGGGAATGGGATACACATCCCAATAGACTCACGGGAAAAACAAAAACCACCATTGCCGGCCATGCAAACCTAACCTCCCCCCGTGATCTGAGTGATATTCACTCAGATCTTCAAGGATCTGCCATTAGTGTCCACTAAGGGGTGCCACGTCCGATACTATTGCGAGGGACAGTAATAATAGTTAGCTTCCGGAACAGAACAAGGAAACATCCCCAAAACAGGAACCTGGAGATCAATAATGATCACGTTCTTGCTCCTGTCCGGGGACATAACGGTACTGCCCAGCGTATCCATCCATCAACAGCACCGTGCCCTCTGCTACCTGCTGTGCCCGGAGAGGATCGTCGGAGCGATCTACGTGATCCATCTGAAGTGTTTGCGTCTGCAGTCCAAAACCGCATTTCCATCCATCTCATCCCCCTTCGCTTCGGCAAGTGGACATGGCCGAACTGTATGTACTGTACATCAATTGCTCAGGATCAGATCCTCCTCCCCGGCCCCCCTCCACCATCATCATCCATCCACCTCCTGCAATGCACGATGCAGGATGCCTGCAGACCATTATCCTGGGAGGGTCCAAAGCCACGATACGAAGCCCAATACGCAGCGCCAAGATGACTGGACGCCTGGAAGGAACATGGGGCCTTGATTAATTGGGGCAGTAGAACTACGTAGTGGGCGGCTATAGATGGCGTGCTGTGACTACGGAGGCATGCAAGGAAAAATAAACCAAAAACGAGGCTTGAAACGCATGCGCTGCGATCCTGGTCACGCACATCTCCTGGGCCGGGGGGTGACTAGGATACCAAACCCACCCTGTTTTGCCTTTCGGGATTTGCTTTGCTCTGGTAAACACGACAAACACAGCGAAACCCAAAATGAAAAGACCAGAAAAAGGCAAAGTCGGAGAAGAAGTCCGGTGGCTGCTTTAGAAGCTCTTCGAAAGCGAGGCGTCCAGTCTACGTAACTATATCGAGTGTAGCTTTGTCGTGTCTACACGAAAAAGGCAAGACCCTACCCAAATAATAGACACTGAAACAGCCTCCTCGCCAAAGTCTAAAGCCTCGAAGCCAAAAATCCGAGGGACCTCCCTAACACGGTAAGGCGTCAACGCCCTCCGCAGACGCCCGCGGCGATAGGCCAATCGCCATGCGCACCAGGCCGATCATTGCACGGGGTTTATACCCAGGTTGGCAAGGCGCACTCGGTTGCATCCCGGCGCCTGATCGACTGGCGGCCTCGAGTCAGTAGCGTTGGACTGACGAACAGGTCGTGTTTCACCATGCCCTGCCCTCCCTGCCCGGAGTTAAGAGCATCGGACTCTACCGAGGACGGCGGCCAACCGCCCCACTTGTTGGTGGTCCCGACACGTTGGACGCGAGAATCCTAGATCTGCTGGGATCGGACCTGCCTGTTTTTGTTTTGGCTTTGGTTTTCGGCATGCGATGGATAGAGTGTACCGCTCAGAGAAAAAAGGGTTTGAGTTAGAACCCCAGTTATTTAACTTAGGTTTTTGGGAATAAAATGAAGATGTGTTACATTGGAACCTTCGCTGATGGCAAGGCACCTTACATTGTAAAAAGAAAAAATAAGCGAAAGATGACCAACATAATATAATCAGGAATCTAGAACGAGGCTGGGTAGGAATGGGGCTGAGATGTCAGGTTTGTTTGCCTGAGGCACCCCGGAGAACGGCATCGGGGCAACTGCCAAAACGGTGGTCGCTTAGCGTAGCGGCCGATCATGGGAGCTATGGCCAAGTGCGGTGCATCCCCTGACGCTGTATTGCATCAACCGGACAGAAGGATTCAGGTATTGTCTAGTCGATGATACAATCTAGGGGTGTTGCACGAGGCGGCGTGGCTGATGTGATCTATCTATATCGTGGGAATAACGGTGTGTCGGTAGAGAAGATTTTGAAGCACGTCTATTAATATGCAAGTGCCATGTGTTCGTCAACTTGTGACGCAAGGGATGCTCCACATGTGATATTAATAAAAGAAAAAGAAAATCATAAAATAGGGGCGAAAATGGACACCTCGCGTGGCTGTTTTGCCTGCCACGCGAACCCGAGCCCGGGGGGTTGGGGCACAGCCGGACCATTGGACAAAAGCGGACGTAGTGCGGATCCTCCCAGCCAGCGATGGCGGGAAACACATTTGCCGGGTTACACATTGAAAAGTATATTCACCAATGACGGCATCCCGGATGACCTGACCCCGATCGGCGCGTTCTGGAACGCTCAAAACCGGTGGTCCAGGAGGCAGATCGTGGTCCCACGCTCATTAGCCGAGCCACTCGTAGCCAGAGCCGGACCCGGCAGTCTGTTTCTTCTGTGTAGCTAGTGCACGGAGCAGGAGATCAAATCGAGACAAGGGCCAACGGTTACGAATGATCGGCGGATCACTGATTTCAGCCTGAAAGGGGAGATCTTCAGGAGCAGGGTCTGATCTACGATCGGGGCATCGGGACCTTCTCGAATAGTATAGGGACCTTCTTCAATAAGGGACCTTCTTGAATAGGCGAGATTGTCATCCTCCGCACTAGGACACTCCTATGTGCCCCTCCCCCCAGGCTGACCATCTCTACCCTGCGATTCTCTATTCTCTCCTCTAACCAACACTCCCACATATACTTTATTTGTGCCCCCTAAGCGAACGCATCCATGGATCGACCAACGTGGTCTCGCCCTGTTCCGCCACCCCGTCATCCGCCCCCCAGGCGGACCTTCTGCCATTTCTGGTTAGTGCTATGATTGACCTTCCTGTTCCGGGTTTTAATAATTTTTGAGTTCCCCTTTGGTCGAGGTCACTGCCCGATTCTCATTGGTCCCGAGCCATTTGTCCTCCTAGGATCCTCTCCTGTCCGCTTCCCTGTCTCTTCCCTACCATGTCTTCCCACCGATCTGCACTAAGCCAACCTCGCGTGGACAACGATCCACCGGCTTAATCTCCGACATCATTTCATTTAAGCTTTCGAACGGACTGTCTCAAACATTGTACGGCGTAATTACAGTCGGCATCGCCCGCAGTCCTCGGCTCTGGCGATCATCCAGCCCATTATTATTCTATTATTCTCCCCGGGGAATGGCACCCACCCACACACATATCGATCGGCGGCCGCCCCCCGTAGTACTTGGTTCTCTGGTAGTATAAACCTCGTGTCTCGCCCGTTTTTCCCTCTCTTCTCTCGATTTTTGCCTCCCTTGTCCCCCAACCCAGCAATACCATCATCTCCAGAATAATGGATCTTGCAAATCTCCTCTCAGCCCCGAAACCGGCGGCTCTGATCACACCGGCCTATACGCCTGCCTCTTCGTATACCCCATCCACTGGCAGCTACTTTCCTCCCACCACCACCCCAGCACAGAAGCGTTCGCCCCCTCAACAGCCCCCAATGTCTCCGCCAGTCGACGAGCAGCAACCAAAATCCAAGTGCTCGCTCCCCTCCATCTCGACTCTGCTCGAGAAGGCAGATGGCCAGCACGCTGCCAGTTCGTACTCCCCTAACCAAAAAAGCCCAATCCAACCCACATCCTAACCCCGTCCAGAGCGTCAACGCCTCAGCCCCCCAACACAAGCCGTCCGTTTAGGCCGCTCGCAGTCCTATGACGTCTGCCTGCCCCCAACGCCGCCAATGCGGCCTGGCTCCGGCATCAGAAGCCACAGCCACTCGCCTGGCGATCTAGCCCTGAACTTGAAGCAGGAGTCGCAGCACCGCCAACCACCCTCCGAGCGCTCCTCTATCTCCAGCCAGGCCTCATCGACTCACCACGCCGCCACCGCTGCAGGTGCATATGCCTCGCCTGCACCGAGCGTCTCCTCGTACACATCGCCCGTTGATGGCCCACCCCAAGGCGCGGGAATGTATTACCCGCGGCCACCGGCAACAGCAACCTTCCAGCCCGTCGTCACCACCGGCCCGGCGCCGGCACTGTCACGGCAAATGCCAATGGCAATGCCTCTCTCCCAACCGCCGCAATCCTCCAACTCCTCGGCTACTACTGGCGTCATCTCCCCCGGCACACCTGCCTGGCAACACCACCACTACTTCCCTCCCTCCAGCAGCGCGCCCTACCAGCAGACCCACGACCGCTACATCTGCCGCACATGCCACAAGGCATTCTCGCGCCCTTCCTCGCTGCGCATCCACTCCCACTCTCACACTGGCGAGAAGCCCTTCCAGTGCACGCATGCTGGGTGCGGCAAGGCGTTCAGTGTGCGCTCCAACATGAAGCGTCATGAGCGCGGATGTCATTCTGGGAGACCTGTTACTGTTGCTGGTTCCGTGGCGCAGCCACTTGTTGTTTGATTGATTTTTGATGTATATTGTTTATCCGTCTGTCTCGATGGATGGATAGATGGCGTTTTGTTTTGGTTGTGAGATGTGATACCCTGGATCCGGTGTCGGTTTTGCTTTGTTTCTATAGAGATGGATGATGGACGGAAGACTTGCTACGACTGTGCCATATCATACCACTTACATGAATCACTCATGAACTACAAATATAAATCAATAAAATAAATATTTAGTCTTATCTTCCGTTCCATTTGTTTATATTCTATCGTCTATGTAGCTTGCGTTGCCTTGTTCGTAACTAGTGAGCGTAGTGGTGAATTAAGTAAATACTCCTCCAACATTAAATCCGGGGATATATATCTTGCCCAACCAACCCTCTTGTTCCTTGCCTGTATTGTATCCCCCGTAACGCCATATATCCAGACCAAAAGCAAATAGTGGAATCCACCCTCTATCGAGAAATACCCCCCCAACCCTGACCGAACATCACTCATCAATGACCCCCCTCGACACCGCCGCCAGACTAGTCTCATACCTCGCCGGGTTATGGTCACTCAGCATCCCCGCCGAAAAGCGCAACTCACCAAACCAAGCCTCGACATCGCGGACAAACCGCATCTGCACCCTCGTTGCCGGGCGCCCCAGACGCGGATACGCATCGGATACCCCGGCCTCCGAGAAGGAGGAGTTCTCCACGAAAGCATCGCGCTGGAGAACACGCATAGTCTGCACAACAAAGACCTCCCCGGGGGGAACAAGTTTCGGCGCAGTCATCTGGTCACGCAGCAACTGCAGCGTCTTCCACGCCCACGCATCCTCGCCAACGCCCTCGCCGGCATTGATCACCAGCGGCGGCTGGTTAACGTAGAATTTGTGGACGATGCTTTGGCGCAGACTTTCGCGCAGCCGCTGGCTCACGTGCGTGCGTGCGCCGGACACGTTGCCGCTTTTGAAGGACATTGCCGCGCTGTGCATGTCGTGCACGATCCCTAGGGAGAGACTCGGGACGGAGTCGGCGCCGTTTACTATTGTTGTGATTAGGCCGCGTGTTGCGAGGCGGAGGAAGGGGGACATCACGGCTGGTGGGCCGTAGGCGTAGACGTGGATTGGGCGGTTGGGGGGCAGGGAGTAGGATGGGGCGTTCGCATTCGGCGGCGACGACGGAGAGTCATCGGGTGCTAAGAGCGGTGGTCCGCGTGCAGCTTCGTACGAAGCCGTGACGAATGACGTCCCGCCGATAGCGGTGTTAGGCTTGGAGATCATAGTAGCCAAAAGGGCAGCAACACCGCCGCCGAGCGAGTGGCCGCACAGCACGACGCCGTAGTTCGGGAATTCCTCGAGCGCAGCGCGGAGGGTGATCATAACGCGCGCGCCGCCGCCCTCAAGCAGCCGGCGGGCGGACGCGTGCATGCCCTTGTGCACTTTCCAAGTCCTGCCTTGCCAGTCAAGCTCGTCGTAGTCGCATGTCATGTCTGTGAGGATGTCCTCGAAACCCCACGTGCCGCGAAGCGTTAGCACCACGGCCTTTGACTCGTGGTCTATGCAGAGGTAGTGGACGAGTGGGAAGCCTGTTTCTGTTTCGCCGGCTGCGTTGGAGCCGCCGGCGGGATCGACGAAGGATGATAGTAGGATTGTCGATGGGGGGAGACCGGCATGATCCGAGAAAGCGCTGTGCTCGTGGGTATCGGAAGGCTCAGATGACGAAGGTGCAGGTGGAGGAGGTAGGCTCTTGGTGCTGCCTTTCGGGACACCCATAACCTTCAACGCATTCGACCCATATGAAGCCGACGAAAACCGACAGAAACGGCGGATATTCTGCACGAAATGCCGTTCGGGAAAGATACCAGGCACATAGCCGTCGCGATTGAGCGCGTGGATAGTCTCCATATCCTCGTACGCGCTCTTGCGCGGCCGATGTGCAAGTACCAGCGATGTTTCGGATCCCGCCGTTGCCAGGGAGTACATGCTAGGCGTGTAAGAGTGCGATCTGCTGTGCAGCGCCGATGAGCTGGGCCGGTAATCTGTCGCAGAGACGGTAGTGTCCGCCTCGGACCGCGCCACGGACATGGAGCTGCTGCTGCGAACGTGCTTTCGAGTCGTGGCAGGCGAGCCAGGAGGTCGATCTGTCCGGCGTGAGTACGTGTCTGTCTGAGTGACGAGTGATTCTTGGCTTCGCTCCCGCATGGCATAGTAATTGGGCCTGATATTTCCGCGGTGATGCGCATCACGCGACGGAGCGTGTCTGGTCTGTGCCTGTTGTGGAGAATGAGTCTGCCTCGGAGAGGGATGAGGCAGCGGTGTCCTGGGGAGACCTCGATTGGGCGCTGGTGTAGATGGTCGTCGAGGCTCGGGTCTGGAGCCAGGCTCGCGCGCAGTGGCTTCTTTCACCGCGCCCGCCCCCTTTACAGGCCGTGTAGTTGGGCGGGAGCTGGTAGTTCGAGAGGATTCGGAGGGTTTGGGCGGTTTTTTCAATGGTGGCGGCCGTTTGGGACCCTCGTTCTTCTCTGCTGGTTTGACCCTCTGTGCGAATTTGGTGAACGAGCTCTTGGCGGATTTGGCATTCGTTGGCGCTGCTTCGGGAGAAACTTGGTTGCGCACCCCCTGTGGTGTTCCGTTTGATACCGCAGGAGGAGGCCGTGTTATTGTGTGCTGATTTCCTGGGGGAAGTGCTTTCGGACCAGGCTCATACTGTGACGGGTTGGCATCGTATGGGCGTAGCTGTGTACTTTGGGATCTATTGAATGCCGTCCGGAAGACCATGGTATGTTTCGGAAGCCGCTGGTACTCCGGTGTATTGGTGTTGGCATACCCATCATCATTGTGGAACCTCTCCTCGATCATCGTGGTCCCAGGCGGCGCAGCGATTTCCGCCATGTCGTCGTCGAAGATATCCACCGTGATAGTTCGCGCAGTCAGCACTTCAGACCTCACAGAGGCATGGCATCCAGCAGGGAGCTGGCTCATCACGTATGCGCGGATGTCCTCATCTGATGCCGGCTGTTGGCCGTCCAAGGGGAATGATAGACGCTTTCCGCCAATGCTCTCAGCTATGCTGGATCGACGGTGTACGGCACCAAAGGGCTCGTCGCCTTTCCCCGGCATAACGAAGGAAGCGGCGCTGGAGGGCTCTGGAGGTAATTCGTCATGTCTCGTATCTGCGAGCTGCACCTGGTGTGTCCCCACGACATCGGCTCGTGCGCCATTGTCCAGAATGACGACGTCCCAGATGATCTCATCTCCGCCGTTCTCGCGGAGACGTCGCTCTGTATTCTTCTTGCCCCAGCGCTGCAAGAGCGCAAACCCAATGGTGCCGATCAAGAGATCACTCACGCCAATCTTCTCAGCACTGGCGCCTGGTTCGACGGACCTAAACTCGCGCCGGATGAGCGTGATAATGGCCGCGATAGCCCTGGAGGACTCTGTGGACCCGAGAATAGCGTCGAGCGTCGATAGCAGCGCCTGTGAGAAATTGACGACGGAAGACAACGTGGTCGACGAGAAGTGGAAGGTCGCCGCAGCGAAGAACGATGCGGAGGTAACGGTCGTGTGGAGTGTCGCCAGCTATGTATGTAGTTGTTAGCAGGGAGCGCCATGCGATCAAATGCCGACTCAATCAAAACGCGACTTACACTGCGTTCTAGAAGCGATTCCGCCTCGGCGCGGCCATGCTCATCGCCGCAGCGCGCGGCTACGTCACGCCCAGCCCTAGTCAGGATGCCCTCGATGACCGCTCGGCTCAACTCCAGGCTTGTCAGCGTGGTTGTACGCGCGCTATCTAACGCGAAACCACCGACAAATGTCCCTAGGCGCAGCGAGAGCGATGTCGATTGCGTCAGCAGCGAGATGAGCGACGCTACAGGGCGTGGCAGCAACGTGGTGCCTGATGATGCGGGCACATGGCTGGCGCTGTCACCCTCGTCGGGGTTAGAGTCTTTGAGCAACATGATGATCCATAGATGTTGAGATACAAAACAACAACAATAGCAACAGACGATAGTAATAGTTAAAGTAGAGTGGCGTTCGTCATTCAGGTTCCTGGCGACGATCGGGTGCCTGGCAGCCAATAATAATGACAGTACGCGGCTTATCTTCACATGTGATTGTATCGGGAGTATGAAGATGATGAATAATTTAGGCGCCAATAGTAGGATGACGGTGGTCGGAATGAGTAGGATAGGGGTATGAAGATGAGATACGATGGCTAATAGAAGAAATGGAAGATGGATAGCTCATAATCCATCACATCATCGCCTTCACGTCGCCCCCATACACCACCTTGCGAATCTTGCTCCGGTCGCATTCAGCAACATTTAGGATTCCACTCAGGCCCATGCTCTGCCACAGATCTGCGAGAAGCCCCTTCAACACCTGCTTCGCACCGTTGCTGCCATCAATGCTCAGCCCGTAGATGACCGGCCGCGCGACTAGCACTGCCTTAGCCCCCAGACACAAGGCCTTGACGACATCCGCGCCAGTGCGAATGCCCGAGTCGAACAGCACGGTCATCTTTTCGCCGACCGCGTCGACAATCTCGGGCAGGACGTCCAGCGAGCCAATGGCTCCGTCCACCTGGCGGCCTAGACCCAGTTAGTGGATCGTCCGCTCGCATGGTAGATTAGGGCTATGCATACCTCCATGATTGGAAACCACGATGCCATCACAGCCGCACTCCAGAGCCTTTTTCGCATCGTCCACATGTTGGATCCCCTTCAGCACAATCGGCCCATCCCACTGCTCCCGTAAAAATGCGAGGTCCTCCCAAGTGTGCGCACGACCCGAGAACACATCCGCCAGCCACGCCCGCGACGCACCCACGATATCATCCTCGACGGTCGTGCCGGACTCCTTTTCAAATTTCGCGCGGAAGACCGGATCGCTGAATGCGATTTGGTTCCCCACGCCCTTGATGAATGGAATATACGCGTTATCCAAGTCCGCAGGACGCCATGCCAGCGACCATGTATCCAGCGTAACCACCAGGACCGAGAAGCCGTTCTCCTTGGCGCGCTTTAGCAGCGACTTCGTGATCTCATTGTCCTGTGGCCAGTATAGCTGGTACCATCTTTTGCCGTCGCCGTTGGCGGTCGCGACGTCTTCAATCGAGCTGGTGCTCGCTGTGCTCAGGGTATAGGGCACGCCGACTTCGGCGCATGCCTCGGCAAGACCGGTCTCCTTGTCTCCGTGGAAGAGGCTCTGGACGCCGACCGGTGCCATGATGAGTGGGTTATCGTATTTCTGGCCGAACAGCTCAATCGACACATCCTGTTTTTCCATCTGCTGGGAATATTAGCTACGTAGTGCATGGTCGCAGTTTTGTTCTTGTGTACTGACGTTTCGCATCATCTTGGGGATGCTAGAAGCGAGAGTCAGACCAGTCAAGTGATAGTCAGAGTGCAGTGCGAAACTCACAGCTTCCACTGCCGAAATGCGAGCCGGTTGCTATCCATCGTGGCTTTCTCGCCTGCACCTCCGGAGACATAATTGAATGATCGCACGCCCAGCGATTTCCTTGCTTGTTCCTCCAGTAGGCGGGGGTCGGTGGTCACATTGGGCAGGATGCCCATCATGGCACCCTTGCCATAGATTTCTGTCTGAAAGCTCCCGTAGTTGTCTGACATTGTGTTTCTTTTTAACAGTGGATATGTGAAAGAAAGAAAGGATAGGGTCGGGGAAAAAAGCTGGGGAACCATCGGCTCCCCGGATATAGTGAAGATCCAGAAGCGGAGTCGCACTTGTGCCTCGGAACTTGTTCAAGTCCAATGTATGTAAGTGTCGATTGTCTCCCATACTCCAAATATTTCTGTCGCATTTTACCCACTCGCATAGCTACTGCGAGCTCTTAACCATTCACCATAATACCATAGGATCATCGGCGCCGGCAGACCCATCACCACCGCCACCAGCGCCAGCACCGTATCACCCCAACCATACTGAAGGACTTCATACATCCTAGGCCCGAACAAGGGAAACCCAAAACCAGTCAATGCGCGCAGAATATACACCGCACCAGTTGCACTTGCCGCATACAACGTAAAGGCCTCGTACAGATAGGCCGTGGTGCACTGAAAAGAAATCATCGCGCCAGCAGCGAAGAGCGCAATGCCCAGATCGGGCACGATCCAATGCGTGACGGCTTGCGCGCTCCATCCATACCACAGTAATCCGACTGGCGCGCAGACTGAGGCGGGGAACATCAACACAACTCGGAACTCGGGCTTGCCCACCCCGTCATTCTTCGCCTGCAGTGCCTTGTAAATGGGATCCGCGAAGAAGCCGCAGATTTGTGACCCGACGAGGTATCCGCATCCCAGCGCGAAATAGTTTAGACTTCCGGAGCCGACCGCTTCATGGTATTTGTCTTCCCATAGCGTGGCGAACGTCGATAACACGAGATACATTAGTCCGTATATGTAGGCGTAGAAGAGGGCCAGGATCTGGACGATGGGCTGCATTCTCAGGAGCTGGAGTGGGCGGATGAGAGAAGTGCGATATAACTGACTGAGGGTTTTATCGGGAGATTCGTATGGCGTTGTCAATGTTGTCTTGCCCGTCGTCTTGACCAGGTCCTTCTTCCGACGAGCTAGAATGACTGGCGGATATGTTTCTTTCATGACGATCAGACCCAGTATCACCAATGCCCCGTTGAATATCGAGGTCGCCCAGAAGGCCCAGCGCCATGTTGTGTATTCGGTGATGAATCCACCGATCACAGCGCCGAGGGAGGGACCGACAATGGGTCCGATGTTGTAGATTGCAATTACCCAGCCCCGTTCTTCTTTTGCGAAGCAGTCGCTGATAATACCTGCACCGACCTGCCCCAGAAAGATCAGGTGAGGCCCGCGACGTCAAGGGCGTAGGATAAATCGAACTCACAACTAGCCCAGCAGCTCCTCCAAACCCACTCAAGAGTCGAAAGGCAAGCAGCTCGCCTTTACTGCGAGCGAATCCACACACAAGGTTAAAGATGAGATAGAAGATATTACCAGAATGCAAAACCGCGACTCTTCCAAAGAGTTCGCTCAATGGACCGAGAAGAAGAGGCCCGAGACAATAGGTTAGTACGAAAGTCGAAAGTACTAACACCGACTCGAGAGAGCTATTCATGCCAAGCTCTTTTCTGATCGTGCTCAGTTCGGGGGCGACAATGGCTGACGACAGCGGCATGAGAAACACAGAGAGGGAGACCACGATGGTAATAGACCATTTTCTGGCCCTGGGCCAGTTCAGCGGGTTCTCGGGGTCATTGTCTTTGAAAGTGACAATTTCAGGCGCTTCGTTCTGAGGGTTGGCTTTTCCATTTTCTATATCTGAAAGAGGGGTTGTCGCATTTATCTCGGTATTGGTTGTTTTCTCTTGGACCCGGGTGCTTTCGGCGATTGCTCTAGAGGTGTCGGTATGGCCCATGGCGAAGCGTTGAATGGATGCTGGTGAACTCGGGTCATTCGCTTGGAATGAAGGTTGATCAAAGTGGTGAATTTACTGCATAACAAAATTCACCCTTTCAGGCCTGATACAATTAGCGCTCATTGGTTGTGATGAAGCCGGTTTGCTGATCATGGATTTGTTGGTCAAGTGAGTCATCTCCAGCCATAGTTCGTTTTCTATTCCGCAATGAGAAAACGTATAGAAGAACAGCTACAACAACTGATTCCAGTATTCTAGACCAGTGTATTGGAGTCTCCGGTTGAAATTGCCTCTAAATTCACGTCTGTCGCTAATCTAATTTTCAAGGCGACCAGATCATGCCCGTCAGTCTGAACGTCCCGAAACCGCTATACGGTGGAGCCCACGGGCTGAGATCTATATCGACATGCTTTGTATCTTTGAATCCAACCGCCGTGAAAAAAGGGTGCGCCTCTGGCTCCGCGCAGATGACAAGCGGTAGGTTCGCAGCTTTCGCCTTCTCAAAACACTTTCCAACCAACTCAGATCCAATCCCATGTCTGCGACTCCTAGGTTTGACACACATGTATGTCACCTCTACTAGAAGTTAGCATGGCCCATTTCCCTGGATAACACGCCTTACCGAAACGGTCGATCTTCTCAAACTCCTTGGTGATCCCCGACACCGCACCCATAACCGCCTTGAAAACAGGTGGATTGAGTCCGTCTGGTACGCCTGGCTCTGGATCTTCTCCTGAGCCAGCTGGCTTTTCTTCTTCGTTTTCCGCCTGTTTCCGAGACAGGGCAAGGTAGCCGACGATATCTCCCGATTCATCGTCAACCACTTTCAAACATTCCACTGACGGATCGGAAAACCCGAATTCAACGGCTTGGGTGTAGAGCTGCAGTTGCGTGACATCGTTCGGCCAATATTTAAATATAAGGCGGTTTACAGTCAGAGCTAGCTTTGAGGTGTGGAGGAAGTTTGCGAGGGTGGGTAGGTCAGAACCAGAGATTGGAAGAATCGAATGCTTCGGTGGTAGCATTGTGGTGTTTTGTTGAAATATGTAGAGAAGGGCTGGTGAAAGGTGCTGATCCTGATGCTCAGGCCGGTGGCTTGTCGAGTTACAAAGGGTTTAAATAGCAATCAGTAAGGTGAGGCACCAGAATTCTTGAAATCCGAAACTATGCAGCCTGAAGGTACCATTAGGCATCCGACCATCGTTAGGAAGACTTAAAAAGGCCCCCAATCAGGTACCAGGAGATAAGGCAGTGAATAGTAATCTGGTGAACCCAGAGGGTTAAATACGCTAAGATATATAACGCAGGCTTTACCCCGCGTCATAACCTGATTCCTTGTGTGAGACACGGTTTTAGGGGTTTGTCAACCGATCAATCCAATTTCCAGCCCAACTCATACTTATTCAATAGTTAAATAGTATACATGAGCTTCAGATCAGATCCGGCCTATCGGCCGAGTCAGAATTGACGTCCACACCGACATGCGGGCCTTTCTCGAGCTGCTCGGGAGGAGCCTCGTGACCAGTCTCGTCTTCTGTCTGTTGGAGCAGAAGAGTTCTGCGCTTAAAATTCTCCCATCTGAAGAGGACGTAATACATGCCAAAGAACATAACGAGTAACACCCAGCTGAAAATACTGCTGATACGGTCTTTGATGTAGCGCGGCGCATCGGGGGCTTGCCACAACTGTGGTCCTATAATGTAGCCTGTCGAGTACCCAAGAAAGAATATTGCGTTTGTGGTGGGCTTCTTAGCGTTTCCCTTGACGTTGAATGCCATCAGACTGAGGGAGACTACCATCAGAGATGATGATTGTGCTGCCAGCCATCTACTAACAACGATGCCCCATTTATGGATATCTAGAAGGGTCAAAAGGACAATACTTCCGAAAAAAGGGACCAATGTGAGTAGAATCCCAGCTGCAGGGGGTGTTATTTATCGAATTCACCTTTAAAGGATCGCTTTTCTTTTTGTTGGAACAGGATGATTATTATTGAAACAAAATATATTAGTTAGCCTCCGAGCCGGATCTCACAACCACAACCGTTGCGCCGGTTGGCCGGCTAGTGCTCCTGCTAAGCCCACCAGGATTTGGCTCTAGAAGAGACTAGAATACTTTAAGTCCCGTCGCTGTAGCTCTCCACACTGTCTAGTTCACCAGTAACTCGTTCTAGCCGTGATTTTCATGTAGGCCGATGAGCATGAGAAGATAAAAGAAATCGATACAAATATGTGTTCCAAACTGCGGGGATTTAATGCTACTCTGGGGGTGAGTATATCATTTCCACGCCTAAAAATTGGCATCTCGCTTACATCCAAAGGATGGCGAAGGAATACTACTGAGCAGGATACCCCATGTGGCACCCTCGTGGAGGATAAGAGAGAAAAGGCGCCGAGCCTTCACGAAGCGAGATTGTGCGCGACCCATGCCTATCTGACTGGGAAAGGACTTGCCGTTGGGGATATAACTATATTTCACCCTGACAACTACGGGAGGATTCTGTCCAGTCCAAAAGTGCGCGAGAGATATATCTGGGCCTGCTTTGGGGCCAAGCCACACCGTTTTGCCTGATGAAAAGAAGCTCTAAGGCCCCCTTCCTGATTTGGATACGAATAATTTGTTGCAAATGTACCGGCTGGGAAAGGGACTTTGAAATTTACCAGTCGTCAACTAGTCGGCTTCTCTGTCTACTGCTCTAAGTTTCGCTGGAGAGTGAGTGGAAGTATAACTATTTGACAAACTGTCCTGCGAGCGCAGAACCTAGATGAGCCCTATTTACTCCTTGCGTCTCAAGTTAGGCCACCCGACGATCATCATGTGCCCAGAGGGAGACTGTACCAAGGAAACGCAGGACTAGAAAATAACGCATGAAATTCAGGTGAAACTAAGAGTACAGTGGGGGCCATCTGTTCGCTTCGCCCATTTAAGGGTGGCCAAGCCAAAATTTTGGACACCCAAGGCCTCCGATTGGACTCTGATTTGCCCCGCCAAGCAGAGCTGGCGGCATCACCAACTAGTAGCCAGCCCCGCCGTCATGCGCTACGTTTAGTCTCAGCCTCGGACTCTGGGGGGAGAGTCAGTCTCCCACCACTAGTTAATCACCAGGCAATCTAGACGGTCCCAAATATACAAGGAACAGCCCGATACGTCGTAGGATGGAAAGGGACCAGCAGAAAAGCCCCGAGCAGGGCACCAAGGCAAGTCTTGGATTAATAATTCTCGTAGAAGCAATCCTTCCTCCTGCATACGCTTCGAGCCCCTCTAGTAGAGCCACCGGGACCAAATAATGCATCATGATGCACCACCACACAACCACATTATTGGTAGCAAGCCAGGTATAGTATCCTGCGGGTTTTAGCGTATGAATCATGCAGAATGTTAAAACTCCATATGCCGTGGAGCACATTCTTTTCCCCGGAATAATCTGGGTAAAAAATACTTTATTCTCGCTTTATCCGCTTAGACTACCACAGAGTGGGACCTAAAGCACCGCACAAACTTCGGGCGTCCGGGACCCTACCCGCTGTGCTATGGTCCCTTCCAAGGGTCAGAACTAGTGCTTACAGGCTAGGTCTGTGCCGTCCTTCGAAAAGCCACCAAGCCACTAAGTTTCTCAATACAGCTAAGATCGCTCTTTCTTTGGTGTGCCTCTTACGCTTTTGGACCCCACGGGGCGCATCGACGTCGGTATATATCTTGCGGAGTAGCCACTGTTTCCCCCCCCCACGGGGAACTCTTCAGGAGATTTGGTCGATCGTGGGTCAACATATAGTTACCCAAAACTACAACGCATCTGATATTTCCTAAGCTACCAGGGCTGTTAATCACGATGTCCGAAAAAGAAGCTCCGGGTGTTATCTCTCACAATGAGGACCCGACTCAGGCTGCGACTGTAGAGCTAGTTGAGGCTACTCAGCGACGCCAGTCCACCGCTCTCAACCTCATTGAGAATCCTCTGCAGGTAAGCATCCCAATCTACAGCTTTTCTTGGCCACCTCCGATGGTCGTGTCGTGCATTTATTCTGACTGTCTTCACTCGTACAGCGCTGCTCCAAGGAGCAAACCATCGCGGATGCTGCAGCTTTCGCCGAATTGCATGGCATGTCAGAGCACGCTGAACTCTTTGCTAGGGGCGCTCTGGTTGCACGCGACCCTCAGAGATTCGGCGGTATTTCCGAGCTTAGCGAAGACGAGGTCACCGCGCTTGCATACGAGAGGGACCATAAATGGCACGGCCCTAAAATGCTGTGGTATTCGATCGCTCTGTGTGCCGTTGGTGCCGCCACGCAAGGATGGGATCAGACAGGAGCCAACGGAGCCAACTTGTCCTTCCCGAAGGAATTTGGTATCGACGGCAAAGGAAAAGACGAATGGATCGTGGGAGTGGTCAACGCAATTATTTTCTTGACCGCCGGTCTAATGTGAGTACATGAACGTCAATTTCTTTACTTCTCATGTCTCGGTGATTGACTTTCTGCATAGTGGTGCTTTCATCGTCGATCCACTTAACCACTACTTTGGTAGACGAGGCGAGATTTTCATCACTGCTTGCTGTCTTACTGCCACCCCGATCGGTTCCGGTTTCACGAAATCATGGCAACAATTGTTTGCTGCACGTTTTATTATGGGTATCGGCATTGGTGCAAAGAACGCTACGGTGCCGATCTACTCATCCGAGATGGCTCCGGCTCGAATTCGAGGAGCCCTTGTCATGTTCTGGCAGCTTTGGGTTGTGGCCGGTAACTACTCCCCATCATTCTTCCCATGACATTGCTAATTGTCTCATAGGTATCTTCCTGGGCTTCGCTGCCAATGTCATTGTCAAAGACGTTGGTCGCATCGCCTGGCGCCTTCAATTCGGTTCAGCATTCATTCCATCCTTCGTCCTCATGTGTGGTATCTGGTTCTGCCCAGAGTCCCCCCGCTGGCTCATGAAGCACAACAGACACGCCCAAGGCTTCAGATCGATGTTGCGCTTGAGAGCTCATCCCATCATTGCCGCAAGAGACTTCTACTATTCGTGCATTATCTATGAGGAGGAAATTAAGATCGCTAGAGGTGCAGGCTATTTCTCCCGTATGTGGGACTGCTTCGCTGTGCCTAGAATCAGGCGTGCGAACTACGGTGCCTCGACTGTCATGCTTGCCCAGCAAATGTGCGGTATCAACAGTAAGTTGGCCTCTCTTGCGCCAGTGAACATGTCTGACGTCCTGCAGTCATCTCTTTCTACAGTTCAAGTATCTTCAAGAACGTCGGTTACACAGACACCCAGGCCTTGTATGCATCTCTTGGATACGGTGCTGTTCAAGTTGTTTCCACGATCCCCACTTTGTATCTCATCGACACTAAGGGCCGAAGAACTCTGACTTTAATTGTGAGTCATTTACAAGCTTCGTGAAAAAGACATCACTGATAATTTCTTCTATAAAGACCTTCCCTCTGATGTGTATCTTCCTGCTCGCCGGTGGTCTCTCTCTTCTGAACCATGACGGCAGCAAAGGATCGCAGATCGGTCCAGTTGTCTTGTACGTTAGGAGATGTTTGAAACTGAGCTATGACTGACTTATTTTTTTTAACCAGGTTCGTTTATCTATTCACCATCTGCTACTCTCTGGGTGAAGGGCCAGTTGCCTTCCAATACTCTGCCGAGGTGTTCCCCACCATTCAGCGTGAGCAAGGAATGGCTTGGGCGGTTTGCATCAACAACACTTTTGGTGAGCATCTAAGCTTAATATTCTCCGATATGGTCTGACAAGTTCTATGTAGCCGGTATTCTTAGCTTGACATTCCCACGGATGCAAACCGTTATGACGCCAACAGGTGCTTGTAAGTGGCCGCTGCTGGGTTGGCCCGCCTACAAATTCGCTAACCCTTAGTCATAGTCGGCTTCTATGCTGGACTCAACCTCATCGCTTGGTTTATGGTTTTCTGCTTCGTCAGAGAAACCAAGCAGCTCACCCTGGAGGAGTTGGATCGTAAGTGAAGTTCCTCTGGGTCTATTTGGACTTTTATTAATCTGTCTTATAGAGGTCTTCTCTGTCCCAACGAAAGACTTCATCCGCCACGAATTGACTGTGTGGCTTCCTTGGTTTATCCGGCGATACGTCTTCCTACAGAATATCCCCAAGCCGCCGGCGATTATCGCGACGATTCAGGAGGCCGAGGTTGTCAAGAGCGCCTAGATTTCCTCAGTGGCGTAATAATAGGAGGGCCCGGTATAAATGACGCTTGCATGGTGGCTTGTTGGAGAGTGTGGCCTCGCAGCGTATAAACCATCTAACATGGGGGTCGCAGGGGTCCGGCACTAGATACATCTAATGCAGGATGAGGGTAGAAGTGCAGCATATCGGATATGGGATAGACGGATTTAATATCAAGACCGACAACGGCTAACAAGGTGTTTTACTCGGCCTCTGTCTCGTAGTATCATTTTGATATAAACATACGAGAACATACTGAGTGATATTACGTGTTAGGCGCAATATTTAGCGAGGCTTCATAGCTGTGACAAGGAACTTAACTGATAGTTACACATTGTTGCTCGATCAACAACAAGTAAACATTCTCTGCTCAGAAAGATAAACTATGCTTCCGAAAAGCGGGGCAATAATTGTCTTTGGAGTCATTATTAGCTTGACGTATAGAAATCTTCCAACAATACTATGGCAGATGAGAAGTCCGGAGTGCAAGAGATGCAAGAGATAAAAAGAAATCGATAATCCGCGTCCGCTGAAGCGGTCATTGAGGAACGATCAATGACAGAGACAAGTGGGGTGGGGCATGAGGGCAATGTAAGAGAAGGCAGATTCTCTGTATCTCAATTATTTGCCTTCTCAACATCACTGGACAAATCTCCCATCTTTGTCTCTGCCCCCCCATATGTATCAGCATACCGCGCCGTCATCCATTCCTCCACCGTAATCGGCGGATACTTAGCGCCCTGCGCTCCATTTGTGCAACTAGGAATACATTTGACAACAAAATCCGGATTCCCCGAAAAGAAAAAGGGCACACTATATCGTTCTTCGCCACTTTTGTTAATCACGCGATGCAAGTTCGACAAATACTGGTCATTGGACCAGCGCATCATCATGTTGCCCAGATTAACCACCAATGCCCCTTTGACAGGAGTGACATCGGCCCACTGAGAGGATTCCCGATCCCAAACCTGAAGACCTCCTTTGTCATCTTGAAGGAGGATAGTAATAGCCCCAAAGTCAGTATGGGCTCCGATTCCTGGTAACCAGAGTTATCAACACATGTTTCCGGATTTTCAATAATGGGCACAATACCTCGTTCCAAGGCGGAAGCATCGGGCTTCTGGGGTGGGTAGTGTAGCAACCGCAAGATTGCCACCGGCTCTTCAGCGAATTCCTCGAACCAGTTCGGGTCGAGGTTTAGCGTTAGTGCTAAAACCTTCAAAATATCCTCCGAAAGGCTGGTCAAGGTGGCATGATAAGTGTCGATTGTCGTTTTGAACAAGCCAGGGTCCCGGATCTCGGAAGGATATTTGTTAGAACCTTGAGAGAATTTCCCAGCAACCACAGAAGGATGGTCCTTGGGTAGGTCTTTTCCAAGATAGAACCCTTCCTTCAGATCGCCTTCCCCTCGTTTCTCGAAGTTTTGGGCGCGAAGTCGTTCATAGCCTCGATTATCTGTTCCGAGATCTGGTAGTAGAAAGCTAATTTAGTTTATTCCATCCTAATGTATGACTGAAAAGCAGACTGACTGACCCTTGTTATATTTTTCTTTGATGTCGAGCGGTAGACTGAATAGATCTCGCGACTGCTGCAAGATTGATTCCTGTAGATCCGATGGCACCCTGTGATTGAATATCTGGAAGAAACCATGGCGCTGACACGCTTCACGAATTTGTTGAACTAAGACATTCTTCCCAATCGAGTCACAAGAGTAGAAGGCTGTCTAGATGTTAGTCACGCTGCGAAAAGCGGAAGCGAAACTATACCTCCAAAGTCAATGATAGGTGGTGCCTTGACCATGATGGCTGTTTTGGTTTCTTCTCCACAGTTAAAGTAACGGGGTAAGGTCAGTTCAAACGGGCATTAGAACCAATTTAATTGCATCGCCCATAGGGTGTGCGGGGAAGATAAGAAAGTCTGTGTCATGGGCATGAAAAACAAAATAGCCGCAAATTCGGGTAACCGAACATGAGAACGCCGGGTAATGCGTGCTATTGCTGGTCGATCGCCCGTGAGTAGCAGAGCAGGAATAGGCGTAAGTATGTAGGTTTTCATCTGTAGAAAGTCTAATCTAAATAATACCGCAAAACTGGACTTATCACGATAGACAATGTGCGAACCAATTACCCTTCATCAGGCGGATTCCTCTGGTCTGGAAGACAATAGAGGTGGGTCAATGATAGTATAAAACCAACATGGAGACTCGGCTACCTTCAACATTTCTGTAGACTCTAGATACGCCAAATATTCCGGGAGACTAGTGAATTTCTTGCACCTTACCGATGTAATTGTGGAATATTAAGTAGGCCGACTGACAAAGGAAAGGGCCCATGGAAAGCCGTAAACAATCAAGTATAATGAGACTACTAGTCGTATACATAAAGGGCCGGAAGCGAAAGAGAATAAAGGGGGCCAATATGCCTAGGAACAAAGTGGATTAGCTGAACTACGGTAGACTGGCTGATTAGCTGGCTAAATAACGGAAGCGCTGACTAGGTGCGAGATCGGACAGAGTAGCAAACGGGACCTGGCCCGTTACATCAGATCAGTAATTGGCTCTCTCTCTCCTATCTCCTTGCCGACGCATCTTCTCCTCCTGTAGAAGGTCGCGACGGTTGAAGTCTCCAGCTAGCACCATATCAGGGCGCCGCACTGTTCCGTTGCGGAATTGCTGAATCACGCTATGCAGTAGCCTCACTGCCGAGGCCAGAGCCTCTTCGTCCCTCCCGTCTATGTACACCGACACGACCAGGTATCTGTTCCCTCTCGATATCTCTTCGCACCCAAAGCATACTTTGAATTGGCCACTTCGTGTTTTCCGTGTGTGTAGGTGTTATGTTCACCCTATGACGGAGTGTGCGACAGCAATCCCAGCGCTTTTTTTTGTTGTGCTTTGCTTTCTGCCATTTCAGCCTGTCGGCAATGTGCCAATACGGCCGGCTCTGTTAGCGACGTGCAACATCCTCCTCGAACCTAAGCTAGCTATCCAACGGGTAAAATGGGCCGCAGGTAAACGTTTGGGTCCAGTCCATTTCCGAGCACAGCAGTGCTGGGTCCGCGGAGAAGAGCTCCGTCTCAAAGTTGAGCTTGAAGGGATACTCGTGCGTGAAGGTGTTGGTGCTAAACTCGACGGTGTTGAAGTGCGTGAGCGTAGCTAGCGAGTCGACGGGCAACACAGGACTAGGGGCAAGAAGAGGGCTGGTCCAGCTGTTGTCGTTGTCTGGCGAGACTGTCTTCTTGTTGATGCGGGTCCTCCCAAAGTAGGGGATTGCTACGGCGTAGTCCTCGTCGGCAATGTCGGCGCCATGCCGTGCCGCGTCAACCAGATCGAGGATGCGGGCGGCCTGCGCGGCGACGGTATAGTCCAAGATGGCGATGGTACGCCGCAGGCAGAGGGATACGCCTAGGACGAGCGCCTAGTCCTGCTCTTTGGCGAGTGCTGTAGCCCTCCCCGGGAAAACCAAGTGCCCTATGATAAGGACTATAGCCGCGCTAAACGCGTGAAGGTCCTATAGGTCCGTGCTAGCACCGGACCACGTCTTCAAGTCAGTGTATGCCGTCACCGCGCGGCGGGCGGCCTCCATAGCGCGGTCTTAGCTATGCAGGAACTTGGACTCGCCCGCCGACTTGAGCGTGTACGGCATGTGCACGAGCTTGAGGATCGTAAAGAAGATGACCTTGCTAGCTTGAAGTTCTAGCTATCGGAGAACGGCATGTCCGGTGCTAAAGGGAACTAGTGTTCGTCTAGGACGAGGCGGTATGCCTCTTCTAGGTCCTAGTCGATCTAGGTAGTCGTCGCATAGCTAGCTGTAGCTTAGTGGGCCTAATCGTGGTCAATAGCCTTCCCATAGATGAATGCTATCAACCATATGAAACGGCTCATCCACAGGGCCGAAGGCGAGTTAGACGACGTTCCCAGGTAGTTTGCTAAAACGGACGTCGGTAGCCCTAGCATTAGGGCCATAACCGCTCAGAGTGTCATCACGCATACGCGGTGCACATGTCTAGCGCGTCCGCTTTTCCAGGGAGGCCGTAGCTCACGGCCGTGGTGATAGCTTGTCGGCACTAGTACCATGCGTTTTGCGGCCACCCCATATTAATATATAATTTGTATAGCATAGTCATACTCTCGATGCCATCGATAGTCCTAGTACACTCCCCATCTAGCTCTAGTAGCGATTTTGCTATTCTCATATACGTATCGACTAGATCGTGCTACGGGTAGGCAAGTCTCACAATGGATAAGACGGTTCTAGACGGCTAATACACGTAAAGCGCTACATATAGAGCTGACTGTGCTATTAGTCCTGGCTCTATAGAGCTAGAGGCTACTATGAACATGAGCTATTTCGCTAGCTACCATTTTCTGGGTCCTAGGACGTCTGTTGCCTAGGGATCTCTATAGTAGTATAGCGGCCCTATCGGCTAGTAATTCTCTATGGCTTCTAATATCGCATTAAGGTCTTACGTCGACGGGAGTAGCGAGGCGAGACGATCTCGGTATTAAAAGACGCTAGATATAGCTAAGACGGGCAACAGCGGCGGTGCCGTAGACGCGGGTGTATTCTCTCTGTCTAGTATTAAGGCGGCCTTGAATAGGAGCATTAATAGCGAGACTTCGACGGCCGGCTCCGTTGACGATAGCATGACTCCGCCACGCTTTGCTACTGGCACTAGCCACCCGCCCACGATAGATAGTGTCGTCGCCGGTGAGTGCGCTAGTGTCGCGGTGGAGGATAGGTCGCCGCGAGCATCTCGTTCACGCACGATAGACGCATCGTCTCTAGCAAAATCGGAGCGGGGCGACAGCGTCGCATTCGGAGGAAGCTTGCGGACAATGGCCTCGAGGTCCCGTAAGCGCCGCTTTAGAGTGTCAACCTCGTCGCTAGGCACTTGGGGGCGTCTAGCCTGCTAAGCGACGCAGTCGGCCTCATGGGCCAGACATGCCTCGTAGGCGCTTTCGTCTGCCCGGAAGATGCAGCGGACTTTTCTTCGGCGGCACTCCGTGCAGCTTTTGGTGCCGAGCCGCATGCGCTTTGAGGGCGTCATAGTGTTGTACTTAGACAAGGGCCGCGGAGCATAGCCGCCTGTGCGTATTTTCGTTGAGGCAAGCCCAGTGCCTTTCTTGCGTGGGTATCGAACCGGCCACGCTGCCGAGATCGTTTAACAGGGAACAGGGATAGAGTGGCAACCCAAATACCCCACGTGCGCCTGTGTATTTGTAATCGTGCGAGCCATCGCAGCGGCTACGTATGAGGCCAGAAGGAGCGGTTTGTCCGAAATCGCTCTAGTTCCGGGCGCAGCAATTACTGTTCGATATCTGCTATGGTTGCCATGATATAACGGTCCCAAGGCAGAGTTAACGCGATCGAAAACAAGCGGTGGGGACGTGCACGTGTGACTTCCTCAATGAATAATTTATAGTAAGGCTTTGGCAATGGGGCCAGTTAGGAGTTTCTCAGAGTGTACTGGTCAAGGCGATTTCGAGAATGACTGTGCCAGAGCCGGGGACCACCATTATCACATTCAGTGCAGAGGCCACAATTCTTATGAATCCGAGTTGAGACTTTATGCCTAAAAATACACATCACAAACAAACTTTCTATCACAAAACCCTCTGCTCAGACAGACTCGCAATCACATCCTTGACTCGAGGAATCTTCTCTTCAAGAACATCAACAACCTCAGTCCACAATGCCTTTTGCAAGATCTTGCCTTCATCACTCGTAATATACTCGCCAGGTCTATTGTATTTGTCAGCGTAACTCCATTCTCTCTTCTTGGAGGTTAACTCACGGCCTGTAATTTCCATCTGCAGACCACCACCGTCCGTGTGAATCCTTCCCTAAAGTGGATGCGCCAACAAGCACGCGAGCACCATTTTCCGCAGGTCTCATGAGCAGAAAAGATCCAATGCCCTTAGCAATGGCCCATAGAGTGGTGTTGAACTCTCTTGCAACGTCACTCCGGCATGCACCAGGACACGCATCATTAACAATCACCGTTGGCTCGCCATTGGCATCGAGACAGCGATATGCTAGCTCTCTTGTGATCCACATCATGAACAACTTGGAGGCCACGTGCTGCTGATACGGTCCCACGCCAAGGTCACTGTTGTATTTGTGGAGAAGCTGATTTTTGTCTTGAGGTTTCAGCTGCGCGTCGATGTGCCCTGTCGATGTGACCACAACTAGGTGTGCCGGTGAATCTGCACTTCGGGACGCTTGCAGCTTTGGGGTGAGAAGGATCGCTAAGAGCGCAGTCCCGAGAGTGTTGACTTGAAGATTGTTCTCCCATCCCTTCTCAGACAGCTTGAAATTGCGACTAATGATACCTGCGTTAAGAACAGCGACATCGACCTTTTTCAAGCTCTCAATTCGCTTGGCGAATGCACCGATGCCTTCGAAGCTGGCCATGTCCAATTGCCATACTTGGACAACGCCTGCCCGCCCTGTCGCCTTTTCAATTTGCGTTTTTGCTATTTCGCCCTTCTGCAGACTCCTGACACCCAGAATGACGGTTGACGCGGCGAGTTGGACATATTTGAGGGCGGTTGCATAACCCACGCCGGTATTTGACCCTGTCACGATGATGGTCTTGCCTTCGAAAGTCGTCGTGATTTGCTTGGGCGGGAAAAACTTGCCCCTGAGAATAAATACGGGACCGGGCATTCTGAAAGAACTGTGGAATAAATCCTTTTTAAGGAGTCCGGTAAATGAAAGAGTATGATATGATGATTATGATGGAAGTCTTTGTTCAAGGTTGATGGATTTTGTGATTGAGCTGCTCCATGGGAGCGATCGAAGCCCATATATATGGGGATCGGTCGGCAGCGGATACTCCGACTACTACGCAGAAATGATAGTATGGTGATTCTCCGAGGATTCTGTTAAGAGAGCGTCTTGCTATATCGTGCTGCTAAAGGAGAGTATCGCGGGGGCACGGAAACCCCGACATGCCCGATGTCTTAGCACTAGGCTTAAAATACTTTAAGCCCTTGAATTCCGGTGACGTAAGCGGGCTTATCATTTCGGGTCGGAATGGCCGCTGCCGTCCCGTATTTTCCGACGGACCTCAAACATCAGCTGGTCCATATGTTTGTACGAAATCCCAGGTCACCACGATGGACGTACCGGAACCATCATCAATGATAAATTTGCGGCTAAGGAGGCGAGCGTGCCTCAGCTGCACCAGCGCCAAGGTCAAGTGCACTTCTGCTTCGTTGGGCGCAGAATCATGCGGAAGATGTGAAAGATTGGGCAAAGAATGCGTCTATGCAGAGCCTTCTTCTGGGGCAAGAACAAATCGGAGAGAAGCCTCGTGAGTGTCACAACCCCATCTGCTGTCTGCATGGTCTTGTAGGATTAGAGGTCTATGAGAGCGCTTTGGAATAGCGTGCACACAAAAAGCTACTTGAGTGCGTGATGACATGCCTCAATTCAATCACTGAACTCGACCTAATGACCGAAGTGAAGTCACTTATTGAAGTAGACTGGACTCAGTGATTGAGGACACCCTTCCATATACACTAGGTATTTCATCGGCATAGAACAAGCTAATTCGTCCTCAGATCTGCCAAGAGACTCGAGGAGAAGGTGGAGCTGTTGTCCACGCAAGTGGCTACTTTAACACAACATCTCCATTCAACCTCATTTCAAGGACCCCGAAGTAATCGCCCTACCACTGAGATTCTTTATTCCAGCATTTCATCCTCACGCGACCGAATAAACGGAAGTCACTTTGCGTCTTCGGGATCCCTGCCCAGGTCCAGAGAAGTTCATAATGATGGCTTGACCAACGTTGTTCTACACGACCTAGGAGGCCTGGAAGCTGCGGATCGTCGACTGGAGACTTTCCGACGAGGTTTCGTCAACTACTTCCCATTTGTGGTTGTGCCTTCCACAGCCAGCGTGGAAGCTCTTCGATACGATAATCCATTCCTTTTCTTGTGTATTATGGCCGTCACTTCTTTTGAGGATCCCATACTACAGCGCAGACTAGGTCAGGAGATCAAGAAGCAAATTTGTGATCGCTTAGTGATGGGCCATGAAGTTAGTATGGATCTTTTACAAGGTCTTTTGGTATTCGTGGCTTGGTATCAATACTTCTGTCTGCCTGGGAAGCATCAATACTTCCTCATGTTACAGCTTTGTGTTAATATGTGCCATGAGTTGAGACTAGATTTGAATGAGAAGGGCAAGAGAGGTCTAGAGGAGGCTCAAACTCAGGGGAAAGCGCGAAATCCGGCAGAGATGAGAGCTCTTCTTGGAACATATTGTTTATCATCTTTGTAAGCTCTACCTGCACAGTGGCAATTTTCTGGACCTCGAGCTGACTGTCGACTCTAATAAGGTTATCAATGGTGTTGAGAAAACGGACGATTATGCACTACACATCGTATATGGAGGATTGCTGCACATATCTCTCACAACGGAGGGATGTTCCCAGCGATCAATTGATCGCGCCATTTGTGGAAATCCAGGTCCTTCAGCGGAAGATTAGTGAAGCTTTCTGCCACCACGATATGTCTACCTGCGACATAAGAGGGGAGCGCGCACTCCAGATCACCGTTGATTCTTTCTCTCGTGAAATTGATGGACTTAAAAAGGGCATTGGCTCAACAAACAGAAATGCTATTCTGGTCCAACAACTTCACTTCCTGGAAGTCTGGATTCGTGAAGTTGCGCTCTATAACGAGCTTTGGCAAAGCACTTTCGTGCCTGCCCGACTCACTCAACCAGAGACTGATCACTCAATTCAGTTCTCAATGCAGCGGACTAATATGCTGTGGCAGCTCGTCGCAGCAACTGTGTCATTTCATAATTGGTGTCTGTCAGTTGACAATGCCGAGCTACTTCATTTTCCATTCTCTTGGTGGGCAGAACATTCTTACGTCATTATCGTTCAAGTCAGGACTGTTTTCCTCGACTGTGGGGCTGGTATCACAGGAAAAGAACAGATAAATCTACGGGAACATGACCAAGCAGAATCGCTAGAAGCTGACTTCAGAAGAGCTGCTGAAAAGGAAGTCATGATACCTCATATGCTGGATGTGTATATGGGGAAATTGGCCACAGTGACCACGCAGCTTGTTGATGATGACGGCAACAGGGACATGGTATATAATTATGGGGTTTTGCTCAAAAGCATACAATCTGGGTATGAAAGCCGAATTGGGGTTGAGAATAGACCTGCGCCGGGGCAACTTGAAACGCAGCAAAAGCAACCATCCCTTTCACAGCTGTCGCATCCGGAAGTCAGGAGTACGGACATACAAGGATCGATGCCGCCAGCAGTCAGCACAAATCATATGGAGCTAGAAATAGGTGACCTGCACAGTTCTTCTACAAGTCAACTGGACTTGCAATTTGATTTGGCCGAACCTGGACAACTAGACTCGCAATCTGATTTGGCCGAACCTGGTTTTGACGACTTCGTGTGGGACACGATGATGAATGAGTTCTCATTCCTCACGCCCCAAAATGGACCATCTCTTTGATGTCTCACCGAGGTTAGCTCACACAAGCTTGGAATTATCATCAAAGCTGTATCGATAGACTGCTTTTGAGCTACTCGAGGGTCAAAACCTGCAAACGCTCATTTCCCGGATGTCAATGTAGTTCTACAGGACACTGAATGCAAACTATGATCCAGGGACCATGGTGGTCTTTTATGTAGCATGTGGAGAATCAGTTTCTAGGGCGTTGCATTGGCGTCTTCACACTTTCATCAGTCTCTTCACCGCCCTCTCTTCACCACCTTCAAACATACGTTTGGGGGTTCCCATCATAATCCTTGCTCCGTGCTGGGTATTACCTTATTGGTCTATGTTGTTTTGACATACATTTGACTGACGACTCGCCAATAACCTTTATTTTCTTACCACCGTCTTCTTTTTATCATTATTTCGCCATTGAGGCAAGAGGCGGGCCATAGGTCTAAGAAGAGTCACATCGTTGACGCTAGTTTTTTGTTCATAAGAGAAATACGAGCGATGCTAAGGGAAAATGTTGCACAGGGACGAAACTAGCAGGGTGCACCTTATTGGGGGTATACTTACTCAGAGCGCTCAAGGCCGGGCTCAGTGAGAGAATCAGGGCGATCAGTGAGTGGATCAGGCCGCTCAGGTGAGCAGACAGTGAGTGCTCCGTGAGCAGATCAGGGCGCTCATCGCCGTGCTCAGTTCTACTCAGGGAGCAAGCAGTGAGCACTAAAACGGAAAGAGCAAGCCAAGACTTGTCAGGGATTATCCGGTACGTATGCAATGCCAAACATCTCGCGCCCGGTTTAATAATGATAGACTTTATCTAAACTCAAGTAACACGAGCTATTCCCAGTTAGGTCAATGTATATTACCAAATGCATGCAGTCAACGATTTAGAGGCAGCCAAAAATGATTCGTTGTCGTAAGAAATTACTATAAACAGGCAAGTATACGATCTATCTCTAATTAGACGCAATTTCATTGGCAAAATATTTCGAACTACGCAGCTGCTGGTGTCCGACTTAGGGACAAGCATATTTAATGAAGCCAGCGCTTGCGTACACTGGGGGCGGAGGTGTGGAGAATACTCTCCCTCTCTTCCAATTCTCCCTCGGCGTCTTTTCCCTTCTTCATCATCCTCATTATCGCCTATCAACCCAATGTAACAAGGCACATACCAAGGGCCTGATTGAACCATGCAGCCATCTGTGCCTTTCGGTCGGCCCTGGCTGAAACTCGCATTTTCTTTTCTTACGATATTATTCGCAGTCGTGCTTTACCATCGCGCGTCCTTGCCCAGGATTTTGGTGACCGCGTCGATCGCCCCGCTGTCTGAAACTTGCAAATTGATTTCGGCACATGCTGCCAGCTGGAACACATGGTTTCCCACATCACCATTCAGTTCGTCAGAAAGCCTAGTCAGAGCTCCAGAAAAGGGGTGGAATCTCCGTGGGATTCCTAAGGCGGGCGAAAGCACGGACGCATCGAGCATCGCACCCCCGCAAGGATGCTCTGTTGATCAGGTGCACCTGGTATGCTTTTCTCATGTTTGTGTTACTTTTGGATCGAAAATTCGCTGACCAGCACGCAGATGTCACGCCATGCACAAAGATACCCAACAAAGTCTGCTGGAACTGGTATGTCAAACACTTTCTCAATAATTGTCATGGATGGGACTCTGATCTAACGCTGTCACCTTGAAGGTCACCTCGAGTTCTTGGAACGGGTCAAAAACACCGGTCTCCCTCTCAATGGATCGCTTGCATTTTTGAACAACTGGACCTATTTCACCGACGATCCATCACGAGATTTTGGACAATTAACCCGAACGGGCCCGCACCCAGGCACTTTAGCAGCGGTCTCTTCAGGTGTTGAATATCTCGCTCGATATGGCCACCTTATATCGAGAGAACCCACTCGAGTGTGGGCAAGTGGCTCGCAGCGGGTGATCGATACAGCCCGACACTTTGCTTCTGGATTTTTTGGCCCGGATTGGGAGAGTTCCGGGAAAGCTGAACTACAGATAATTCCCGAGACCTTCGAACGTGGGGCAGACACCCTTACTCCGAGCAAAACATGCCAAAAGTATCTTGACGACAAGGATCGACACGATCATGGAGCAAACATGCTCGCGAGATTCCAAAGTGTCTATATCCGGAAGATCGCTAATCGATTGATCGGGGAAGGAAATTCCGGTCTCGGTGTTTTGACGAACTACGAGGTGTTTTCTATGCAAGAAATGTGTGGTTCTGAGACTATGGTGCGAGGGTCAAGCCCGTGGTGCGACGTGTTTACGGAACAAGACTGGGATAATTTTGAATATGCCCGCGACCTGCGCCAGTTTTATCGAGCGGGGCCGGGTAATTCGTACGCCGGAGCAATGGGATGGCTCTGGCTGGATGCGACGACAACATTACTTAATGACGGGCCTGAAGTTGGCACTTTATTTTTGAGTTTGTAAGTGAGAACCTCTGAGCTGGAGACGGTATCATAGAACTTACTGGATTTTTAGTGCACACAGTGGTGATATTGCTCGCTTGCTCACGGCGTTGGGTGCTTTTGATGGCGAACCTCATCTTCCAACGACGCACGTTGTCCACGATCGTACTTGGCGGACCTCGTCAGTCATGCCTATGGGCGCGCGAATCACGTTCGAGCGATTGACTTGCTCATCAACCGATACCAAAGCTTATGTCCGAGTCAATATCAATGATCGAATTGTACCACTGCCTTCTTGTCGGTCAGGCCCCGGTGGGTCATGTCCACTGGACGAATTTGTGGATTATGTGCGCCAGCGAAAAGAGGAAGTTGGGGATTTTGGTGAGGTGTGTGATCTGAATGGGAAGACTGGAAGTATTACGTTCTTACACCATGATTAAACGATTTGGGTTTATGCATGTATATATACAATAGAAGCACCATCGAGCACCGTACTTTTAACTTGTTTCAAGTAAGAAATTGATATGTGCTGCTTTCCAAACGAAAAGGCAAAACGAAACAGACAGATAGTTGCCTTGCTTGATTATGATTATGATTACAGCACTCAAGTTGCCTTCAGATAAATTGATACAATCTAGTCTAGAGCATCGTTATTGTAGGATTACAATATGTGAGCAACCATACATCCTGGTAGTCGAGTCTTCTGGGGGTCCGGCAGACGAGTGTAGACAGCTTTATTGAAGACCCTGTGCCATAATTCGCCGAGGATACTGAAGCCAATGATGCCACACGGGGTCAAGGTACTCGTTGATCATGCGCAAGATATATATCCCCGCATTTTTAACTTGCCACAGCTGTCTACCATGGTGCAGCAGAACAGCATAAAACGCCAGCAAGATCAGCGCTTCCGGCTTTTTTGTAGACAACAAATCAATGAATCTTGACGGTGCTAGCATCAACCAGGTGTAGATCATGTAGTGCCGGTACCCGTGCCCTAGTTCCGTCGATACAGCATCAAAACCAATTTGCAGATGTCGAATGACAAGCTGACAAGCTTCCTTGTCTTCGTCTCCCAGCCCCTGAGAAGCAGAAATCAACACAGAAATGCCTTCGCACTCATTTCCTCTCGGCGAACGCGAAGTAAAGCGCGAGCTTGCTGAAAGGATAGATTCAAGCTCCGACCTCATCAATTGTGGCCAAGCGGACATAGCGAGGGTGTGAATACCTCGGTGTATCTCAACACAATGCAGATAATTTGCCATAAAGCAGTCTAGGCCACCTGTATCTTGATTTGCAAGCGTGTCGGCGAGAAGGTGGTGGCCAAGGACGGAGGAGAACAAGAGAATGCCGACACAGTTCGTTTCATCAATTTCCGTCCAATGTGAGTTAAAGAGGGAGACGGCACGGGTTTGTAGTGCCATAGCTTGGTGCTGGTAAGAGATCGATTTCGCAGGATGCACAGAGGCTAGATGGAGGGAGGAAAAGGCGAGCATCTCATGCAGAAGGTATGGATATTCCAGGCCTTTTTTGAGCACGAGGGAGGAGGCAGTATTGCGGTGAAAGTCGATCTCAGCGAGGCCGAGGCTGAATACATCATTGTCCAAAATTAAGTGAATAATCAGTTCCATATGATTGATGTTCAGATCAGCATAACGACCCCCAGGGAGGCCCGGTTGATCCTGTCGATCCTGGATATCTGTGTGCGGATACTGACGTGGATTCACGTTTGGAAGGGGGCGGAGGAGGTGGCTTCTCGGCGGGGGAGTTGTAATAGTTGAGTCTCTGGCCTTATTTTGCCAAGAATCGTCCGATTGGTTGTTACTTGACTTTATAGACTGATCATGAATTCGAGGGTTGAGGGAAGAATGTGACGAAATGGTGGTGGGGCTAGATGGCGTTCGGCTTCTAGGCGGACATGGTGCCGCATAGCTGCAATCTCGATGGGAAATGGTACATAAAAGACAGACTGGTCGACCTTCGTCACACTTTTGGTCGGAAGAGAAAGAAACCCGAGTAAGCCAAATGGACAGGGATTCTATGGAGAAATAATTGGGAGGAAACATCTGGGGCAGCTAAAAAATACCTTGACATGGCGTTCTTTGCTATGGCATACAAGCAATTAGACGTGGATGAGGGGACAAAAGTCCGTAGGCAGCGTGCTGTTAACTCACCATGGAAGGCAGCCGCCTCTTGATTTCTTGTGCCTGCGACGTAGCATTTCCGTGTCCGAGACAAATTTTATTTGCAGAACAAACACCCACAGTAATTGTGATGATACAAGGAAGCGTGTTAGTGGTGAATATCTCTCTACTTTGGCTGCTTGCTTCGTTGGATGTTGAGGCTTGTGGCCGAATACGCGTATTACGTAATACGACCGGAGTTTCCAAAATTGAGGTCACTTCTAGAGGGAGTAACTACATCTGACATGCCAAGCAGTTGAAAGTCACTACTAACCATCAAGGTGGGGCATATTTATTAGCTAATACGCGTATCCGAGTCGCTGGATTTCCCTGTGGAGAGTACATTGAAGCCAAAAGTCAGCTTGGATGATCTTATGAAATAAAGAAGATGTTTTTCTCGAGGCCCTAGATGATCAATCCTACCTATTAGGAAGGCAGTACAAGGCAAGCTATAGTAAAGTAAGGTGACTGGCTCTCTTGACCACAGTGCCGAAATGGTTCAGCCTACGAAGTCCCTGGAGCCACAGTTCAACCGTGAAAGAGAGCACAATATATAAATACTGTCGTATCTCTTTCCTCGTGCTTCGTTGCCGATTTACCTATCCATATTTGCTCATCTACCACATATCTATTCCTGCCTGAACATGCCGACCCTCCAAACCTACGAAGGCGTATATCTTTGGAAATATGTCCCCAATTTCCCCCTTGCCATCGTATTTTGTGCGCTGTTTGCAATTGCAACCGCGGTCCACAGCTGGAGGCTATTTAGGACCAGAGCCATTTTTACAATCCCACTCATACTTGGAGGTTTATGTGAGCCTCCATCCTAGAGCTATTATATGCAGTTATTGATTAATAGGACGAAATTGCTGACATATTCTGCGGTCCTCGCTTCCTTCAGGCGAGACAATCGGATATGCTACTCGCGCAGCGGCTACCTCGAACACCGGCAGCTTGATTCTATACCTTTTCCAGAGCATCTTTCTCGTCATCCCTCCCCTCGGTTTCGCGGCAACGCTCTATATGGTTTATTCTCGGATCGTCAGGGCCATTCATGGGGAACACCTCTCACCGGTTCCCATGCGATGGGCCACCAAGATCTTCGTTGGGGGAGACTTCACCTGTTTCATGGTTCAAGGCAATGCTGCTGGCCTATTGGGTAGTGACAGCACGGCTATTATTCGAATTGCCGACTATATAATAATCGTCGGCCTGATTCTGCAGATTTTGCTCTTCCTATTCTTCATCGTTTGCTGCATTGTTTTTCACAGAAGGATGAAAGTCTACGTTAAGGAAACTCGGATATCTGTTCAAATTCCTTGGCAGCCGGGTCTCAACATGCTATATGGTACGTCCATGGCTGTACTGGTGCGCAACATCTACCGAGTGGTTGAGTATGTTATGCAGTCAATATCGCGGCACGGCTATCTTCTCACCCATGAGTGGCCTCTATACGTGTTTGACAGTCAATTGATGCTCCTTCTCATGATCGGCTTTTATATCTGCTACCCAGTCGAGCTTCGGCATTGCACTACGGAATGTGGGATTGAACTGCCGTCTAGCGAATCACCAGCCTCTGCGGAGTCTTCAAATGCTCCCAACTCATCGACTTTGAACCGAAGCTGTCGCGACATTAAAGAATGAGAGTCAATATAGTGGGATTTATACAATGCAATTTAACAATATATAGAGCTCAAAGAGCGACAAACAACTGTGAACAATGAAATCTAACAGCTCCGCTGTGTTCTATTTTCTGCGCTCTTTATATGGGCATCGAAGACCAGGAGCTTTTCACGTCGCAAGATATCTATTTTCAATTTTCGTCCGCTCTGTTCAATGCACTGTCATATTTAATCCTAGTATCAATACTGTTTCGATTTCTTGGCAAGACCAGAATCCATGCCCCTCGTGCCGGTTGGACCTTGTACAACGCCCGTGGCCACTGGAGTTATGGATGAATCGTGTAGTTATTGACAGGATTAAGTGGAATTTCCACCCATTGTTGCTTCGGTCTGCTCTTCTCATTATAGATGGCGATCACGTGATCCCTACCAATGTTTACGGCGCCCAAAACTTTTGGCGTTTCCCTATCCGAAGTCTGACCCTACCACTCGAGGCGACCTGCCCATCTCCGCGATACTCTTTCGCGCTTCGATTCTCTTAATCTTGAAGCTGTCTTTGGGCTTCTTCAAACCGCCTCTGTATATTTCAGCGCTTCTGCGGCGTTCCTGCGTCGCCATGGAATACCACTCCGTGCCACCAGAGGAGCGCGCGCGAGACGAGAAGGGCAACCTCTTGCCCTGGGGTTACGTCTACAAAGAGTGAGCTTCTGGCGGTTTGAGGGTTTTCTCGATATATCGTGCTGACACTCCCCACAGTGAATCTCGCAATCCCCGTCGGCCGCCAGAAGAGACAGGACCTTTCGGCAAGAGAAGGAATGCGCGATATGACCATGCGCGCTCACGGACACGAACCGGAACACCCGCAAAGCGAGAAAATGCCAACGTCGCCGAGTTCGGTCGTTTATTCGCAGTGCAACAAGAGGAGGAAAAGACACAGGGCCTTCCCAAGTCATCCTCGTCATCCAGCCTCGACAACCCCCGGAAACAAACCGAAAAAGTTGCGACGGAGTGCATTCTCTACGGATACAAGGCCAAAGATTCCGAGTGGAAGGTGATCGATAAATACGAGCGCATCTCGCAGGGCCTGATTTGCGAGGACTACCCGCGCAGTGACCCCAATTCTGCCAGCCACTACACCCAACTCTTGAGCGGAGGCGACGTGGTAATCCGCGCCAATTTGTCGGCCGATGCAAACCGCAAATCCAAGCGCTACGATGGCGGATATCACTGGATCAAGGTCACGTTCGACTCGACCTCTGCCGCGGACCGCGCCTGCTTCTACTCGCCACAGGAGATTGATGGGCACCTTGTGTTCTGTGAACTGTATCATGGCCACGGCCCAGCTGACGATGCTGCAATCCCTGCCGGCTCTTCGACGACCAACAACCTCCGAAACAGAGCGCCGCGGACACTGACGACGTCGCACTCGACGGCTTTCCTCTCGAGCAAGGACCAGGATCGGTCAACGCTCCCGCGGTCCTTCGCAATGAACAATCTGTCAAGCGTTGCAGATGTTACAGAGGTGGATGAGGAACAATCACTGAACTCGAGCACGACAACCGCGACATCTGGGACGGCAACGGTGACAGGAGCATCGACTGGCATCCAGCTCACGTCCTCAGTCCAGCAACGCCATGTCGCTGCGGAGCCGAAGCCAGAGTCAGATTTCATGACGCACATTCCTACCGTCCGCCGCACGAAGCTCCGCCCCTTGACTGAAGCTCTCCCGCCCCAGCCGACGCTCACCGAACGTGTGCTTCGATCGATCCCCATCCTGAGCTGGTTCACCGGTGATATTGTGGGCGACGGGCCGCAACTTCGCGAAGACGGCACGTTTGATTACGACAAGTCTAATGCGTACTGGCGCTTCTGGTACATGGTGGACAAGATCCTGGGCTCTGATATCTGTGGGCTGAAGGAGGAGTCATGAAGTGCTGCCGCTCCGGCCTTTAAGAGGTCTTCTTATATCACATTGATAAATCCAGCCCGAGGGCCACTCTTGCGACAACTTGTACTCTTGACTCGTTGCCTCGAGTTTTTGACGTGCCCTATCCCACCGCCCAGGTCTGATCGTGTTATGTATGCACTCATTGAGCATGGAGTTGGATTGATTGGCGATTGCGTGTACGATAGTCGATCTCATCTTACGTAGTAGATAGATCCGACGAACAAAGTCCTGATTGGACATCTGACGCTCTCCGAATTACCTCCTGCTGTAGCTTACATCCATATCTGCTTGTCCTTGCGCCCGCAAGCAACAACCGAAAATTGAACGCTGAAATGATGCATTTCATTGAGCGTGTAGAACCATTGGTATTTCAAGACAATTTTTGAACTTAAGTTAGATCCTAGTTAGGACGTTTATTCGACCTTGCTCTCAAAGTTCTCGCCCTCAACCAGATCGGGGATATCGTCCTCGTCCTCATCATCCTTCTTGTCACCGCCCTGTGCCTTCTGCATGTTCTGGTAGCTCTCGGCCAGCTTGCGGAGCGAGGCCAGGCTGTCGGGGCCGAGCTGGTTCAGGATGCCGGGGACGAGCTCGGTGAGTTCCTTCTCCTCACCGTTGCCGTAGAGGGCGAAAGTGTTGGAGGGGACGGAGGCGTGGACTAAGATTAGAGATAGCTGTTAGATATGGGTCGGGATGGTGGGGAAAAGAGTCAAGACTCACCCTTGGGGGCAGCGAAGTGGATAACGTTGCCGTCCTCCTTGAACATGTTGACCTCCTCGATGGCCTGGATGGGCTGCACGTTCATCTTCTTCAGGGTCGTCTGCAGCTTCTTGTCGTCGGCGCCGGCGGTCTTGTGGACCTTCTTGACCTTGCGGCGGGGAGTGCCCTTGCCTCTGTGCGAAGAGTGTGTTAGTCGATATTATTTTTTCCCTTCATGGCGGGCGGCTATATCGGAGTGGAAGGGCATGTCCAAAAAAGTGATGCAATAGTCCGATTGGAGAGTGCTGGGTTACTGTATCCCACACCGGAAACCTCAATGGCAGATCGCAGTGCCCCAATCGGCAGGGAATATCTCTCGAAGGACGGGTAACCGGAGGTCGGGCATGGGAAGTGACGGGTTCAACAGAGACAGATTATACATACCCTATTCAAAAGCGAAGGAGTCAGTAAAGGTTTCAAAATCAACGGAGAAAAAGACCTGGCGCCAGGCGAAACGAAAAAAAGACAAGCCAGCAGATCCAGCGGAGTCGACGGAGCATGACTAGCTTCGAGCCTCGATCACGAATCCCCAACAGCATGCCCCGAGGAACAGAGATGAAAAAAACAGAGCCGAACATACCAATCCGCACGCTAGCCTGCATTCTAGCCAACTTTGCCTGATCCATGGTGACGATGGGAGGGGTGTCGTGTCGCCTGTACCGCGACGGTGAGAGTTAGCCGAGGGACGCAGTCGGAGCTTGTGCGGGACAAGAATAAATCGGTGCGAGAATGTGTGGCGGATGAATTAAGCGTGGGGCAAGAACATACCGACTCGAGAGAAACGGGTAGATGGGTGGTGAGAGGGTGGAAGTGGGTGGTTGGTTGAGGGAAGTGGAAGTGATGATGCGCTTCGTTCGAGGCGGAGAGTTTTGTGTGGGGAGTTTGTTCGCCGGCCTTCGCTAAGTGTGGGCGGCCGGAATGGTTAGTACTTATGGTAGACTACAGTCTGCGATTTTGGTATCTACTATATTGAACTATGGCTATCATCTACTGTGGTCATTCCGATTGACTAGATAGTTGCTGGAGTGGTGAGACTACGTTGATTGTGGGTGTTGAAAGGCCCTCTCGGCTAAAACCCTAACTACTACATACGCTTTGCAGACTCAGCTTCAATGTCATCGACTAGATCACCTACTATTAGACACCGTTAGAAGTACAGTTATATTGTTATTTTCTCAATTCATTGCTCCCATTTAATTTTTTGGCCACAACTGCAGCCAGAGTCGCAGTGTTCTCTGGACAGGGACCCCGGAGTAGCCAGCACCGCTTGCCAACCATGTATTTGGAACATCAAACCCCTAGACGAGTGTCTCATATATATAGGCTGAACTCTTTCATATCAAATAACAGAGGATCCAAGTGTATTTCACCCACCAGAGGCCGCCATGGTGAATCCAGTCTGATCACATGACTTTTAAAGTCACGTGTAAGTTGGTACCATGATGCACATATGCCTTGACACCTTAACATCTGGGGATATCAACATCGAAATCGTCAGATCAGATCTTAGCAGAATCGCAAGAACCTTCTTTTTTTGATTGCATAAAATGGGCCTTCCTTCTCGATGTTGATGGGTTTGAGAAGTGGATAAAGGCAGTAGTTCTTCTGTCATAGAGAAAAGCTGGTCCTGACCTTTTCTCCTGCTCTCCTTGTCTCTTTCATCCATCGCGACTTCGCGTCCGTCCCAGATGCTTTCATCGCCCTGTATATAAAACCTCTGTCTTGATCTTGGGTACCCATCTGGAAACAGACCAAACTTATTTAGACATGCGACAGCCCAAGCCCGGAGCACTCCGCACGCTGGACCTGACGATCCGTACATGTGTACGGAGTATTAGGCGCCTCCGCCCTCAGCGAACTGGGATTGATGCCTAGTCGAACACGCTAAGACCGCGTCTTCTAACCAGAGGCCGTGTTAACACCCGGTGCGTGATACTATAATTGTGTTGGGTGTTGATCCCTATTTGGGGGCCATACTACAAACCGCGCCCGCTCCTGCTCCTGGGTCACTCGGAACGGCCCTATGGACGGGACCACACGATACCAAAACTTTGATTGCCAGAGTGACAGGATAATCTGGTGTCTACAAGCAAGCCGCTCGCTCATTGAGCCTTGCGCAAGGCTAGTTACAAAACTAACCATCCCTAAGCCCTTGGCTTAACTTTAGCCCCTGGACCCTTTTTATAAAAGGCCCCTGCTGAAAACGAAGGGCCAATTGTTAATGATTGTTTTTTGCCGGATCTGGATTTCATGACTCGCAGCGGATGCAGAGGGTTCAGTTGGCCAGTTGCCCGCATTATACTGTATCACCAGGTTGCAGCCTGGTTATGGCATTGCTAAAATGCCAATATCTCCTGTCGATCTCCTCCCTCCTGTGGTATACGGGTTGTTCGGCCAATTATCATCGGTGGAGAAGAGGATGTGGGTAACGGACCGAAAACGAATGAAAATGGTCCGTGTTTTGCGACGGAGCTCTGAGTGCGTGGTGCAAAACTCAACCCAAACACTACTGGTCCGCCCAGTAGTTATATGGCACATTCCTCATACAGAGTAGGTAGTTGTACGGTTCAATACTAAAAACGACGACGAGTAGTACATACATACATGGTCTCCGCACCGACTGGCGCTATGCTCAGCGAGGCTGCAATCCACTATAACACGCGGTGGAGCGAGCCTCGTCGGTTTAAATATTATGGCCCCCCGCCCGTAGTATCGGTTCTCTAGTCTCTCACTCTCTTCCCAAGTGAATTGCCTTCTAAAAGCACACTCTTCCACCTCTTTTGGGGAGTTTCGATGGCCTCTTCCCCGCCATAATAATGGCAGTACATTCATTTGAGAAGAGCCTGGCGCTCAAAGTTATCATTTTCTACGCCCTGGCCTTGATTACGGGGGCAACGGAGTGTTATTATCCGAACGGCACACCGGCTGATGGGGATGTTCCTTGTCGTGGGGATGGAACGGCGAGTGCCTGTTGCGGCCCAGACGCCGTCTGCCTGACGAATGGACTGTGTCTGGCTATCGAGCAACCATTCGGCCTGTCGCGCGGGAGCTGCAGCGACTCAACATGGCAGTCTGACAACTGTGCTCAGTATTGCGGAAGTGAGTCTTCGCCAAACTGTTTTTGTTAAGTTTATGCATACTAACCCATTATCTATAGTGGACTATGGACCTGCCGGCGGAGCAGCTTTAGTACTCTTCAACAGCACGGGCTCGGACTCATACTACTGCTGCAACTCTGTTATCGCAGAAGACAACGCCGCGACCTGCAGCAACTCCATGACCGGTGAACCCTCAACACCCTTTAAAGTGAACAACGCAGAACTCGTCCCCGGAGTGGCCGCCCTGTCCAACCTGGTCAAGAAGTCAAAATTGTCGCATATCGCCTCCCATGCCGCCCCCCAAACAGAACCAACAAAGCACACCACGAATTCGAGTACAGAAGAGCTCAATTCCAACAACACAACCTGTGACTCGAACAAAGATGTAGCAATCGGGGCTGGCGTCGGCGTTCCCCTCGGACTCCTGGCGATCGCGTTCCTCGTCTGGGCATTGTGGGAGCGGAGAAGAAGAATGCAGGCCGTGGCAGCGGCTTTGGCAGCCCACAAGAACGCTGATTCTCATGACCTTGTGCGTGAGCTTCCTGCGTCTATTCCGGCCCGAGTAGAACTCGAGAGCGTTTCGGGTAGCTGCAGCAGAACAGACGGTTCCTATCACAACGGATCATACCGTTAAATCAAGAGAGTGGGGTCCCTCTTGGTTGCACCTTCTTTAGTTGAATTTTCTTGAATATACCAGATTGCAGAATAGCATAATATACTTCTTCGAGCATAGCCTCGGAGTTTCTTGTCCGTTTGATCTGCTCTGATACCTGGCTAACGAGGCACCCCAAATAACTTCTGTATATGAGCTGTCTAATTGCACTCTTCATTAGAATTAACAATAACCCCTCGTCTGTCTAAAAAGGTGGAGGGTCCAGCAACGGATTCGAAGTCGCGCGCCACGAGGGCAATCTAACAATGAAAAAGTCTATTGGTTGTTAAGGGGCTTTGATGCTCCAACCGGGTCTACGAGCGATGCATATTAGACGTGTTCTAAGCGCTTTCCCAGATCATGCCGTCTATCAGAGCCTCCTTGCCTTGCATATCTCCACACGATTTGGCGCCCAAGGAGACGTCGGATAGTGGGGCACTTGATATCACTGGACAAAACTTCTTTCAACCTCAGCCATTGGCTTGCATTAGTGCGGCATAGACCGCTATCGCTCCTGGACCAAGTTCACCGCCCTCTCCTGTAAGTATTTCCCACCAACAACGGAAGGCTTGGTCTATTCACGGTTCTAACATCGACTTTGATTTCTCTATTCGCCTTCATCCTACAACCATCGACAATACCAGAGATCCATTCCGATAAAGACCTCCCCAAATTGCTCGACACAACTACAAAGCAAGTCAGATGGGTAAAGAAGCAGGTCCTCAAGCATCCAGGGAGTGCTGTAAAGCACATCGATAGGCCTCCTATGCAGGGAATGTTTAGTCGGACCCTATTTTTGACCTTAGCGGATGGTCGTGAGGTAGTGCAACAGTTTCGTACTGAGCCACTCGACTTAGACGCTTTTAGGATTGCTGGGAAGTCCTTGGGCCCCGTTGTGCCCGATGCCATAGCTTTGGAAGATGAGGAGCTTCTTAAAGAGGGCGTTTGGGCTTATTCCTTCAATCGTCTACATGGCAAGATGTGGATTCACGGAATTGCTGGCAAGGGCGCGACGGGTCGAAGTGCTATCAATAGATCCCTTGGTCGTGTTCTATCAAAGGGCTACCTCGCTTATAGTAGCGATGAGGCCGTTGATGGCCGTATTCGATCCCATCTTGAGGCTCTCTTAGCATCACCGCTAGAGAGTATCGATGGAATGGCAGCAGATAATCGCGACAAATTAAAGGGAAAAATTGACCTTGTGCAGGATGCCGTCATCCTTGGGACTTTTTTAGATTGCCTTTCTTTTGAGAACGGGAAGGTTATTGTTGGCTCGATTTCTGGAAAGGCTCTCCCCAAGCTTCTTACGTATCGAATCCCTTTTGTTAGAGGGAATAACCCCCCATACGGAGATTAGAGCTGCTAATTCACCTCCTTGTCGTTATGAATTATTAACCGGTCTTCGTAGGGTGGAATAAATGCTGTATAGCGGTACAGCAAAACATCCACAAGCCCGTACATCGTACCTCCATACGCAATATCGACAGACATCTTGCCAAGCCCCGGAACTTCGATTTGAAAATCGAGTTCGAGAGAACGGATGGAAGGATATTATCGAACTCAACGCTCTTGCATTTGTCAGCGCCACACTCAGCAGTAACGGTGATCAGCCTGGCAGCGGTGTCCAAAGTCACCTTTGTGATAAGTTCTTTCATCGAGGTCATTCCAGTCTCCAATGACACAGTTGTGGTGCACACTGTGTTTGACCCACACATAGGTGCGTTTTCTCGCCAAAATATCCATACCTGACAAGGGTTTAAATTGAATTGTCGGACTAGAAGCGATTACGATTAGCTATAAAGTGCTTGTGTATTTCCTGAACCAGCGGCGTTTTCACAACCTTAATTGCAATATCTTATTGGTAAGTGGTACCTGGTTTTGGACATGCCCAAGACCCACGCATATCTAGGCTGGCCATCGTAAAGAATCAGGGGTAGAATTTATGGTAGGAGCGGGTAAAATCCAGAGCAAGAATTTGATGCTGGAGTAGGCTGCATATTGATACCAGTATTCAGCTTATCTAGTGGGGAAGAAGGAAATAATCAAGGGGTTTGTTTTGACGGTTGGAATGAAGTGAGGAATGCGGGCTATTTACTGCCATTCTCAGCGATGAGAGTGACATAACCTACTACGCAATCTACTATGTGTAGTGCGGTACACAAAATGCCTTGCGATTAGAGAAAGTGTTGTGCGTACAGAGGGATCCTAGATAAAAGATCCCCAATCCATTCCAGCATCTTAGACGTACCATTTCCAAGATCCAAATATTTGACATCATGGCTGAAAAAGACACCAAGATCCCCGTCCCCATTGAGGATTCAAAGGACACGACGGATATACCTATCCAGATATGGAAATATCAGACCGGAGAAATCGACAGTGCCTATGATGCTGTGTTCGGCAAAGTCAACGAAAATGGGCCTAATTATCGCAGTGTGAGTGTTCTGAAAATGAATATAAACTCTATGGAAACCATGAGACTCAAAGGCATCTAGGTTGGATGGTGGGGCACAGTTGCTTTAATGCTGAAGACCCAGATTGGCCTGGGTGTTCTCTCCATCCCGGCCACTTTTGACGTGCTGGGATTGGTGCCAGGAATTATCTTACTTTGCATCGCGGCAGGAATCGCAACATGGACTAGCTACATGGTTGGTGTCTTCAAGCTGAATCATCGCGAAGTATATGGCATGAATGATGCAGGGGGGTTGATGTTTGGCAAAGTTGGGCGGGAATTATTTGGACTCGCGTTCTGCCTTTGTAAGTGAATTATTGACTGATATACTTCCAAATTTGGGTATGATGCGTACTAAGTACGAAAGATTGGATCTTCGTTGCCGGGTCCGGTATTTTAGGTATATCGATCAGCCTGAATGCTGTCTCGGGCCACGGCACCTGTACTGCTGCTTTTGCTGTTGTTGCTGCTACCATTGGATTTCTATTTGCTAGCATTCAAACTCTGAGTCGAATTAGTTGGATAGCGTGGGTTGGTTTGGCAAGTATTGTTACAGCTGGTCTGTACTCATCCCCTATTCCTCACCATTTAGCCCTTTTCCTCTCCACATCATCCTTTCATTCTAATATTCGTGTCTTCTAGTTCTTACTGTGACTATTGCGGTTGGTATCCAAGGCGGACCGAGCTCTGCACCACACGGCTGGACTTCAGATTTTAAAATCGTTCAAAGACCATCGTTTGCAGATGGCGTTTCCGCTGTGTCTACTCTAATTTTTGCCTGCACTGCTACACCCGCATATTTCTCTATTGCAGCTGAGATGCGGGACCTTCGATACTTTAATCGTGCAGTGTTTTTGAGCCAACTCTGCTCCACCGTTTTGTATGTGACCGTCGGCGCCACTGTTTACTACTACTGCGGGACCATGGTGGCCTCACCTGCTCTAGGGTCTGCTGGTCCTTTGATCAAGAGTGTCTCCTATGGCATTGCCTTGCCTGGCCTGATTGCGTCAACCACTATTCTGATTCATGTACGTCTATACTTCGCACCATGGTCGTTCCAAAGAAACCCCGTTTCCTCGCCTGTTCAACGCTCATAATACCTTATAAGCACCAGATACCAAGCAAATACCTTTTTGTCCGTATCCTTCGAGGGTCACAACACTTGACGTCAAACACATTCATCCACTGGAGTACTTGGATTGGCTGCACATTCGGGTGTACCATTATTGCATACGTTATTGCAAGTGGCATTCCAGTTTTCAATAACCTCCTTTCCCTCATCGGCGCCCTGTTAGGGGCAATTTTAGCCTACCAAGCTGCTGGCTGTATGTGGTTCTACGACAACTGGAGTGATATTCATACTACAAAGAGAACCTGGAGGTGGATCGCCCTTGCCTTTTGGAGCGGTTTCCTAATTGTGGTTGGGACATTCATAACTATCGCTGGCACATATGGGTCGGTTGTTAACATTGTCGACTCCCTTCAAAAAGAAGGCAGCTCCAGGTCCTGGACTTGTGTTGACAATTCCAACTCGTAGGTAGGCAGAGTTGTGGGACATTTGGAGAATTTTTGGCTAAATGCTCGGACAAAGCGCAAGGGAACAGGATCTATCATCAAGTCTGGCCTACAAGATAGCCCAGAATTCAGTATTTATTGATCACTTACAGTTACGTAGATGTTATTCTTCATTCTAATAATATTACTTGAGCCTTTTTGTTCCGCTGTCACTTACCCACTCTCGCGAGATGGTTCTCCTATATTGTAGCGCAGTCTCCTGTGGAATTAGGTGAATTAGGTACTCGGTGATTTCTACGCTCCTTCGGAGACACTTGCCCTTTCGGGTATCTATCACTTTGCGTCCAAACCAATCAGTGAGGATATATGCATCAACTGCATATTTCACAGATGATAAAATTTTCATTATCTGTTCACGCAATGGATAAAAATAGAAGGGTTATTTAAACAGTCTGGAAATACGAAGGTTTGGTAATCCCATGCGTTGATATCATCGTACCGGCACGGCGTTGAAGGGCATCAGCCATACTCAAATTGTGACATGAGAGAAGAAGCCGAAAGAAATGATTAATATGCAGCAATTATTAACTCTCTATTTCGAATGGTTTGCGCATGTACATTGGCATATTTCCTATATCATAATGCACATCTGTGCTTGTTCTAGCGAATCTAAAGCTTAGTACCCATGTTAACATGGACAGCCTTGACCTGGCTGTAAGCCTCAAGACCAGCCTCTCCCAGCTCGCGCCCAATACCACTTTGCTTAACGCCACCAAAAGGGATGCGAGGATCGCAGTCTTGGCTGCTGTTAACCCACACCATTCCAGACTCGATTTCTGCAGCCACGCGGTGCGCACGCTCAAGATCACGAGTAAAAACAGCTGCGCCGAGGCCATAGGTAGTGTTATTGGCGCGGCGGATAGCTTCTTCCTCGCTGTCAAACGGGAAAAGTACTACTACCGGACCAAACACTTCCTCCTGGGCAATGCGCATCGAGTCTGTCGCATTGGTGATCACTGTAGGCTGGATGAAGTATCCGTCTTGGTTTTTCGCTTCAGCAGGCTTGTAGGGTGCTCCCCCGGTGAGGATTGTAGCGCCTTCACTCTTGGCAATCTCGAAGTAAGAGAGGATGCGATCATACTGAGCGCGTGTCACCTGCGGACCTTGAAAGACAGATTCATCCCACTGGTCGCCGATCTTAACACTCTCGACCGCCTTCTTGAAGCTGGCAGTGAAGACGTCGAGGATATCTCGGTGAACATAGATCCTAGAGGTAGCAGTGCAGATCTCGCCTTTGTTAGACATGATACCAAAGTGCGACCATTTCACGGCTTGCTCCATGTCTGCATCTGGGAAAACCAGAAGTGGCGATTTACCACCGGTCTCAAGAGTAATGTTCTTGAGCGATCCAGCAGCTGCCTTCATAATTACCTTGGCTGTGGCTGTCGAGCCGGTAAACGCAATCTTGTCGACCAGCGGATGCGACGCTAGTGCTGCGCCAGCGTCACGTCCATACCCATTGACGATATTGACAACACCGGGTGGGAATCCAGCTTCTTTGATCAGCTGGGCTAGAATGAGTACACTCAGAGGGGTCTGCTCTGCAGGCTTCAAGACAACGGTGTTGCCGCAAGCAAGAGCAGGGCCGAGCTTCCAAGTGGCCATGGAAAGAGGATAATTCCAAGGGATAATCTGGCCCACAACGCCAATAGGTTGGCGGATGGTGTAAGCAAACTTTTGAGGGGTGGTGTTGATTGTCTGGCCAAAGATCTTGTCGGCCCAGCCGCCATAGTAACGAATTGTGGTGATTGCTTCCGTAAGGTCTTCCTCAAGGGCAACGTGGTAGGGTTTTCCTGACGAAAGTCAATTGTGTGGCGAGCATATTGCTTCGACACAAGACATACCATTGTCCCATGCATCAATGGTAGCAAAAAGCTCTCTGTTTTGCTCCATGAGATCGGCCAGTCGCAACATGAGCTGGCCCCGCTCCGTGGCGGGCAGCTGTTTCCATGATGGATGCACCAGAGCGGCTTTGGCCGCCTTCACGGCATGGTCGACGTCTTCGGCACTGGCAGCATGCACGGTCGCAATTGGCCTGTCGGTTCTATCAAACAATAAACGATCAGCGATGTTCGCAGCAATTGACTTGGATTATGACACACGCGGGGTCCAAGGAAGTGATGGTCTGCCCTCCCGTAGCAGGCACAAATTCGTTGTTGATGAACAGGCCAGTGGGTTGCTTATAGCTGCGCCCGTTGGGAGCGACGATACCAACGAACAGGGACATTTTTCACGGCTTTCTCCAAAATATTCTAATATTCCCTGTCCTCAATCCTGGATGTTCCGAGATATATGTTTGTAGCCGCATCCTCGAAGTGGGTTAAGCCAGTTCGGGCAAGTCCTTCCGGCGATTTGCTGGTGGCCCAGAGACAAGCAGAAAGCGATTCCTCGGTCAAAATTGGCCAATGACGCCTGTATCTAGATTCAATTCCCTTCATGTTGATTGTTCACTTCCAAGGTCGATTTCGTCCAGCTTTTTATAGAAAGAACGTTGTATCTGGTTCAAATTCTGAACTTCTATTCCATACCAGTGCTTTTACTTCTAAGAGGACGTGTGGGTCAAAGAGAAAACCTGTGCCACGGGATGACTCGTCGATGGCACTAGATCACCACTGCCCAAGAATTTGTGGAATTGATGCATGGGACTGAACCTTCTGGGGATTGCTAGTTTCCTAAACTTAGCTTCTTCGTTACTAGGAGGTTTAGCTGCCCACTGCCCACTTAGGCTATTATATTTCAATCGTCTACCTAGTATTGGGTTATCTTAAGCCTCTCACGAGGGTCAGCTGTCTGTTTGTACTATGATCCATTCGGGCCCTAGCCCGCAAGGGTTCGGGTTGAAGTCCCGAAAATTCAACCACTTGTGCATTTACCTAGGATTACGTGTCGATATTTGGCAATGCCCGGGGTTACTTTTGTGCGAATGCATCTTGTAGCCCTTTCCTCAGCACGCTGCAGAGCTTCGAGGTAGCTGGAATTTTGTTCCCTTCTAGATGAATAGAAACGGAATAACGCACATCAATGCGCTTAAGCCCTCATAGATTATTAAGGCCCAAAAATGCTCAACTTTTTCAACACCGGCGTGTTAATTACATTAATCAGGTAGGCATCGAACAATTTGATGCACAGAATTTGCCTGCAATAAATAATGATAATGGCAAACAAGAACTGCCAGCATATCCCATTTTGTATAGTCCATCCATCACATGACCTCCGAAAGAAACCGCCGAAGCCCGGACAGTGACATCATCCCGTGCCTGAGACAAGGAACTTCTCTTCTTCCTCGCAAAGCTCAACTTCTTCACTCTTTCCCATTCCAACCCGAAGAACACCTTTCACAATGTTCCGCTTCGTATGTATAATCACTCTCCAGCTCCTACCTTCCTCCTTTCTCTACCCCAAACTCCTCGATCCATCCCATCCGCTACAGCCAACCAAGCACTAACCCATCCACCCAACAGAGCAAGACCCTCGACCCAATAACCCTCTTCCACTCCCCGTCCCTGGCCTCCAGCACTCGGGCATTGAACATCCTAAAACAAGCCTCGATCAACGCCTCCGAAACAGCAACGGAGGACCAAGCAAGCGACTACTCCTCGCACGCGAAGCAGCAGCGCGGCGACTTCGAGCTGGAAGTCACCACCAACCCCCCGACGACGGATCAGCTGCGCAATATCCTGGATTATATCTCGCCTGTTAGCGGAACGGGACCGCAGGGTGAGAAGGCCACTTATGGCGTTTCCGAGCTCGTGAAGGGGGCGAAGGATGCGGAGGACGCGATTAAGAAGTTTAAGGAGGATGCGGGGAGCTTTGTTCGGCCTGTTGTGAGTTTTTCTTTTCCCTTTTGGGTTTGATTTTTGGTTGAGATTTTACGGTTATATGGGTGTGCGTGCTAATATGTTTCCCTTTTAGACTGTCGACTGGGTGAATGGCAGAGCCGTCATTGGAGATGGCGAGTCGGAGATCCTGAGGATGGTGCGCCAGCTTCCCCAGAACTGAGTGAGGGCATGGTCGACATCGTCTTTCTTGCTCTTCCCGTCTCCGTCACTGCAGTCGATACTAGATATAACATATGTAGGCGGATGGCAGAAATGCATTCGTCTATGTATGTATCATACAACCATGAATTGAATTGAAACTCCTTCCATCAAAATCAATCCGCACCGTAAAAAGGAATCTCAAGAAACAGGAAAAAAGCAACATTAAACTCATACTGAAAACATGCCCAGCAATCCAACCCAAGGTCCAGCTCGGAGTAGTCAAAGTCAAGCGGGCTCCAGCGAAACATAAAGTCTGTTAGTTAAAACATTGTGCCGAATGTGCCATCCGTCGCAATGGGCTTGCGGGGCGAGTTGCGACCCGTGCTATCCACGGCAGGTTTCCGGTGACTGATTGTAGACTCAGTCAGTGAAAAGACCGAGTAAAATAACGAAAGAAAAGAAACATACCGGAAGGTAAATCCAACGAACAAGCCCTTGCCCATCTTGTCGCCGCGGTCTGCCATCTCTTCCAACGCGCGCTGCTTATCATGCACCTCCTTGTATTTGGCCATATCGGACTCGTTGCTGAAATCATCAAAGTAGCCGGCATCTGTCTCCGAGTCCAGGTCCGGGACGAAGGGTGCCTTCTGCTCGCGCAGATGGGCGAAATCGACCTCGTTGAAATAGTCATGCGCATGGATCTCCTGGATGTTCTTGAACCGCTGCTCCTTCGCCGCAACCAGCTTGGTGATGAGGTCCCAGGTTCGACGCGACAGGAAGTAATTCGGGTCTTCGTACACGGGCTTGCGAAGCACCTTTTGCCAACGCTTCAGATTCTGCCACGTCTCATCCACCGTCGCACCTGCGAAGGGTGGGTAGCCTGCCAGTGCTTCGAACAGCATGCACCCCAAGCTCCAGTAATCAACCGTGAAGTCGTACTCCTCGCCCTTGAGCACTTCGGGGGCCATGTAGTCTGGAGAGCCGACAATCGATTTGGCATAGTTGACATCGCGCTCCCGCAGAGTCCGGTAGCCCTGTCGTCTCTCCGCCATTGTGCGCTGCTCCATCGGCTGTCCGAACGGAACTGGAGTGTTACCCACCTCCTCCAGCTTGACCCGCATGGACTCGATCTTTCGCGGGTTCAGCATCCCCGCGGCCAAGCCAAAGTCGGTCAACTTGACGTGGCCGGTCGAGTCAATCAAGAAGTTCTCCGGTTTGAGATCTCGGTGGATGTATCCCAGGACGTGAAGGGCATCAATGCAGCTAAACATCTCAGCAATGTAGAATCGCGCGTGTCGGTTGTGCAGAACGCCGGTGTTGTTCAGGAGAGTTCGGAAGTCCCCACCAGGCACATACTCCATGGCCAAATAGATCTGATCATCATCTTGGAAGGCATACAGAAGCTTGACAAGCCATTCGCTCTTGGCAGCAGTCAAAATATCGCGTTCGGTCAGAATGTGGCGGATTTCGTCCAGCTTAAACAGCAGTTTCTTGCTCATCACCTTCAACGCGCACACTTCCCGGGTATCCTTCTTCTGAGCAAGGTAAACCTGCCCGTAACCACCCTGACCGACCTGGGTCAAAATCTGGAAATCATGCTGGCGCAGGCGCGTGCGACGCTTGCGGAGGTGCGCTCGCTCGCGACCGAGATATTTCAGCAGAGCAGGCTCATATTCTTCAGCCGGAGTTGTAGGAGGGTCGGGATATGCATTCTTGAACTGTGTGTGACGGGTTTGACGGTTATGAACGTAGCTGAGCAGATCAAAGTAGTGGTCGAGGAAGTCTATCCAAGTGTTAGTAGCGACAATCACAAGACAAATCAACACGTACAGAGTTGAGTCACATTGACCAATCGCTTGACGCGGGGCTGGTTCAGCTTCTCCAGTTCCTCCGGGGTCAGCCCGCGCATCTGGACATGTTGACGCCGGGACGAAGTGTCCGTGTCGCGCTGCTGATATGGCTCGTGGCGCGAGATGGCCGCGGCAGTGGGGTTGAGGCCCAGGTCCTTAGTTGTGCGCGTCGGGCTTGGGGGTGTATTCTCTTTGTTTCCGCGGCGTGTGGGACTGGAAGGTTGGTGGATGACACTCTCGTTGAAGTCTTCGAGGCTGCTCTTGCTGCCGGGTGTAAACATGGGGTGGTTGTAGTGGTTGTGGGTGGATTTGGAGGGCGAGGTGGGGGTCAGCTTCATGGCTTTGTCGAAGACATTGGGCAGATCCAATGCGCCTGGCGGCATGCGACTCTTGCTTGGGCTGCCCTGAGGTGTTTGGGGTGGGCTTGTGAAGCCATTGTCAGCGGGGGTGGAGGGGCGGTTGAAGGACTCGTTGCCTGAGCGAGTGTGAAGCAGCGGAGGAGGGTTGGGCAGGCGCAAGCTGGGGCGCTCAGCTGGGTCTTTCGCGACGTCGATGGCCATGGTAGACAGCGGCAAACGACAGAAGGGTGGGTGGGAGGAAGAAGAAGGAGGAGAGAGACGGAGAGAGGGATGAAGGAGGGACGAGGCACCGACCCCTTGGATCACACTAACTGCCTTCGTGCAGACAGACTAAACAGAGCCGCGACAAGGATAGAGAGGAATATTTGTCCCAAGACTGCCCTCTCTTATTATTTATTATGATTCTAAAGCTGACTTGTGATCGGCTCCAGCTGTTCCTCCCCACCGATCTGATCGCTCGCCCTCCACCGCGGGATCTCCTACGGTGCCTGGCAGTTGCCCTGGCAACTCGCTCCACGTCATACGGGCTGTGCAAAAACTCGTTCTCCCAACACTTAGAGTGGCACTATCGATCGGAGCTGAGTATTATTAGTGCCCCACGGGTGATCAGACAACACGGAATTTGAAATATTCGCCATCATTAGCGTGGTAGGCGGACTCTTCTTGTCATGACAGGCAACTATAAAACTAGTTTCAATTGCTTCAAACAGCTATACACATCCAATTGTAGTATATTCCCACCTGTATAGGATAAGCACACGGTACAAATCTCATCGCAACAGTTCATCCAGCTCAGCTCCACTGTAAGCAAACAGCCCCATCGGGACTGGCCCACCCAGATCCATGGGAATCATCACGCCTGGCCCTCGGCGCGCTGTCCAGTCTGCACGTGCGAATAAAGTCAGAAAAACATGTCGCATAAAACTCAAGGAAACTTACGTAGAATGCCAGCCCATAGTCCTGCGTCGTAAAAGTGATCTTGGATCCCTTGGGGAAATAAAACACATCCCCGGGCCCGGCCGTGACTGTTTGGCCGGTCTCATCTGAGATCTCGAACTGGCCTTCGACGATGATCTTCATCTCGTCGTAGTGGTACTCGTAGATGAGCGGAGTGCCTTTTTCCAGACGGTAGAAGCCACAGGAGATGGGCTTGTCGGCATTGTTCTTGTCACTACATAGGGTGTGTTAGTAACATATGCACAAAATAACTATCAGCAGTACCTGGAGAAGACATCGCCCAGATACGCGTTCTCGTTGGCAATGAGAGGCGGCTTGAAAGTGGACTGCGCCTTGGCGTGGTAGGTGAACGGGGTGGGCATAATGTATCGAGTGTATGGTATATGGTAGTTGATCAACAGTGAAGAATCACTTGGGCAACTCGTCCTTATATGTGTCGGATCATAATCAACCGACAATATTCCCGGATGAGGAGATTCTCTCAATGCCTTCTCTCTCGGGTCACTGAGGGCAATGATATCCTCGCCGCAGCAACTAGTCGGATCCGATCTCCCAACTAGGCAGGCCAGCAGTAAGTAAGCGGGGTCTGACCTTCATGTCGATAGAGAAAAGCGATTGTCATGAGGGGTGAGGGGAAGGTTAAAGCTTGGGGATGAAGATCTATAAATGCGGGATGTCATCAACCGTTCAGTGGAGGTTCAATCCACTGTACGTGACTCCCAGCTTCTGCAGCATATCATCATCTGAGATTTTATGCAAGAAAGACCGCGGGAATGGTATGAATGCTGCATTTCTCAGGAGTGAAATGCCTAGTAGTGACAGGACTCGGATGCTTAGGAGGATCTTTTTGCCAGAAGCGGTTAGTCTGTCCCGCTGACATCTACATATGACGGGTACACGACTCTGCAAATAGCACTAGAGAATTTCCCCTGAACCCTAGCAACAAAGCATTGTGTTCAATTATATATGGAAGTTTTCTTGATATGGCGTTTTGCTAACTGTTCACGAAGTTCGAGAACGATCTGGTTGAATATATATTTCTCGTGGTCCAGCTTACATCAAAACCTGATCATAAAATAAAATTATGAAGTCCGCATGCAAATTTAATTGAATATCCAGTTGATTTTGGCAACTCAACCCAAGACCTATTGTTTCAAAATGACTACCCATGGTCTCCCCAAGGTCGAGCCGCTGGGACCACACCTGTCCATACGGATGGGTATCTACATCTCTGAGAATACCTGCTACGGTCGGCGCCACATGCCTAGTTTAACACGTCGGCGGTTAGAGATGTGACGGAATTTAGGCGCCCGGAGTGATTGGGCAAATCCTTCACAACCTGTCCTACATAAATACGATTGAATGCAGGGGGCCGTTTAGCTGGCGGCAAAATGGTAGTAACCAGACCTTACATAATTTACAGATCCCCGCCTAGCGTGCTTCAGCCGCGTGATTTTATTCAAGCAGTGCGTTTCGACATCCCCTCCATCTGTTTTACACTGGCGCCATAACCAGTGCTGTCCCTGCCTCACAGAGACCTGTCCACCATGGCAGGCGGGGAAATTGCTGGTTCCGTATTCGAATGGCTTTCCGTCTCATTAGCAGTTGTGGTCGGGTTATACGCGACGCTTCTGGGGTTACTCACAACATCGACCTTTCAGTCCCATGTTGTCTACCTACATGCAATTCAGATGACGTGGTTCAAGGACCTCGATGTCCCCGAAACCTTCGGCTTCCTGAGGAATCAAGTCACCCCTTTCTCGATCAAGACCTCTGACGGCGAACGGTTGTATGCTTGGCACATTCTTCCCGTTGAGCTGTATCGCAAGCACGAACAGTCTCTAGTTGAGGAATCAGAAGGTTCTGTTTCTGATATATCATCTCGCCTCTCGTTCCGGCTTTTGCGCGATGATCCCGACGCCCGCTTGGTCATTCATCTGCATGGCGCGGGGGGGACCGTCGCTTCAGGATACAGAGTTCCCAACTACCGTGCGCTGTCTGCTGGAGACCCGGCCAAAATCCATGTCCTGACTTTTGATTACCGGGGATTTGGTCGAAGTACCGGCTCGCCATCAGAGCCTGGACTCATCCTTGATGCCCTTGCTGTTATAGACTGGGCCATGAAGGTCGCGGGCATTCCTGCGTCTCGGATTGTTCTTTTTGCTCAATCCATGGGCACCGCAGTCAACATCGCTGTGTCCAAACAGCTTGCCTTGCAAGACCCACCCGTCGTCTTTGCAGGCACTGTTCTTGTTGCACCATTTGTTGACGTGGCGACACTAGTCTCTACCTATCGCGTGGCAGGTACCATCCCGATCATATCACCGCTCGCCCGGTTCCCGTTTATTTTTAAACATCTCCAACGCTTTATACGAGATAAATGGTCAAGCAAAGACAATATCGCAGCATACATCCGATCCAACGAACTCAACAGCGAAAAGTATCGCCTGACGATCATTCATGCCGAGGATGATTGGGATATTCCATGGCATCACACTCAACTCTTGTTCTGGCATGCAGTCAATGCTTCGATCAATACAGGAATAAGCTACGAAGAACTCGAACAAAAGAAATTAGACTTGAAGACAGATCTAGGCGCCGCTGGGTCGGCCATGGAATGGCGAACGGATCATGGTGTCATTCGAGAAGAAATACTCAAAACTGGCTTGCATGATGTTATCATGGGATATCCAGTTATCACCATGGCTGTTATGCGCTCTTTTGAAGCGGCGAATGCGTCGTTTACGTTGAATTAGATTACACGTGCGAGGTGATAGGGTGCCGGGGATCAAGCTCCCGCGCTCCCGATCCTTGAGAATTTTTGTGTGCGAAGCGGATGCATTAGTTCGCGTTAGGCTGCAGTTCTTATGTTGGCATTTATACTTCAAATATGGCGCGCGCTTTTGGAGGGTTTTCACGGTGGACGAATGACCCATGACAGTTTTGTGGATTGTTTGCTTTTGTATAGTGAGATGGTATTTCGAGGTTCATTCACATACATAGCGAGAGATGTTCAAAATCTACTGGAAAACCGAATACATCAGAAACAAGGGCAAGGTATGTGGTATGAATCAACCAACAATCAGTGTCCCTGGTATGTCCTCGTCCTCCCAAGTAACGCTCCAATACAGATATGTAATGAATGATGTTCAACTTGACAAAAGATCTGCCAAATAGGTCGAGACCTGATAAGTACAATATATAGTTGGGTCTTCGGCTCTCAGAGCTGTAAAGACCTCTCCCATCATGAAAACGCGGCTGAGCATGTACAAACCCGGAGACGCGATACTGATAATAGTCAAAGGACCACCCCAGCGAAAAACAACCTTCTCAAAATGCATGAAGACTAGCATCGAGAGAATGGAAACCAATGCTGAAACACGCCATAGCCACATTTCAGCAAGCGTCGGGAAAACAGTATTCCAGCATGCGAGGTGAAGTGCCCCAAAGGAACTCCCGAAAAGGCAAGTCAATGGCCAAAGTTTTGACTTGTATAGGCGCGGATCCCACTGAGCTAGAACTACCTCCTTTCGAATTTCGAATTGAGGGCCTTCGAATCTTTGTATGTCGTCCTCAAAGATTGTCGTTTCCTGCGGGATTCCTTGGGATTGGTTCTTTTCTCGAATTTCTGCGACCATTTTTGCAGCCCGTTGTGCACCCTCTGACTGGGCATCCCGTATTGCTTTTTCCTCTTCTTCTTTCTCAAACACACGTGGTGTGAGATACCATATATTCCATAAGGTCACTTGATCCCTCATGCCCTCATTGTCAAATTTGTTGCTGACGGCCATCAATTCAAACGCATGCCTCTGCTCCTCACTCATATCTGGAAGCTCAACAATCGAGGGCGAGCGAATATCCTTGGGTTTGTCCCACCAGAAGAAATACGTAACCACAAACATTGGAATATAACCGAGAGTCATTGCCTCAAGTTGAGACAGTGGAAGATAATAGGCTGCGCGCAGTATACATTGGGCAACAAACCAAAATACCTGGATGAAAGCTATAAACTTTGCAGCGTTGTCTGCTTTGCTTTTATCACGTATATTCTCCAAGGAAAGACCCCAGCTTGCGTGGTCTTCCCAGATAATGAGGCGTTGTCGGAGCAGCCAAGTATATTGGTTTGGCCATATAACCCTGTCGCCTTTTGGTGTCCGGTATCTCAGAGCGAGCATGCTGATATAGAACGCATGGATGAGCCCAAATTGCCCATTGGTAAGTTCAACGCAGTCTGTTTCCATCCTTCGGCATTGAGCCCATTCTTGGAATCCTTCCACTGCTATAAGCTCTGGCGCGAGGACAGTTTTAAACAAGAGTGCAAGCTTATGCAGCATGGCGTATAGTTGGAACTTGTAGACTCGGGGATGTATCACCACCCATGTACACAAGAAGATTGTAGTTAAGCATGTTGAAATCAAACTCAATGTGCCACGTCCCGAGTTCTCCGAAACCCACCCAACTAGCGCTCCTGGCCCGGGCAATGGACTGGTAATGCCGTTTAAGCAGGTTGTAGCGTTCATTAAGGAGTTCCAATCGATAGATAAAAAGCTTGATTCGTATATCTGTTGTTCTCGAAACTCGATGGTCCGCTGTCGATAGAAAATTAAGAGGAGTTTTTGTCGCCGCGATATTAATGAACACACATAGTGTAGAACAGGCGTGACATACGCTGTAGATATTGAGAAACGGGAAATTATGGTGTTTGTGGCAAAATAGCGTGGTTTCGGAATGATGTTTAGATCTTCGGTGGGCAAATAAAATGAGACACATAGCCGCTCCGGCGTTGGCGCTCATTCTGGGTTGGCGTTATCTTGCATTGGCGCTCTGTTGCTCGCGCTAGCCTGCTGCTCCCGCGTGGGGCGACTCTGCGTTCGTATGGAGGCGATCTCCACTCCTAGACGCTTCTCCTTATTTTGGTGGGCATGTTCGTTCTGTTCTAGGCATTGTGCATGTGCGGCTTGTTTCAAATATTATTGTGATCATTTAGCCCCCACCGCGTTCACTGCTAACGAAATGTCAGACAGTACGACAATAGCTACTACCCATCGTTCTAAAGTCCAATAATAGATGAAAGCAATACCTATATAGGCGAAGATACAGAATAGGAGGTAGTAAGGACCGACGGGGCTCATGATGACAGAATTCAAGTGCCGGGAGTGTCTCGGCCAGCGCCCACTTTGATATTGAATTAGGTTGAAGGAAATGGAAGCATACACTATGCTTATTTGACTATACTTGAACTACAGAACCTGCTCAAGTCTCGGACGGGGATGATGCCGCAAGTAAGGAGAAAGAAGAAGTCTGTTAAAGCCGTGCACGGGCGGAGTATAGTATAGTTGATTGAATATGGGTTTTTTTATTTTCTCGATTTCTTTTGTTCGTCTATTTGGAACATGCGAGAATAGCAGGATGTTTTGTTCTGTGAAGCGATCCAGTAGCTTGTTTTTTTATAATTGCATGTTACATGAGCAGTGTTGATCTATACACAGCCGAATTAGGAAGGAACGAGGTTAACTGCTGCGTCGGCAGGTGTCGCTTTCACCTACGTGTCCTTTATCAATTCCTGCAGTAGTTCAGTGTGCCTCGCTCTGTGAATCCTGGATGTAGACTGGCTGCCTTCGCATCTATTATGAATCAGCTTTTTCCTGCTCATGTTTTGCCTACTGACTCGACGGACAAGAGACAGTATTGAATGCGGACGGAACAGGCAGAAAGAGGCTATTTGTATATCGGTTTGTTACTTCCTCTCTCAATTCTTCCTCGCTTGATCGCTCCGTTCTCGTTTATTCTCTCTCTCCCCTCTCTCCTACCATCCCGTTTTTACCTCAACTTCATTGATCTCCGTCCTTCAAAGCCGGACATTCGTTCCATGAGCTCCTCTCGGTCCAAAAACTCTCTTCCTCGCCAGCTTGAGGGCTGCTCTACATGTTCTTTCTTTCTCCTTATCCCGTCACGCACATTCGATTTAGTACCGACCCCTCTCCGTTTCCTGCAACTAGTCGTATCTCTTCGCTTTGCCTTGCAAGATGAGCAACATAACCGTTGCATGCTTCACATGCCATCGACACTTCGGCTCGCCAGAGGCAGTGTTACTACACATGGATGCCGTGGACCACTGGCCTCTGAAAACCAAGTGCGAGAGATGCGATACGAGGTTCGTATCTCAGGAAGCCGCCAACCACCATATGGATACCTTAGGGCACTGGGCTCCGAAATCTGCTTGCGAAACCTGCAATCAGCATTTCGTGTCTCAGCAAGCTGCTACCCAGCACATGAGCTCACCGAAACACCCGGTCCCGAAACATGCCTGCCAGATCTGCAATCAGCGATTCGTGTCTCAGCAAGCTGCTGCCCAGCACATGAGCTCACTGAAACACCGGGCTCCGAATTATGCGTGCGGGACCTGCAATCAGCATTTCGTATCTCAGCAAGCTGCTGACCAGCACATGAGCGCTGTCGGACATTGCCCCGTGAGCTATAAGTGCGAGCAGTGCGATTCGAGGTTCGGGTCTCAGCAGGCTGCCGACAAGCACATGAGCAAACTCGGACACTGCGCACCTAAGTTCAAATGCGAGACGTGTTCCCGATTTTTCTTCTCTCAGGTCTCAGTGGAAAGCCACATGGACGCCATGGACCATTGGGCTCTAAAATACGGGTGTGAGACTTGCAATAAGAAGTTCGGATCTGAGCGACTTGCCAATGAGCACATGGACGCACTTGAGCACTGGCCCTCTCCTGAATTTAAATGTGAGGCGTGTGACCGATGTTATGCATCCCAGGAGGCAGTACTTCAACACATGGCTGTCGCGGGCCACTGGGGCCCAAAAGTCCAGTGCGAGACGTGCGACCGTTCCTTCTACTCTGAAGATTCTGCGAAAAGCCACATGAAGAGTTCTGGCCACGGCGTGCAGAACGACAAAGCAGTTAGTTTTCCTTTGTTTCAGCTCATTACATGATATCCTGACGCTCTCCCCAGCAGAATGACGAGTCGGGCATTCAGGTGGGCCGGGTTTGCCAGGGCAAGGCCGAGGTACATACCAAAGTCCATGGTAAATGTGATAAAAGAATCAACGAGGAGCAGGCAAAAGTGTCTCGTGAGCCATCCCCCAACCTGCGCTCCGAAAATATGGATGATCAAGAATGTGTGAACACTCTTGGTACAGACGATAGCGCATCTATTCGCGACAAAGCACCTCGCCAAGCCCCACCTCGGGGCAACGCAAACATTGATGAGGATGTTGCTGGATCCGCGGCAGGCACTGGTTCTCCGCCGGACCTTACATGCCCTTTCTGCGAATGCATTTATGAAAAGGCCAGTGCTTTCATCTATCATCTGGAGCTGGGCTTTTGCTTCGGCAACGCAGCAGTCAATAGCACCACTCTTCGCACTCTTATGCATCAGCGTGACATACAAGGGGTTGTTACAAATGCACTAGTCGAAAAATGCCAGGAGAAGCTTTACCGATGCCCAAATCGACATTGCCGAAATGAATTTATGAACCTGTTTGCTTTATTCAGCCACCTTGAAAATGAAGGTTGCTCCTTCATGGGATTCGAGAAGGCCAGGCTTTTTTTGTGCAATGTGACCCAAGCAACTAGGGCAGTTGCTGTTGATTGATATGTGCTGTGATGTGGTGACATGCATCGCTACGTTTTGTCTTGGCTTGTGACCCTAAGTGCAGAAGATTTCGGTATACCGGGCGCGTTGCCAAGTCGTGAGATGACTTCGACGGTATGATTCATGGATACTCAAGATTTATCCATGTCGAGAGTAGATGTGTCGAATTGAACTGCTGATTCTTCAAGTAGACAAATATTCGAAGTGAATTTCATCGAAACTTCTAATGTGCCGCTGGCGATTGTTACAGAAATAGAAAGACATTGAAACTTTGGCAAGTTGGATGACTTTTGTCCAACTGTTTTTGTTCGTAGTTCAATCATCGATTGCCACATACAGTTGTTCTGCCAGTCCACTCGTCACTTAGTCCTAATGGGACAAATCCGGTCTAGCATCTACCTGCGTAGTGATCGAGATTCCCCGCGTGGAGTCATTTCTGATTTGCGGGGACCAGCCAGGGACCAGCCAATAAATACTGCAACGCCATGGTCGCCAGTTGCTGCATGGTTGAATTTGGATATGATGGCACCGTCTTCTCTTCCATCCACGTGCTGCCCACTTGGGTCGACTATTTCAACAACCCGAATCCAATTCTCGTCGGCGCCATCAATACCGCTATAGCGTGTATGCGATCGTCTTCGGTTTTTTTATCAGCCCGACAGGCGGCATTGCGGAAAGGCCCGTGGAAGCTGAATTTCGTTAACAAGCCATTTGGACCAGAAGCGTGGAAGCTCTACAATGTGCTTGAAGACCCCGGTGAAGTGCACGACTTGAAAGAAGAGCGTAATGATAAGTTGGAGGAACTCCTGGCGCATTGGCACGATTATGCCCGCGAGACTGGAGTGGTAGGCTTCAAGCCAGAGTTTGCCAGCTTGATGGCGCAGCTCCCCGACGAGATGGAGAATCCTGTTAATTGGATGAAGTTTGAGACCAGTCGGAGCGTTATGACAAGGATTATAGAAGGTTTTACATAATGATATGGTCTATCTTTGCAATAGTGATTGAGATAGGTCGTATAACTATCCAGGGCTGACCATGTCAAACAAACATATGCAAGTACAGGATACGATTGTATAAGGTCTTCTTCTATTTGGACTACCTGAGTATATAAATACCACGCCGGTTCAGTTCCATGGACCATTATTTCGCATACCAGCCCTTCACCGCGCGCACCGCTTCAATTCGATGTACGACGGCACTGACCGAGGGTTTATCAATCGTCGATCGTCACGGAATGGCATAGTAGCGTTAACGTATCTCAGTTCCTGCCTGTGTTTGGGTGCCTACCTGTATTTGGGTGATTCACTTCAAAATGGTTCGATAGGATGTAAACCGGAGGAGAGCGTGTATGGCGTAGATGCCATGTTCCAACACACTAGTGATCGAACATGCCCCATCCACGTCGGTGAATCGAATAGCCATATTCAATGCGGCACGCACGGCGAGAGCAAATACACTAAATATTAGCCTAGAGAGCTGGACGGGGCGCTATCCTCAATATATCCCCACCGCTGGCTGAGTGCAGAGATAAGACGACTTTTACTGCTCGCTTCGGGATTGATCGTTGACGACAGATATAGATCCCCAGTATTGACGGCAGCACGGGGGAGGAGGTGATTGTACCGAGTCGATTGAGACTAAGAAGGGTTGCGTGGGAGTCGTGGTAGGATAAGCGGGCCCAGGAGCATCGGTTGTGGAGTGAGCAGTTTCGATTCATTGTGTCAGGCAGGCTCTGGTGTTCTCGCGGGTTGGAGCGTTTTAGGGTTGTGTTGCTCAGCGGCTCGGTCGGACCTGGACCTGTATATACGGGTGTAGCGGGCTCCGGGCTTGGGGCATTGGGCATGCGTGAGTCATTATTGATTGTATTGGAATGGCTCTGGGTTTGGTGACTGCCTTGGTAATGGGTGACTGGTACGGTAATTGGCGACATGTTTGGTAAGGATCAAGGCACAAGATCAGAGAGATCAGTGGAACGCTGAGAGACATTAGTACCTACATCATACACAGTTCTTGCAATGACAAGAAAGATCAAAATCAGATAAGGAAAGAGAAGAAAAAGATCACAGGGTCCGTCCTCGGGTTGATAGTCCGGAGGAGGAGAAAGAAAACAAGGGAAAAAAGACAGTCGTCATCAAAAATCAAGAATCGAAGTCTTGAAACGCCTTGCTGCTTGCTCGCTGGCGGGGCCTGTTGAAATTACACAGGCCCCAACATACAATTTGAAAACAAAGAAGGATTCAAGACAGCTGAATGGACTTGGGGAAGAAAGTGGTAAAACAAGAACAACATAAACATAATCAACACGAAAGGAGGGAAGGATCAAGGGGGATGGATGAAACTCAAGCTGCGTCGTAAATCGTAAATATTAGTAGAGAGCGCCAGAACATAAAGTTCCGTCGATTGCTCCAAACTGCTCCAGAGAAGCAGTAATGTAATCCGAAGGCTGCTCTAGCCGACGAATACTATTTTACAAAGTTAGTTGGGTCGTACTACCGAAGAAGAGAGAGACTACTTACCCTCCCAGCCCCATTCTGCCATAATATTGACCCAGTGCAATCTCCCTCGAACCGTTCGTTCGAACTCGATATTCTGCAATGGCGCAATCGCCATACTACGACGAGATATCCCCGCCCTGGCTGACGGCGTCGAGAAACTCGCCTCGACAGGTCCTTTCCGAGGACTAGTCGGGTTATCGTATAAACCGCTGAATCGACGGGATCCATTATCAAAGCCCCGCGCAGCTGCTTTGGCATTGTTCCTATCAGCGTTTGAGAAGGAACTAGCCCGGCTATGTTTGCCCGTATTTTGCTGCTGCTGTTGCTGCTGTTGCTGTTGCTGTTGCTGCTGCTGCTTGTCGGCCTTGGTGGCATCGCGTCGCTTCCAGACTTCTCGCAAAACCTCCAGGCATCGATCCACGCCACCGAGCATGAGTCGGGATTGGATTGTCGTCCAGCGGTCCAGCACCCATTTGCGATCATCTTCCATGTCCACTTCACTGCCGGCGGCAAGCAGGGGGAACATTTGGATGATCGTTGTGCGCGAGGTATATGGGACGGTGGCCAGCAAGATCAGCACACGCTTGGCCAGTTCATCCGTAGGCTCCGATGGCATCTCGGGTACTGCCTGGTGCAGATACAGTAAGGTGGCCCAGCGGTAGGCATGCGCCAGCTGGACACTGTGCTGGACCTCGGAAGTGGGATCCTCGGGTGGTTCAAACCAGCGAGGCGGCTCCCACTGCTCGAGGAGGGATTTAAGTTCCATTGCCTGCGCAACGAGAGAGACCGTGTTGGATAAACTCTTACGCACGCGCTGAATGAGCTCTGCGACGCGGCTCATCAGTGGGTACAGCGTCGCAGCGCAGCCCATTAACGGGTCAATCTCGTGCACGGCATCTTTGGGAAGGTGGAAGATGGAGAGGTCGAAATCCGGAGTCCCGCAGTCGTCCACGGAGGTCAGTCGTGCAATTACATCCATGTACGACCACGTATTGTACAGGAAACGCACTCGGTCCAGTTCGTCGCCACGCGCATTGCTCCGCAGCCCTTCGTTTAACACCCGGGTAACCAGCGCCTTCGCGCCGCGCAGATGCTGGATGCAGGTGCGCGTGTGTTGATCCCATGTATCTGCAAATGCTAGTGCCAGGCTAGTGGCTAGAGCAGCATCTGCTCGCATATCCTGGATTTCCTGCATCAGACTGGTGATGCTCTGCCGCATGTGTGCCACACCATGGACTCGGAGAGACGGGCTTTCCTTGGAGGAGTGAAAGGCAGTGAGGGCGAAGATGGCATGATACAGGGCCGGGGTATCCTTGGCAAGAGGCCAGACCAACGTGCGCCATGGGTTTTCCGTGATTCCGTCTTTGACAGAAAGGATGCCGCAGGTAAGCTTGTCATAACGGAGAACCATCATCTCCTGACTGGTTGGGGACAGGGACGGCCCGGTAGGAATACCGAGCATATCAAACGGCAGGGTTCCCTGCTCAGAAAGAGCAAAGTTCCATGGGCCGACATCGGGGTCCGACTGCCGGATAATATCCTCGATGTCCTCATTCTCATCCTCCAACAGCTCCGAGAAGGTGAAGGCTGAAGGCTCATCATGGAATTCGGCTGGCCCAAAGGGTACCGGGCCCAGGGCACCATACCCCGACAGCGACTGGTGAAAGGGCTCAAGAAAAGAAAGAAAGTTGGCAGGATCAGACTCGGCAGGCAGGGTCACGTTTGGAACAACGCCTGCTCCGGTCGACGACGAGTTATCAGGAAACTCATCCAGAGAGTGGCTCTCCGTGGAGAGAAAGCTCTTGATGCTGATCGGGGAATTTTGCACGGGCGATTCCGGGGGTGAAGCATTCCATATATTAGCGTGAGCACGAACCGGCGACGCCGACTGATCCGGGGTAGGAGGCGTCGGGATATTTTTATTAGGAGACGGCGCCGACTTGGCCAGCACCGAGGGAACGGTGGTGGTGGACGCAGCGGTGAAGGGAGCCGATGCTGTGTTGGAAGGTCAGACTAACTAATGCGGAAGGGTCATGGGACCCTCATGACTTACCCTTTTTGGACTTGGCGGACACAGGGGCCAAGTTGGTCTCTTCGAAGGGCCTCCATTTGAAGTCCTTCTTATAGCCACCGCAAGGCACTTTGCGTCGCTCGCACTGTTGACAGGACGGCTTGGACTCGTCGCACTTCAGTCGCTTTGCTTTGCAGGTGCTACAGCCATTCCGGCTCTTGGTCTGCTTGGGCCGCTGGATGGTGGCGGGGGCGACCGACGAGCGAGAGACCGGTTTTCGGACAGAGGCCGACAGGGTCTTGGGCGAGTCTAGGATGGTGGACGGCGACGGGATTTTGATGTAGTCCATACCAAGAGGATCGAGCCCATTCAGAAAGCCCGGAGGCAGGAAGCAAAATGATGATGGGAAGAAGAAGGGAAGAAAGAAGAAGACAAGGAAGGGAAAAGATAAGGTGGGCGAATGACGAAGACGCACCTTCCGGCCGGCCAGACAAGATAAGCCATGCGGGGGCTAGGGTGAGGGGAGTGAACGCTATTCTTTGGGTCTCTGGGTGTGGTAAGATAATGGGCATGAATTTCTATAGCTGGGTCACGATGGTATGATTGACCCGGATTGACATAATACGGTATCCTCCGGTGTTTGATGTTTGCCACATCTAGATCCCATCAGGCTCTGGGGCGCACTAAGGCCCAAGATCATGATCCGGTAGCCGCCCCGTTCGTGTCGGCTGTGGATCCCATTCTCCGCATTCTGCATGGGTGACGAGCCTAGAACGGTCAGTGTCAGCACAACAACTTGTTTGCCTTCCTCCCTAACGGAGAAAATGCCGAACGATACTAATATCCGTCCACGATTGGTAGTCAAATATTAATTATAGCAGTTGCTTACTTTCCTCTTCGCAACCACCATCCATGGATAGTGGCTATAAATATCCCCAGATCCGTGAGACCGTGGTTGCCGACCCCGTAAAACCAATCAAATAAACTATGATCGATGAATGATGATGAAATTGCATACTTTCAATTCTAATGCCCAGATATTCTCTCCTATGATAAATCGTGCAATCATCGGTCACCCAAGCAGTCTGTTACTCATCTAGCGATTATCGGCGCATTCTCCTAATCGCGGGGAACCTCAGCGCGGGCCGAGGACAAAACCACTTCGCCTTCTTCTTTTCTCTCTCCTTCCTTCCCTCTCCCTTTCGATTCCACATACATCCCTCTAATTTCAGAGTGAACACAATGCTTCGCTCCATCCCCCGTCGCCTCCCCCGACGCCCTCTCCTCACCACTCTCGCAGTCTCGCGTCCCTTCACATGCGGTTATCCTCGGATGTCCTCCCCCGTCCAGCCGCCCGTGTCCACCGCCCTCCCGTCAGACGCCTACCAGCTGCTCTCGACGCAGCAGAAAGCCGGTGCCGCCGAGGACGCGCTGTATGAGCAGCAGGTACGCGATGTCCAAGCATGGTGGCAAACTCCGCGGTACGAGGGCATCAAGCGGCCATACTCGGCCGCGGACGTCGTGAGCAAGCGTGGCTCTCTGCAGCAGACCTACCCGAGCTCCATTATGGCGCGGAAACTATTCAATTTGCTTAATGAGCGCGCTGCGGCCGGTCAGCCTGTGCATACCAGTATGTTCATGTAGAGCAGTCCGCAATTCGCCTAGGTACTGACCGCGTGCCATAAAGTGGGTGCCATTGATCCCGTACAGATGACGCAACAGGCTCCCAACCAGGAAGTCCTGTATATTTCCGGCTGGGCCTGCTCCTCGCTGTTGACAACCACCAACGAAGTGTCACCCGATTTCGGTGACTACCCTTACAACACAGTCCCGAACCAGGTTCAGCGCCTGTTCAAGGCGCAGCAGATGCACGATCGGAAACAGTGGGATACGCGCCGGAAGTTGAGCGCCGAGCAGCGCCAGTCTACAGATTACGTGGATTACATGCGGCCGATTATTGCGGATGGTGATACCGGGTATGTTCTCCTCACAGAGCAAGCGCGCGGAGGTTAATTGTTTTGGTAACAGACATGGCGGCTTATCCGCAGTTTTAAAACTCGCCAAGCTGTTTGCAGAGAATGGTGCCGCGGCGGTGCATTTCGAGGATCAATTGCATGGCGGGAAGAAGTGTGGACATCTTGCTGGTAAGGTGCTCGTCCCGATGGGCGAGCATATCAACCGGCTGGTGGCTGCGCGGTTCCAGTGGGATATGATGGGTTGCGAAACGCTGGTGATTGCACGCACAGACTCTGAAAGCGGCAGGCTGATTAGCAGCGCGATTGACGTGCGCGACCATGAGTTCATCCTCGGTGTGACGGAGGAGGTGGAGCCTCTGGCCGAGACACTGCAGGCGATGGAGCGGGAGGGCGCTTCTCCAAGTGAAATCGATGCCTTTGAGCTGGACTGGGTGAAGAGACACAAGCTGGTCACTTTTGACGAGGGTATGCATTTCTGTCTCTTTCTTTTCTTGCTCTTCCTAACAATGTCTAGCTGTCGACGCCCACCTCGAAGCAGAAGGCGCCCCTCAGTCCTCGCGCGAGGCCTACAAGGCACAGGTGCAGAAGAACCCCGATCTATCCTTCTCCCGCCGCCGCGCCCTGGCAAGTGATTACTCCAAGAACCCCGTGGTTTGGTCCTGCGACAGCCCACGCACTCGCGAGGGGTACTACCACTACCGTGCTGGCTTCCCCGCCGCGACCAAGCGCGCCAAGGAGTTTGCGCCCTACGCGGACCTATTATGGGTCGAAACCGGCGACCCCGACGTCGCCAAAGCCGGGACCCTCGCCGGCGAGGTGCGTGCCGCGTACCCAGGCAAGAAGCTAGTCTACAACCTCAGCCCGTCATTCAACTGGATGGGCCAAGGATTCGACGAGGCATCACTAAAGTCCTTTATCTGGGACCTGGCGAAGCATGGGTAAGTGTCTCCCACAGTGCACACATCTCTACCCACCGAATCACAACTCGCGGAAACTAACTGATAGCTACAGCTTCGTCCTGCAGTTAATCTCCCTAGCGGGTCTACACAGCAACGCAACTATCACCACGGAACTATCCCGCGCTTTCAAGGATGAGGGCATGCTCGCCTACGTGCGTCTGATCCAAGCGCGCGAGAAGGAGCTCGGCGTGGATGTCCTCACGCACCAGAAGTGGAGTGGCGCGCCGTATATTGATGGGATCCTCGGTGCGATCCAGAGTGGGAGTAGCAGTAGTAAGAGTATGGGAGAGGGGAATACGGAGAAAGGTAAGTTCCCTTATGGGGGTGATCTTAAGTATAAGCATACTGATTTGTTGTTTTGTTTGCAGGCTTTTAGATTACCGCATTGTGTATGATTGAATCGACAGACATGATTTGAGTGATCTTGTCCGTTGAGCCTGCAGATAGAGAAGTACAAAATACCAAATTCTTTTTTTTTCACATTCATCATTTCATTACATTTATCGTAGTTCGTTTATCTGTCGTCATGGTAGGATTCCTTATAAGAAAGAAAGCTAGGCCTTCTGTTATAGAATAGGCACTGTCTGGCCGAATCACTCCAACACCGGCTTCTGTATCGAATCTCAAACCAGCATGAGATTCATTGCGTTGAATAGTCTTTGAATTCCTTGCATCTCAAACATTCTTTGAACCAGCCGTTCGAGAATTAACAGTTTCCTACCCTCGTATCTGCTGCTACACAACAAAAGCCTCAAACACAAGGCTATTGCATTTGCTCAGAAATTCCATAACCTCTGTTTCATTGTGCCATGCATCGTTGTATGCGGCACTTAAGTAAGTACGTCCACGGAATGTACCGAGAAAAAGGCCCAAGCCCGTCCCGAGCTCCTCTCCCGTAACCCAAGGCACATCCAGTTCAAACAGGCCCTGTGTCGGGGATATGATGTTGTCAATCACCCCCAGACTAGAGATTGAGACGGAGGGTGCTTTGTTTGGCGAAGGAATAGGTGGAATATCTGAGCTGTCGGGATAAGGTGGAGTTGAAAGCTTCCAGTATGATGGAATGAAGGCGACATGCTCTGGGTCGTTCCGGATTCCGAGATAGTAGTCCCTGACTAGCTCAAGAACCTGCGCAAATTCTGAAGCGGCATCGCCTGTTGTTTGACTGGTCACGGCAGCAGCAGCGGGGACTCTCAAATCGATGGCAAGACTCGGTCCAGAAGCAGAGTGGTATACGGTGACCGCATGCTGCGACGTGTTGTATGGAGCTTTGCAATGTGCACGCTCGTTAATTAATGAGTAGCTGATATATCGAACATTGCGCTCCTCGGAATATCGTTCCTGTGCGTCGCGCAGGACGAGCGCAATTGCAGCATGATATACATGCGTTACACTAGCGCCAACGCTCTTGCAAGCGACGAGCAGCTTTTGAGTCTGCTGGGAATCCAAACTTAGAGAGACTCGCTGGTGGCGCCCAGGAACAAGTTGCTCGGATTGAACAGGTATTGTCGCAACTTGAATCCCTTGCCGAAGAGAGGCATTTTTCTTCAGAATCTGCTTCAATCGCGTTTCTTGTTCCACCGTCAGGCTAGCTGGAAGGGAGGCTGCTACTCGGAATGGGGGACTGAGATTTGTCCATTCATCGCCAAAGCTGGGTATATGAAAGGCGGTTGCATCATCGAGAGCAATACCTGCATATTTGAACAAGCTGTTAAGCAAATAAAGCGACCCAATCCCGTCGATTATATCATGTTGTGATCGGAGAACAACGTCAGCAGAGAATGTGGTGTTGGTTGATGCAGTAGTAGGTTGTTTTATGACAAACAAAGTCGGTAGCTTAGGCACAGGCGGATCTGAATTGCACCAATCCTGGCATGACTGGCTGGTGGAAACGATTCGAAACGTTTCTTTCAGCCAGGCAGAGCCATGTACATTCCCTGGATCCGGAAACATCTCATAGACCTTCTTACATCTCTTTTCCTCGCGATCGTACTCGACCCACGAAGCAATAGTGGGGTGGTCGTATCGGAGTCGCAGCCATGCTTTCTGCAACGCACTCGTAACATACAGCTCATGACTTTCGATTGAAGATTGAGTTCGCTTAACCGAGAAAGAAACATGGGCAGTCATAGCGAAAAAGGTCTTGCCAGTTCCTTGGAACCTCCTTGCCAACGTGGTGTAGAATTGTTCGATTTCATCAACATCGCGTTCCCACCTTCCAGGCTTGACCTGGTTCCAGGTGAAATCTTGATAAAGGGATGGTTCCATAGTTCAGGCTTGTCGCTCAATATATGCAACTTGGCGAAGGGTTGAAGACCGTGTGAATCAAGAGTTCTGCCCTGGCTTTAAATATTCGGTATTCAATAAGAACACAAAGTCCAGGCGGCTTTCGGGCCGATATTCCGCGTTTATACAATAATGTGGCTTTTACTAGCGCTGAGCTAAGTCAAAGTTGGGCCGTCGCCGCCGCAGTTATGAGCCGAAGAATAGCCGAGACCGAACGAACAGCCACTTAACCTAAATCTCGTCACACGACGCTTGATGGTCAATGTTAGGAAAGGCTGCAATTCTGGAGGTATTGTCAATCAAGTCATACCGAAGAGCGACGACAGCGATAGGCGGGTATACAGGTGTTACATCGCCGTGGTACACGTGGGCTACTAGCTGATTTTACCAAGGCCGTCCGGTATGCAACACGAAAGATCGGACAAAGAGATGTTCAAAACTTAAGCGGCATAGCTAGCTGTGACGCTGATCTACAATATAGTCAAAGGCGGCCCGTGGTTTATATCGAGGGCGAAGGGAGGTGACCTGCCTCATATATTCCCTTCCTTCTCCTCAACACAGATTTCCACACTCCCGACCTCGCTCGCTGTCCCTGTCTGATCTGTGATCACTCTTTTCAACGTGGTCTGTCTATTTGGTGTGCAGGCAGTTACACGTGGGCCCCGTGGTACCTTCGACGAAAGTCTTCCCTGGGGATTTGGCGGGAACGGAAGGCGTGTTTAGGTACTGATTTTGCTGTATACTTGACGCAGCACGGCCTGAGAACGAAGCACTGTACTATACTGGAACAGGTTTGTCGAAGGTCGGCCTGGAGAGAAGAGATTTATTTTTCGAAATACTCCAGTCATTTGGTCGTGAGATTGATGCTGACTTTATAAGCCGTAGTAGGCCCGTTTTCATATTCGGTGCGATCACTTCTGGGCGTAGCGCTAGCAAAATTGTCAACATGAGTAGCACTTGGCCATGGTGTCAAACGGACCATGTGTCGGGCTCAATCTGGGGGAGATAGAGTGTGTACGACCTATTTAGTCGATGCTCAAGCATGACGAAAAAAAAAAAGAGAGAAAAAAGAAACATGCTCTGTTCGCCCGACACCCGTCTCCCACAACCACACCTCCTTTTGGAACCCGGTCAAAGAACGGCTCTCACGAGATCCAACACGACCGTCAGAAGCATTTGGTTCGGCCCTTGAACCACCATCCGATTCAGATAAGACCCAGAAAAGCTCAAATAATTGACGTACAGTCGGTGTCGAAGGCAGATTCCCTTGCGTACACTCACGAATTGTTTCTCGAATCCTATCTTGAATCACCCTAATCTATATTTAGCCTAGCCGTCGATCTCCATTTTCTGAGAATAGAGGCCATATCTTACGGTGACGACATGGTGGCGTAAAACACTGTAATTTGATAAGAAACATCCTTCACTGCCAATCGCCAGGTCTCAGGCATCTCTCTATCCGGGAAAGGTTGAGAATTGCGAAGGGGACTTGCCCAATATGACACCCAGACTCTCCCTCTCAAAGCTATACTTGATTCGTGATATGATACCGAACTAAGCACGACGGCGAAGACGAACAATGCAACTCTCACACACACTCTCTCTCTATCTCCATAGGCGCCCGATCCCAACGAATACTACTAAAATTTACCCCCTACTACTATACATTTCTATTGTTCACACCGGACGGGCCGAGATCCAATCATGATGTCGACCCCACGTTACAATGTTAGTGGCCAAGATCTCGGCGCGAAGATCATTAGGAGGCCAGGATCTGGCTTAGACCGTAAAGTAGCTCGATTCATGCCTCGACCCCGAACTAAGTCTAGCGGTGCTAACGAACTGTGGCGAGATCCGCATACTGCACAAGTTTCTGATGCAACATGCAACTCCGCCGGAGCAGCGTTATTGTACTGCCCTAGACTCATATATAGAAATAGAGTCATCCCTAGATGGCGATTTTTATAGCTCAATGGTTCATCACTTGACTCACTGCTCCAAGCCCAACTCCTATTTACTCTACAAAATGGCCAAGTTTGTCGCTGTCTTATCACTCTTTACCCTTGCCCAGGGAGCCAATCAATCCACAGAACATTCTGTCCCTCTGTCGACCCGCCTCGATTGCGCTGTACTCCCCAAATACAACCTAGATCAAGGAACGGCTGGCCCATTCCGTCTCAAAGCAGCAGACTGCGACCTTGCAGATGCCTCCCGGGGCGCCTGTAGTTTCCTACGCTCTCCGAGCAGCATCAACGTCTACACGAACGCTTCAGACAAGAACCCTGTTCAAGAAATTACTTCTGGCGAGGCATGCTTTCCCTTCATCTTACATTACTTTTCCTAGCCAATACTCATAAACACCTAGGTCACGTTCGTGAATAACTACGAGAAAGGATTCTATCCCGGCTGGTTTCGCTGCGTTAACCCACCCGCCGGTTCACCTTTGGATACGCTTCCAAGCTTGCAGATCAAGGTCCCGACAAAAATTGGCATCAATCCGATGCCTGAGGAGTGGAAGACCGTCCGAGTGGTTAACAACGCTGACTCCGCGCGTATGGTGTGGGGTGAATCCGATGATACCCCGACTCTTCCGCTCGGAATGTATCACGATTATAGCTACGGCCGCAAGATTGCCGGTATTAATGTTGGTGCACACAACTTCACTCGCTGGGCTGTCGATAAGTCTGGAAATGCTACAAGCCTCCCGGCTCACAAGAAGTATGCCTCTGTTCGTCTCCTGAGCAAGGATTCGGAGATCCACCGCAAGCACGGCGAGTTCACAACTCTGCTTCGTATCGAGGGAACTGAGGAGGACTGGAAGGCGGGTCACTAAGAAACTTTACGATATTCGCATATGTATTCGAGGGTTTTGCCGTAGTGCATTCTGGTTGTGTTTGGCGACTGTGTTTCCCACTACCAACATTTCATTATTTACTATCAATTAAAAAGAAGCACCCTATAATATATGTGCAATTCATCTCCACAAGCTAGACAAGAAAAGATCGAAAGTATGTTCCAAAGGAAGGGCCTCAGTGGGTGTAAAGAAAGTCACAAGTCGAAGATGCGTTTTCTGGCAAGGATATGGGGTTCCACGCAGAAAGGAGGGGAGGGGAAATCAAATAACAGTTCACACCGCATCGGCAATGATGACCTCGGCGGCCTTTTCACTGACCATATAGATCGGTAGAGCGATGTAGTAACCGGGGATTTTCGGGAAGACAGAAGCATCGACAACACGAAGGCCATCGACACCGCGGACCCTGAAATCACCATCCAACACAGCATTGGCATCCTCGTCTGCTCCGATGGGGTTCGTGCAGCAGGCATGGTGACCCCAAGCCTCCCTCTTAATAAAGTCCTTCATCTCTGCTTCCGTAGTGACGTTGGGACCGGGCCACACTTCAGTGAACCCACCGTCCAAGGGAATGAGGTCATTGAAGATCTGTCGAGAGAACTGCATCCCGTCATACACAGCTTGCAAGTCCTCGTCAGCAGCACCATCCGCAGTGACACCAGTATCAAAGGAATTGAAAGTGATGACTGGCATGTCCCTCGGGTCTGTGGACCGTAGTTGAACTGTTCCTGCATTGTTGCGACTCCGTGTTTTCAGCGTGATCCAGGCCCAGTGCCGGGCATCCTTCAGAGAAGTAGATGAGTAGCCGGGGAAGTAGCCTCGGAAGTCAGCCGGAGCACCAGATATCAGGAGATCTGGGTCGCCATCAGAAGTGGTAGAATTGCGAATGACCGCGATCGCAATTCCATTGGTAGTGTATACACCCTTGAGGATAGGAACGTCATTGGACAACCAGTTCTCGAGACAGGGATCCGGTGCTGTCTCCATAAACGTGCACTTCGCAGTCAGGAAAAAGTCCGTCGGACTCTCTCCAACCACTGTCGTCTCATACCGATCTTGAAGATTGGTACCAACGCTAGGGAGGTCAACCAGAACGGGGATGTTCCACTTTTGCAGTTCTTCTTTTGGTCCAACACCGCTTAGTTTCAGTAGCTGGGGCGTATTGAAAGCTCCAGCGGAGAGAATGACCTCACGCGTGGCGTTCACAGATCCAGGAACACCGGCAGCAGAGCGTGCGGAGCGCGGGTCCGCCCGGTACAGACTTTGTCCCTTGAGATAGTTGACTCCGACTGCACGTGGCTTAGGACCAGAAGTGTCAAACAGGACACTGGTAACCAAAGTGTTCAGCTGGATATCGAGCTGATACTTTCGCGAACCATCGGGATTGAGAGCATTGGCAGTGTCCATAACGAATTCTTGAGGGCCAGTGCGTTTGTAAGAAGGAACATCGACGGCAAGAGGAACTTGATACGGGCCGGTTTGCTTATCACGATCTGGCTCATCGTTGTTGAGATCTCGAAGCAGAATTTCGCCCAAGCCAGTCACTGTGTTGACAAGTGTGCCGAGAAGACCCCTCCCGGCAGCTGAACCGGCTGCAATAACAAGAGACAAAAGCTTTTGGTCTTCCACTACAAGCCCGAGCTGTGTAAGGCTTGTCGTAAGCCACCCGTTAAACCCATGACCAGGGGTGCCCTCGGGCATGTAGCGGTTACGTTCGAGTCGCTCAAAGTAGTTACGCATGGCGTCCGGAGCCCAAGAGTCATTCCCGGTGATGGCGGCGAGGTTCTCCCAGTCTTTCTCATATGGGTAAATAGTGCTGAACAGAAAGTCAGTATTTTTCCAAATAGGTGATTGGGGCTGCGTGGTTTTCACTCACATCATTGCATTGTGAGCCGCGCAACCACCTAGAGTGCCGGCACGGGGATACAGAATTCCCAGAGGATCCGAGTTGGCAGGCGGATTAGGTCCAACATGAAGCTCTCCTGACGGTGTGCGGTATGTCATCTTCGAGTCCTCCTTTTGACGGGCCAAATCCGAATAGTGCTGGACGAAGTAGTCCCAGCGCATTGGCTCATACTCGGTGGATTGAAGTTGAAGCGCGGGGACCTGCTGTCTAGTTGCGTTGCCCTGGTCATCGCCAGCATCAATGAGCAACACCTTATAGCCAGCAATCGCTAGCCTTGCCGCCAATGGGCCGCCTCCTGGGCCGGACCCGACGACAATATATTCGTACTCGCTGGCAGCGTCGGAACGCCGCATGTTGGTTGAGGCGCCCTGTGCCGTATGGAGGTCCTCGTATTGCGCAGTGCGGCTATTATCAGACATGTGAGACGAGTGCTATGTAAATGCAGTCACATTGAATGTGAGATGGCTATTTGACTTACGATGCCAGGACCACAGAAAAGCTGGACAAAAGTCCAAACCACTTTATAAATAGCATAATTTTGTTTTTTTTTAAAAAAAAATCAAGAAGTCAAAAACGAACGTGATAACAAAAATATCAAAAGGTCGAATGAAAGTTGCTTGCAAACCCTAGATGGACCTGAGAGAGACGAAAGTGATTTTATACTGTTCTTCCGCTGTCATTATCCGCTGTCAGAGGAGTACTTAGTTACGAGAGCCAAATACAGCCGGAGCCTGGCCCAAGAGTGATCAGCAACGGCTTGTTACCCAATTGCGATCTAGCCCAGCCGTTAGGGAAATATACCGCTAAGTATATTAAGTGCCGAATGTTGGTTTCGTCTTGTACGTTTACAGTATTTGCTTCTTTCTCCACAACGGCTTGAAGTTTAATTACGCCACTCTACAAGCGAACCGAGCAGACAAACCATATCCGTCCACTGGTGATGGCCCGGCTTCTAGTGGACGGGTATGGTCATAGGTCCAGACTCCTTTGTTGTGCATAAGTGTTATTGGATACTGATTTCTATGTATTAGGCTAATGACGGCGTGATATCTAACCAAGCTTTTACGTCGCCGGTCTACATCTAATGGACGTCGATTAAAGGCAAGTAGTGAGATTTCAGGGGCATGGCCTATTGTTTCAAATCAAGCTTTCGCAATGATGCATTATTTACTAGCGAGGTTTAATACTCAACAGGTAGCTTCCCCAACCTTTGCCCCAAATAGTAGAGCACTCCCGAATACCGGGGGGAATTAATATCAAAGTTTTGGGATATTCAACATACTATTTACCAACGATAACTTTGTTACCTGTGACTATCTTGACAGAAAACAGTCCCCCTGCAGGACCAGAAAAAAGCCAATAGGAGAAAGTAAAGGATGTTAAAATGATAAAATGATAATCTAACAGGATTTAATCCACTCCATAACCACAACAGATGGAGCCTGGACGAGATAGCTGAGAATTGACCAAAACTGCCCCAAAGCAACTTTCACCATCCATTGGCCAAGCGAACTTGACTTGAATTGTTCATATCCACGAGCGGCATTTTATTGTATTCGTTTCCAGGCTTTGACCAAGTGACTTCATCGAGTCGAGACCCGGTCGATTTCGAACGAGACGTGGAGAATCTGGATGAGGTATCCTGTCTTGTGTCTCCGAACATGGCAGGGAAGCAGGAGCGCAGTAGAGACCGGATTGCTGGCAGACAAGCACAGATAATACCCACGTCTACCTCAATCGTACTCCAATAACCCACGTCAACGTAGTCCCCTATTGTCGATAGGTTAGTCATTTGTAAATAATCACAACAATTCGAAACAGAGTCAAGACTCACATGTGATATTCTGGGCATTTGAAAATTGAATAAGGGAACGCAAACGGAGGATACTGACCAAAGTAACGCTTTTTTAACGGTCAGTGACAAATTCTCGGTTTTTACTGGGCTTAGTAAAATGAGGAGGCACTTACAATATACCCAGAAGGAACATGGCCATCACACTGAGCTTCTTCCGAAGGGACAGATTTAAGACCCAAAGCTCTGAAATGGGCAGGATCAGGGTAACGATATCGCCAACCATGTTAAAAATGGCAGCTGCCCAGCCTTGTGCATTCTCATTGTTGCATTTGAATCCCTGGGATCCATCCCAACGAAGCCACGCTCCGTCGACTGGAGTGCACTGTAAAGTACTGAGTAGCAAGAATGTTATGAGATAGCCAACGTTGTATGCAATGGTGATGTATGTCGCAATGCGGAACCGTCTTTTGGGGAAGATCCTCAGGTAAAACAGTAGAATGGAGATTTTCGTGAGCGGGAGTATGGCAATATATAATATCTCTGAGAAATAGTAGATCTGATTCGTTCCACTGTGTCAGAGGGGTTCTCAAGTACTGTTCGTTGAGAAGGCCCACAAATATGTATTGGTAACTGGGGAAATACTCACATGCAGTATGCCTGTGATGTTCTTAAAAGGAACCATCCATATGTCCCGCCCGAGCCCCAGATTGGCCACTATATAGTAATTCGGTCAGTCTTCTAGGTGACTTTATTTCCTATCCTCGGCCGATTTGTGGAACACATGAACACATACAGACCACGGATAACGCCGAAAGGGGAATCATCAGCACCTATTGTTCCTTAGCATGTCTTGTAACGAACACGAATAGGAGGGAGGGGCAGAGTTTACCACCGCCAGGGTCATCACAAAATCGTCCCACCCCAACTGGCTGCCGTAGTAGGGCAATCTCGAAGCCATTCTCCCTATGAATGCCAACAATGCCAATACACCCCCGACAAGGCCTGATATAGAGATCACTTGAGATCTATCACGTATAGGCGCGTGGCATAAGGACGTTGTGATGTTTTTGGTTGCTAGAGATCATTAGCATAATTCCCCACCAGCATCCCTCGAGAGACCCAAAATCTTGAAATTTCTTACTCAGAGATTCCTTGATGGTACAATTAGCTGACACGCAGACCTCCATAGTGCTTGTTAAAACCGGGTTTGTACAGATACATGTCTGATTAGTTGGTGGACAACCCGATTCTTGAACAGACGAAAGCATGCACTTGAGCTGTTTAGGGTCAGTCTAGCTTCATCACACTGAGGAAGCCAATTCTGTTCAAGACTTACTGCACATGGAGGCATAACATCCGCCAGAGCCTGTAGATTCGTCGCCGCGACAGTGATGGCGAATGCCACCATTGCAAGTAACGTGATCAATCTCATTGTATTTTGAATTTCGCACACGGAACAAAAGAAACGAGTGAATTTGAAGTGCGTTCCAAGACATTAGAGAATTGGGCTGAAGAGAATGTTTATCACTCATCTAACAATCCATTTTAGCCTTCTGTTAGTAAGGATACCTTGCTAGAAACGCGAATCAAAGCCTGAACGCCGCTTTAGCGTATCGCAATCTGCCCCCAGACTTTTCTCCATAGGTGTGAAATGATCAGCGCTATCTCCGGCATCCGCGATACTTAATACCGTCGTACTTGCTTGTTTTCGGCAGATTATCGTTCCATTCTTCCGCTGTTTAGTATTATTTTCAAAAAAGGGGTAAACCAAAGCCTTAGGGTTCGAGGCGATTAAGCGCCAAAACGAACTAGGACGGCACACAGGCAAAATATTTGCCAAGTGAGGCGTGCTTGGATCCACATAGGAAGGTTTTGGCTGAAACGAATTAGACAACTGTCAAATACTGCACATAGCCTTACCTGTACTTTGAAGTGTCAGGTCCCACAACGGGCGACCCAATCAAGGCGACCCGTGGTTGGTGACCCGGGGTTACCAGAATTACAGGTGTCAACGGGTATAGCCAAAGAGAGCTAACCAGAATCAGTTTAGCACAGCTCTGCTTCACTATATGCCGGTCTAAAATATGCGGCCTCGTTAAACCCATTTTCATATCAAGTACTTGTGAATATGAATCTGCTCATATACTTAATATCCTGCCCCCTTTATTTCGTTTTTCTTAAATCGTAGACCACGGACTGTACCTCGTGGTTCTTGTGTACATAGTCCCCCAGTGTCTGCGATAATATAATCGCAGGGGTGACCCCTTAATTCGTGGTCCCTGACCTTCTGCCGCGGCGTAAATCTTAGTATGCTATGTTGCCGGTCAGCCGAGACGTAATCCATATGTATATCTGAGGGTCTGGTGTAGAACTTGTTGATGTTTAGCACGCGGGCACAAAATTCAAGGACATGACACGTAGTGATGATCTCCGTTACTAAACTGGTATAATAAGAGGTTGATCTCGAACGGGAGGTTCCATTGCATGAGATAGTTTACAATAACGAAGGCTTAATTAGGAAGGTCTAACTGATTTCCAAAACTTTCCACGGCCTAGACCTTGGGCTCACGTATAGAGCCGATTTCATGGTAGAGAATGAGAATCGCTAGCCGCTGCTGCTGAGCGTTATAGCTCTTTCAGTTATATTCGCCTGGGATTTATGGAACGAATGCAATACAACGTTTACGCTATATACCCATAAAAACACTTGAATAGTAACACTCTAACGCCATTTATTCACCTTTGCCTAAACCGTGAATATCGCTCGAGTCCACAAGAACATGTCTAACGTGAGTGTTCAGGTATCTTGTAGAGAAAAGGACAAGCAAGATGAAATCTGAGAGACTTGCGAGAAACCGGGTCCCCCTTCATTCCAGAGTGACGCTTCCGCACGTCAAAAGAACTCAAAAAAACGCCACTATAAGCGGGTCAACGTTCAAAAATACTTGGCCAGGAAAGTTATTCCGCGTAGGCCTAATACGCGCTATAGTGTGCTGGAAATGGAAAACAGGGAAAGTTACCAAGCCGCCCACATCCACTCGGTTTTACATCAGGACGGCAGCCCCAGAAACGCCAGGAAACCCATAATGGATGTCAGTGCATTTGACCACTAGCCTAGTCTCTTACCAGATTTGAATTACGATCTGCTCTTGAAAAACATCCTTTGCGGCTTAACAAAGTTATCAGGGAGTTTCAACCCCTGGATACATTCTCTATACCCAATGCTAGATCTTTGAAAACAATAAGTCCAGTTTTGAAAATCGCAATGTGTAGTCACAAAATGAGTTCGTTAGATCAATTTATTGGAAGCTGTCCGGAAGAAGAAATAATTCTTTCTTTACTTGATCAGGCTATGTGGAGGGAAATGAATCGAATGCCGATCGTAGAGATCCATATTTCTAGACAAGCCACAAAAAAAGTGTAATTAAACACAATCAAGCAGTCAATATTCAGGCACAATTACCATCGGCTGTTATTCGTCAGGTAAACAGATCACTTCCTTTTTGCTTGTAGCAGTTATGATTTTTAGCCGAGGCTTAGAAGTTGACGCTCAAAACCAGCCGCGCTTTGGTTTTGTTTAATTCAATCTCGTTCATTTCTCTCCTTTTGATTCAGAACTGCACACTCATTTCAAAATGCGGACATGGAATTGGGTCATGCCAATGACCCTACTGGGTCTGCATTCATGCCTCGTCGTCGCTTGGCCAGAGCACCAGCACAAAGGATCTGGCCATGTCCACAAAAGATGTCCCTTTGCGGATGTGTCCAGTGAGGCGAAAGAGGAGGTGTACAAGCGCTCGTCAACAACAATGAACTCTCCAATTGATGGTATTTTAGCTGGCTGCTTTGGAGTGATGTCCGTGAAACACTAAAACAAAACAGTCACCGGAGAACACTCATTCGTCCCACCGAACTTTGAAAATGGGGACCAACGAGGACCTTGCCCCGGATTGAATGCATTGGCAAATCATGGATACATCCCTCACAATGGAGTTGTCTCTGTGAGTGTCTCGTGTTGGCAAGCTAAAATGCCCCGTACTAATTGTTGTCCCAGTTCGGCGAGGTCATCACTGCAGCTAATGAAGGTTCGTTACAGCTAAATCTCACATGCAAGAATCAATCATATTGATTTGCCTGGTAATAGTCTTCGGAATGGGTATCGACCTTGCCACCGTCCTTGCAGTGATGGGCACAGTCTGGGTGGGTGATCCAATCTCATTGGACCCTAGCTTTTCAATTGGAGGGGTAACACCTGCTGTTACCGACCTTCTGGACAACCTAGGCGGTCTTTTAGGTAAGTTTAATATCCTGTCTTTCATGGACAAATTAAATTGTCGCTGACAGAAATGATCAGGCGAGCCTCAGGGTCTCATTGGATCTCACAATTTTATTGAATCGGACGGGTCCAATACTCGCGATGACCTTTACGTTACGGGTAATAACTACCAGCTCAATATGGAAAAATTCCTAGAGTGGTACAACATGTCAACAGACGGCACATTTGGTATGGACTTGATGGCCGAACGGGCAAATATCTGTTTGGAAAAGGCCAAGCAAACCAATCCCAATTTCTTCTACGGCCCTGTTACTGGACTTGTGGCGCGCAACGCGGGCTTCGTCTTCCCAGCTCGACTATTGGCGAATTATTCACAGGATAATTCTGAGGGAGTTACCAGTAAGTGCTTGGTTAGCTGTAACCATCTGAAAACTTTGCTAAAATGTGCTCAAACATAGCGAAGGAGATCGTCCGAAACTTTTTTGCCATCTACGAAGAGGAAGATAAATTGGTCTACCGCGAGGGATGGGAAAGAATTCCTATGAACTGGTACAAAACACCAATGGACTACGGACTGCTTGAACTCAACTCGGACATTGTTAAATGGGCGCTGAAGTATCCAGAGCTTGCAAGGTAAGATTTCTTTCTACCCACGTGTTAAAACGTTCTTCCAGACTACTGTATCGCTTTGAGAAAGGTCTGACAATTTTCTTTTTTTAAAAAAAAAAACAGTATCGGAGGAAACACTGGCACGGTTAACAGCTTCACTGGTATTGACATCTCTGACCTTTCTGGAGGGGTACTGAATATGGGTACTTTACTCGAGGGCAATAACTTGCTCTGCTTGGTATTCGAGGTATTAAAGCTTGCAAGCCCTGACGCATTGGGTGGACTATACAAGACCCTGGCAGTTCCACTGGAATTGATCGAGAACATTATTGCGGCCCCCCTTCTCAATCTCTCGTGCCCGGCCTTCGAGAATTTGCAGATGGGTGGAAAGCCTTTCTGGTCGACTGCCTTGAATGTGTTCTCCGGTGCGAAGAAGAGCGGTTCCGCGCTTTAAAACACCATTGCATAATTGCAAGAACGTGAATCATCTTTGGCTTTTTCATTTATTATATCTGTCTTCCAGCTCCAGGAATGGGACCTTGGATCTATTGTCTGCGGCTATAATTGACATACTGCGCACAATCTCTTCGTGGAATATGTGCCACTTCATGTCCAATTCATTTTCCATTCTACGGGACGTCCATGTGCTCATTGATCCTATTTTAATATTTATACCTATTGGCTTTTTTGGCTTTGAATCTTTACAGTGATTAAGAGAATAACCATGTTTGCAAGTCAGGCAGAGAGGTGCACGTACTCGTCAGTAACCGATTTCTGTTTTTATTGCCTCTCTCAGTAGGGCTTGGAAGTCCAAGGCTAATATTGAGACAATCCTGGACCACAATATGTAAGGTCTTTGAGTCTACCCAAACTTAATGATTTACCTCAGCAGCATCTTTCAAAGTTATAGAAGTGTAGTAATCTTAAGAAATCACAACCAGATGTCGCAAAACCGGGAGACACTGGTTATGGATAAGCCGGTCTTGTAGAGTACTAATGTAGATCATAGCCAAAAACGGGTTAATTTCGCGAGCTTCAGGAGCCGGCTCTGAACGCTAAGACGCATCTTCATGGTCTTCACTTTTACGGTAAGGATCATCTTCTCGGGTATAATGATTTCTATTCAGTTATGAATAGTAGAATGGCCCTTGAGTAGTGCTTGGCGAACATATTTTAAAAATATGTCCCATTCTATATCCTGATACGGACGGATCTTGTAGTCACAAATTTAGCGCTTGGTGAAGCTACAAAGAATGGCACCATTCTTTTTTAGGAAGGAAGGGGATGGAGGGAATGAAAATAAAACAAAGGAGACGCCACATGTTGCGCAAAGATACGATAAATGCCTCATTGGCAAGCAGGCTCTGTGTACTTTACGCACGACCTCTGTAGTAGTGATTTTTAGCAATTTTACAGGTCCTGTTGCCGCTGTGGGGCCGGCTGGATTTAACCGTCTTGTTCACCCTTAGTTTAGCGTCTCATTATAAGAAATTACCGACTAACCCAAAGTAGTGAGATCTTCAAGTCTCAGCCGCCCGGGACTACAGAGCCTAGCAAATTTCACTTCCATTTGATCGACGGGCGATATTCCCAACGTTTTACACCACTAGATGTTGAATCCATGTCACGGCAGTATCGCCCTATGAAGGATGAGTTGCCTCGGATGTGAGCACGGCATGGCACGACATGTCATTGAACTGCATGCGAGTAAATTTGCCCCGCCACAATGCGATTACGGACGCAAGGTGCGGAAGTAAATGTGATTTCACGTCTTCTGCAGAAATGTATAAAGGAATGGATGCTTTTTTCAGAAACATTTTAGAGTTTCTAGACACCGACCGCACTGCACTCCTTTATTTGTTCATTATGTTAATCAATCGTTCCCTTTATCTCATTGCCTCCTGTCGCCTCTCTAGTGAAAGCCGTCGAGCTTACCGGCTACGAGAATGGGTTGGACGGCTCAGGTGCCGGCGGAGGATCCACTGCTGCGCGCCTCGCTCTTGCTGGCTACAAGACGCTGCTGATCGAGGCAGGAGACGATCAGGAGAGCAATCTCAACTACAGCGTTCCCGCATTCTCAGCAAAGGCATCGGAAGATCCAGTGATGTCCTGGAACTTCTTCGTTCGTCATTATGTTGACGAGGAAAGACAGGCAAAGTATTATAAAACTGCATACATGACCCAGACGGAACTCAGTACACTGGACTCGATCCATCACATAATTCGGAAATGCTGGGAACTCTGTACCCTCGAACCCAAGCCTTGGGAGGCTGCACGGCCTATTTACTACCAACCAAAAAGAAGCAACCCGATAATATATGTGCAGTTCATCTCCACAAGCTGGGCAATGCACACTGTTTAAAACTTGCCTTGCCTCGTTGAGTTGTGGATGATCTCTAGTTCTGAACTTTTTGGCCCTTTATCAATAAACTTGGAAGATTTTCCACACGTGTGTGGTTTTCTATGATTTCTATTCGAAACAAATTAGCTACCAAACTCAACCAAAAGCGTCTAAGTCAATTTACTCACCGTAAACGGATGCAAAAAGCGGGAACTTATCGAGCCCTCCTTCCTTGCTTAAGAATTCGTGAACTGCTTGAGCAGTAGATATCCCTTGCAGTTTCTGTCCACCTAATTCTGTTTGCTCGATCTTTTCAATAGGAACGCCTTTCTCCACCGAGCGAAGTGCCGACCGGTAGTTGCGGCCCGCATTACAGGATGCAATCAAATCAGCCATTCCAGCGCTTTCCTCCGTAAAGGTTCTCTCGTCCACAGATTTAGGGAACCATGTACGGCCGAATTCCACCATCTCGAGGACACCAATACGAATGATGGCAGCTTTAGTATTCTCTCCCCATCCTTTACCAGCGACGAAGCCCGCTGCTAGGGCTATTATATTCTTGAGTGCGCCGCCAAGCGCGACTCCGGCAGCATCCTTGACGACATGAACTTGGAAATACGGGCGTTGAAACAGTGTCTCCAGCAGAGAAGAGTCCACGGGAGGGTATTCTTTGGGAATAGGAGATAGCTTTATGTGAGTGGGCTTGCTATCGCTTTGGCGTTGTTCATCCACTTTGACCAGATTATCTCGCGGTGAGCCATCCCGGTCCTTGTAGTCCATTGGAGGGCTGTCGTATCCAATAGTGGTTTCGCAAAAATTTTCCGCTGCGACTTCGGGCGCAATATTTGCGCCGGATAGCGCGCCACAGTAAATTTGTAGCTTCTCCATAACCATTTCTGAGTATAAAGTGACGGTTCCGTCGGCCACGTCCACACCCTTGATACACGAGATACCACGAGCATAAGGTTTATAGTGGCCTTTAATCTGGTCCAGCGTTCTGGACAAAAATTGGTGAGGAAGGTTGAAGACGAGGATGCTGGCATCTTTCACTGTATCCTGTAGATCGGGGTTGGCGATCAGATTGTCCGGAAGCTTCACTCCCGGGAGGTATTTGATGTTTTGATGCACAGTATTTATGGCATGCGACAGTTTGACGGGGTTACCACCGAGCTTGCCCCGGAGCCCGGGGTCATCGCCGACATCAACGTCTTCTTCGAAAACCCACATCGGCACAATGGTTTCGAAAAGATGGTTATTTTCTTTCACATTTTCCGCGAGAATTTTTCCGACCGTTGATCCCCTATTCCGGTGTGCTGTTGTGAGTAACAAAGCCTACTAAGACAATAGAAGTGTGAAAGCCTACCAGTTTCCTGAGCCGATCACAGCTACCTTGTGTTTCTGGCTATGTTGTGACATGTTGGAGTGTAAGCTAGAGCTAAAACTCATCTGTTGTCGATGTTCTGTTAACTATTGAAGCAAAGGAGGCCGAGAAATTCTGTAGATGTCTCCTATCCTCTACAGGACTGCATTAGAAAATATATGTTATTCTATCATGACTACGTTAAGATTGCGTCATATTGCAAGACGAAGATAATCTTGCCTTCGGGACTGTGCAGTAGTAATCCGAGAGGTGCGTAGTCATGCAAGTAATACGATGTGGGGTACGTCGGCCAATAGGAGCACCCATGAAATCAGGCGGCCCCTAAATGGTTGGCAAGGCGGCTGCGTGAGCCTCAGGAGCGTCCTAAGAGCTAATCCGTATTAATTTGCCCTACTTACCCCCGCTCATGCTGAACTTTTACTCAGCCTCACGCCTCCTTGGAATGTGCAGATGTCTCTTATTTCCCATTTATTGACTATCGCACGAGGGTACACCTCCATGTTTTGCTTGAACATTTGAATCTGATGAATTTCTGCTCGATAACTCGATATGGGTAGGCCAGATGATCTGAAGCAAAGCAACCTAGCTGCGTCGCACATGTCCCCCGGGTTTTCCAGAGTCTCTACGCAGCACATACAGGAATCGAACGCCTGTATTAACTCGTCCAGCTCGATGAAGTGTCAGTAAAGTAATGCAATGCGCACTCTCGTCGTGTGCCAGGACATATAATCTCTCCGTCACCAATGGAGTTCGTTCAATTAATGCCACCTTAGACTATACTTTCGCATTAGTACGGGTATCCTAATTCCCTATAACCGGTTCTCGCCTTTTGGACGTTGGAAACCAAGGCATAGTGACCCAGTCAACTTCTCCGTAATGGAGCAGACATCGGGGAGGCAGTGGCAGAATGTCAGGTGACTTTGCATTCTGTCCAATTCTGTATTCTGGAAACTTCTTCATTCACTAGTCGGAGTTCGTTACCGCACCTACTCTTACGGCGATTCTACCTTGTCATATCAGGCCGATACTTCACCAGCCGGAGTGCACAGGGTCTCAGAACTTGGCTTGGAAGATTATGTCCAAGATTGCAGCTTCTCTCATAAAACTTGGCCTCGACAGAAGTAATCGAGTCGTGAATGGAACGGTGTTCACTCCGAGGTATACATTGCTGTAGCCTGGCCGTGGATGATTCTCCCTGAGGTGCTTCTCATTGCTGCTATCACCTTTTTGGTAATCGGCTATGTGGGTTAATCAAAGGGCCAGATTCAGTTTATAGAAGTCATCTGTGCTACCGATGCTGTATCATGGACTTGATGACGATTTGCTGCCTAGTGCTGATGAGGATATCACTTCTACAAGCCAGATGGAGGAGACTGCCGCAACTGGAAGTGCGAGGATGCTAGGAGGCTGATGTTACAGAAATTACGCGGATCTAGAGATGCTATCGAGCTATTCGATCAAAGATGGCCATGGCATTTATTCGGGCTTTGTAACAGGAAAGAGTACTGAGGCTGCCATATTTCCCATGGCCATACATGTGAATCAGACACTAGACCGCATTCCCGCCGATGTTGTCCTCGAGGAGCACGACGCCGCTCGTGAGAAGATTGAGGATGCCTAAATCAGCCTGGGTTTGATGCTTTGAGGAATTGGCGACAGACTAACCCCCACCCTCGGAGCCAACAGTTGATGTAACACTTCACGATTCAAAGTTCCAACTTACGGCTCTTCCTCGGCCCCACCCCATGTTCTCGGCTCCACCCCGCGTTTTGATCTTTACTGTCAATGTCATAAGTGCAAGATATAACTACTACAGATGGCGTGAGCCGATCGTGGACGCTCGTAATTCCGTAATGCCATGGAAAGGTCTCTTTTTAGGGTCCATAAAAAGGGTCCTGGCGCCAAGGAACGGCATGGAAACCTGCTCCTTCTTCCGCCCATCCGATAGCTTCTGCTAGAAAAGAGAGACTTGACATAACTGACCCCTGTAGTTGTGAACGTGCTTTTGTAGTGTCAATATAAAAGGAGAAATGGAGCGGGGTGCCGAAAGAAATGCCAACAAACTAACTCCTGGAGAAATTGGCAGGCTCCCACTGTCTTCCCCGCTGCCGATATCTCCGGAGCATGAAATTAGCGGGGAAGTAGCGAGATGTCTCCACATCAATCTTTTCATTCTATAATGTTACAGGAAGGACTGCAATATCTCATTAAGGCTTACATCGGAGAAATCCTATGCTCATCATTTTAGGCGAAGGAACATATACACACGAAACTGCATCGGGGGTAAGGTAAACAGTCTGTTACGTCTCCCGAGGTCGGCCAAGAACTTAGGGTCTTTGGCGCCATGGTAGGCGCCGGATATTGTGGCTATAGTGTGGGGACTATGGCGTTCCCTGTTCTCGATGTAGCATAGGATTCATCGCTTGGGGCCGTGTAGTCTTCCCGGATTGGTGCCAAAAACTAGTAACTTTCCCCACTCGATGGACAGCTATATAATAGACGAACCCAGTCGAGAGCTTCTCCAGAGTCAAAGCGAGGCTCGAACATCGAGATGACAGGCACGATGCGTTCGCCCCTCTTCCTGACAGCCTGTGCGCTTGCCAGTGTTAGCGCCGCCTGGGCTCAAGATGTCTCACAGGCTCTTCTGGAGGTACCTTGGCGGACAAATAATGCAAGGGTCAATGATCTTGTCGCTGCCTTGACTCACAAGGAGAAGATCTCACTGGTTCATCATACACTGTGGGCAGGAAGTCAAAATTTTGCTGGCTATATCAAGCCGGTTCCGAGACTGGGAATACCGGCGCTTCAGATGACGGATGGTGAAGCGTATGCGAATCGTTGCATTTTTCGTTTTTCTCTTTGTATACATGTATAGGCTAACCTCTTACGCGGCTATTGATAGGGGAGTCAATGGGGTCTTGAACGCGACAGCTATTCCTAGCCAGTTGAATATTGCAGCAACATTCTCTCGAGAGCTTGCTTATATTGCTGGCGCCGTTGCCGGAAGTGAGGCACGACTGCTGAATGCCTGTAAGACCTTCCTGAAACTAAATATAATCCTAAGCTGATGACATACTTTTCTTTCAGCTATCCTTCTAGCTCCTCGTGTGAACATCCTTCGCGACCCATTCGAAGGCTCCTTCTGGCAAGGTTATTCTGAAGACCCCTATCTGAATGGACAGTTGGGTGCACAAGGAGTTCTAGGAATACAGGACCAAGGGACTATGGCAAACTCGAAGCAAACAGGTCCCAGCAGTACTGGAGCCAGCGCTGGTGACACGAACTCCCAAGTTGATATCCAAGTCTTGCATGAAGTATACTGGGCTCCTCACCAGCAACTTATAGACGCTGGCGTAGCAACCATGATGTGCTCGTACGCTCAGATCAATGGCATTCCTGCCTGCCAATATGATGAACTGCTCAATCTCACTATTCGTGGGGATTACAATTTTACGGGTGCAATGATGAGTGATTGGACGGCAACCCACTCCACAGCCCCATCCATCATTGCTGGGTTGGATTGGGAGACGGGCTCTGATATCTACTATTCCGAGCCCCTGTATGATCAGATATATGTTCAAAGAAACCTATCCGAGTCTTACCTCAACAGGGCAGTCCACCGCATTCTGTCGATGTATGACCGCTTCGGCATTCTAGATGGCAGCACTTGGTGCAACAGGGCTGCAATTGACAAATGGTGCCGGCTTTGCCGAAAGGGCCTTTGGATTCCAGGATCGCAAGAGCGCCTGTTGATGCACTGAAGAAAGCCTCCAAGGACCTCAAAGTATCTTCAGCAGTCGGCGTCGATATGCATGGTACACTTGTGCCTAATTCCGCCCTGAGAACCGTTGATGGCAAGCATGGGCTGCTTCGCAATGACTCAATGGGAATAACCAACGTTGATTCCACCCTCAACTTTCAGGGTAAAAACGCTCTTCCTACAAACGCCAGCTATACATGGACGGGTGAGTTGATGGCGCCAATGGCCGGATATTACCGTCTTGCTCTGCAGCGTCGGTTTCCCAGCCCTGGGGGCCCAGTCAATAGTACCGACTACAGCATCTTCTACCATGACTCTTTCACCGTTGATGAGAACACAGTTGATGGATACCGTATTCTTGGCGATGGAGGGACTCGTCCCTGGAACTCGCCGCTCCCGACTACTGATTTCTGGGACGAAGCAGGAACAGATGTCTACCTCACAGCTGGGGCACACAACTTGAGTGCCACCGCAACGTCCATGTTTGGCGAACCTCTCGAGATCAGGTTTCACTGGGTCACACCAGAACAGCGCGAGAAAAACATCAGGAAGGCAGTGAAACTCGCGTCGTCAGTGGATGTACCAATTGTCTTCGGACATGCCAACAGCCCAGCTCAAGTTGGCATGCAGCTCATCGAAGGGTTTGACGAGCTCATTCAACGCGTCGCCGAAGCAAACCCCAAAACCGTGGTCGTCCTGCACAATGCAGACCCGCTCTTAATGCCATGGCTGGACAAAGTCTCCGCCGTTCTGTGGATGGGTCATCCTGGCCAGGAAGGTGGAGCTGCCATCGCGGATCTTCTCCTGGGTCAGCACAATCCCCAGGGAAAGCTTCCTGTGACGTATCCTGCTTCGGTAAACAGCAGTATGACGCGCAACCCGGAATACCCGAACCGGGTCGACGGCGAGAATGGCACAGCCGTTTTCTCTGAAGGCATTAATACCTCTTACCGCTGGTATCTGAGCACAAATACACCGGTTCTCTTCCCCTTCGGCTTCGGACTATCTTATACGACCTTCGACTACAGTGACTTCGAAATCACCGAAAAATCAGACTCTACCTTTGATGTGTCTTTCATACTGAAGAACACTGGACCAGTATCCGGAGGTGATGTGCCGCAGCTGTATATTGGACCTCCTTTTGGCGCTGCGCAGAAGTATCATGGTGTCCAATTTGCGGTATCGGTTCTTGCTGGGTTTGATTCCGTTGAGTTATCTCGCGGTGCAGCGAGGAGGGTCACCTTCTCCATTTCTGAAAGGCAGTTGAGCTTCTGGAATCAGTCAGATCGGTCATGGGTTCTTGCAGAGGGTACGCGGGAGGTGTGGATTGGGTCGGATGCGCAGACTGTAGTGCTGAAGGGAACTATGGAAACCTAGGGGTTCATAAAGGAACAAGGAAATGTGAGGTGTTGAAATTACGAAAGATATTCTCTTTCGGCAATGCCGTTTAGAATATATCCCCATTTGAAGTATCTATACAACCCTGGCCTTTCTTAGGTCCCAAAGAGGTCATGTCGACCACTAAAAGCATTGCAAGATGGAAAACATCTTCAAAGCTGTGAGGGTTGTATTCTTTACTCTCTGATTGGTCTACCACCATGTGTTATACATACCAGCGTTGCGGAGTGTAGCAGAGTGGCAGTCGGAGCTTCCATATCAGCGCCGATCAATTGTTGAGAGGCCGAGAATTCCCTCTCATAGCAACAGTAGATGCTGAAAAAGACACTCAAGTAAATCGGAATTTCCCTGACTGTTTATAAGAGATGAGCAAGACTGCTTCTGGTTTCACTCAACAAAATCTCATGATCGATTTTTTCTGATTACTATTGATGACAATTTCAAGAACGGTTACCTTTTATTTCTTTTCCTTTGTTTCCCTTGATTGACGTCTCATTCCGGTTTCTCTAGTCGTGCCTCCGTATATTTCTGTTTCCTCTACTGAACCCTTGACTGTCTAGTTCCACTTGCATTGCCACTGAGGAGGTGGATTCATTTAAATCGTTTAGCGAACATGATCTGCTACGCATAATAAATTTTTTTCTAACTGGGAGATCATTCATTAAGGCTGAATTTTTTAAGATGGCGGCAATATCCTCCGATCTAGGCGACATAAGCCGCCAAGAAAGCTCTGGATGTTAGAATCTGGTAATGCGTTGATGAGAATTTGTTAAATATCATCAGATGATCCATGTATGCGTATGGCGCTTTTCAATAAGTCATTATTATTCTCCGATCTAGATGGCATAGGCCGCCAAGCCAGCCTAGGAACCACTCTGGTACTTCGTTGAAGAAAGGTACTAAATGTAATGATCCATTGATACGTCGTCAGCTCCCATCTTGGCGGAATTTGCGGCCAGAAAAGGAAATAAAGTGGGGCAGGAATCTCCAGAATGTATTACGCAAGGTCAAAGTATGATTGCTCACTTCTAGAAAAGCTTCGACATGGTGATTTCTAATAAGAGCTACATATGTAATCCTGATCCTCATATTTGTCATCGAATTTGAAGGCCCACGCATAGAATTGCTATTTGCCTCAACTGAGCCTGGCTGGCAAAGCAATGTGAGGACTATAAATGCCCCTTCACCACTAGCATGCCTCTTGTAGCACCTCGTTAGTATCACCAGATCCCTGTCTTCTGGTTTGCCTTCACAACTGAAATACGTCACTTTTGATCTTCTGCGGTCTTTCTCCTTCGGTTAACTCTACCTCAATGTCTCCATCGACCTTCCAGAGCTCCCTCAGCATTACGCACATTGGCACCGCCACAGCGATCTTCAAAATTGACGATGTCAACCTTCTAACAGATCCATTTTTCTCGCCTGCAGGCACAACATGGGACGTGGGCAGCGGCAATTTTCTGAAAAACACCGAAACCCCCGCTCTCGGCCTCGAAAACTTGCCCGTTATCGATGCTATTCTCCTTAGCCACGAAGATCATCCTGATAACTTGGACGATTTCGGTCGCCAGCTGCTGAATGGCCGTCTTGTCTTCACCACAGTTGACGGTGCAAATAACCTTGCCCCTCGTCCGGGTGTTCGTGGCATGAAGCCATGGGAAACCGCCTCAACTGTCCTTCGGGGGGTAGAGTACGATATCACTGCCACGCCGTGTAAGCATCTGCCCGGAGGCGAATGTACCGGTTTCATTTTGTCCACGGCAGAATTTGGAGTCGGCCCTGACGGCCGCCCTAATGCAATCTATTTCACCGGAGACACTGTCTATATCGACGAACTCGCTATGATCCCCGAGAAGTTCCACATCGTTGCTGCTGTTATGAACTTGGGTTCTGCCCATGCCGCCCTCCCCGACGGGCTGGTTCAAATTACCATGGATGGCAAGCAGGCTGCTCACCTTTTCCGCACCATCAAGGCGGACAAGCTTGTGCCTATGCATTACGAGTCTTGGGATCACTTCACCCAATTTGGCCAAGATTTGGTCAAAGTGTTCAAAGAGGAAGGGATTTTCGAGGACGTTTGCTGGCTCACTCCTGGCAAGTCTGTGAAGATTATTTAACATACTTGAATATGTCCCGGTATCGAAATAGCATGGATTGCTGCAGAAGCATAGTACAGAGTGCTAGGAATGAACGACATCGTGAATCTTGCGAGTTCAACCTGGATCCCAAGAAGCTTCCTGAGTAAGGAGAACGAATTCACCTTTCGAATACCAGGCGAAGGCGCACCCTCGAACCTATTAATACACTAATAATCAAACAAAAGGAACATGTTGAAATATTGTAAAAATGATACATTTAGTGTGGTGTTTCGGGGTGGGCAGGTCGCTTGGTTGGGCGGGTCACTCGGGAAATATTTACGTTAGTTAACTAACTTTGTTGACTATTTAGCAATTTGTCAGCACAGTTCAAGGGATTGTGAAAATCTTATGGAAAGCAAAGCGCAGATATCGTAAGAATCGTCTGATTTGAAGTCACGTGACAGTGGTTGAGAGAGAATTTCACTAACCGTCTTTGGATACATAATCCGCCAAGACTAACGCCACTATGATTCGCAATTCTAACCTTTCGAAGATTGCCACCAGCTGCAGTGTAGTCTGTTCATGCTGCATATATGATGCTCAGACACACCTGCAAAGGTCAACCTGGCAAGAATTGTCACCGGCAAAATGAAAGTCAAACGGAGGAATGTTTGCGAGAAGTGCAGAAAGCGGAAGTTAGGGGTGCGTATGTACAATGGATCGATGACTGTTGGAGTACTGACATATCTGGTCATTTGTAGTGCGATGGGAAACGCCCTGGATGCAGTCAATGTATATTGTCAGGACTAAAATGTGACGGCTATGCAGCAGACTGGACATTCGTGGAACAAAGTGCTCCGGCGCACCACTCGAGCAAGAGAGGTGGCCAGGCACTAATTAGAATGAAGAATCAAGGAACACTACTAAGCCCTGATCAACAAGTGCAGACGTGTTTCGCCGGGCCTATGATATTTCAACAACATCTGAACCGGCCAGACATGACTCATCTCTCTGAACTCATTGTGCAAAATTTCGTCCCCAAAGGCGAAAGAGCCATGCTGCTCTGCAAATCAGATTATGTGGAGCCTCGAATCTGCGGCTCCTGGGTTGAAGTGCTATCTTATCTTCCATGTTTGAGAACTAGTACCTCAGTTCTTTCCAAGGCTGTAACAGCGCTGGCAGTTTCACTACTATCCCGGCTGAAAATGGGCAGCTTTGATTGTTCTCAGAGCTATGAAGCAGCTATTCACATGCTTCGGCAAAGCCTAGGTATGAATGGCAGCGGTGTTAATTTTGAACACATCCCGACCATAATGTGTCTCACGTTAGTGGAGGTACTTCACTTCTCACGGCCTTATCATATTGTGTAACTGCTGACGTTTAGAAAAGCATATGATCCCAGACTCGACCCCCGCTATTGCAGCACACATCAGGGCTGTAGGACTGCTGTTCCAAGCCCACGGTCCAGATGCATATAAAGACGGAATCCTCCACAGACTTTTGGTGGGGTTTCGGCCCCTACTGGTTTGCGTCTCCTAACCTCATTATCCCATTGCAACTTATTAACCTGTTGAATCTGTATCTAGATTATCCAGGCTCTTCAGGATCGCCAGCCAACATTCCTCGCTTCGCCAGCTTGGATCGAAGTCCCATTCTCTTCTATCAGTCCATCTCTCATGCAGACTCTCCTTACCGAAGTTATCATGATTCCATCATTACTACAGCGAATAGATTTGCTCCTTGAAAACCCACAGCAGGACGACCTGTCCGAGATAGATGAGCTGATCAGCCTTTTTCTTGACTGTTTTGCTCGCCTTCACAACTGGGAAACCACGTTAGGCGTCGAAGCCTGTCAACCCAACTGGCGCTGTGGTGATATGTCACATGAAGCAGGGGCGAATACTTCAGCACATACTTACACACGTTTTCACTATCCTAACGTCTCTATGGCAAATATCTTCACTCACATCTGGGCCTTCCAAATCAATTGCCTTACCGAAATCGGGCGTCTAGCCACCATTAGCTCCCGTCTCGACAGACGGCAATCTACATTGCCAATGCCGCTCTATTTGAATCTTGGTAGGAATCAAGAGTGCATGACCACTCTGGCGAGGCAAATATACCAGAGCATGGACTATCTATTACAAGATGAGATGAAACTCTTTGGACCGGCATCCACATTTTACCCCCTCAGGGTAGCTTACCAAAGTTTTAAAACAAATGAGCTTGGACAGATAGAAGATATCACTTTCATGGAGGGAATCGTTGACCGACTTGTCAAAAAAGGCTTATTGTCCGCTCGAGCCCTAGTTTTTGACAACTGAATCAAGATTTATCAACTACCGCCACAGCACAGCCCCTTACCACTCCAAGCTCGTATATTGCTACCACGGGGTTCAATTAGGACCCCAAGCTGGACATGATAAGGGGAGGATGCCCTTAATTGGTTTTGCTTTTGGTTTTTTTGGTGGGGGGGGAGAGATTGCAAATAATCTCCAAGCGCTGAAGACCTCAATTGGTACTGTGTCTATGCTCCGTGGCGTTCCGTTCACCTGCCCTCCCTCTTAAGCCACTAGATGTGCATATGCGACATGCCACGGTTCACCTCAATATACTCCTGTACAATGCAATACGTTACTGGACTTTCGGCGTTCGGGAATTTAGAACTTGCTGGGGTGTGTGCCATTTAATGTACAGTGATGTACAGTGCTGGTGCCTCGGAAGGCCAAAACCAAATATCTCGGCTCTGGCTTCCTGGGTATGTATTGTACATGTTGAATATTGTAACGTATATACACATATCGGCAACCTCGTTCTTGAAAGCAGAAATATATAGTCAGTATACTTCACCCATATACAGCAGCAATATTTCGCTACGCGAGTAATAACCAATAGAACCAGCAAATATATCTCCGCTAGGAGGTCAATTTGAGTCGAGCGGACAGAAAAGAAACAAGAGAAACAGTCGAATAATAAATAACCACCTACACCCATCCTACCCTATCCATCCATCTGGAATAAAGATCAAAGCCAACATGAAGAGAGTTTACAGCTGAAAGAAATCCAATCCGAATCCTGATTATCCCACTCGGGAGACCATAAGAAACAAAAACAAAAATCCTGCTATCCATCAGATAATTGACAATTCCCTAGACCTGGAACCCCTTCCTGAAGATACCGCGGAACAAAACAACAAAACTGAACAAACGAGGTGGTAGGTCGTCATAAATAAGTTTGCGCCCGCGTATCGACTACAGGAGTTGCAAAGAAAACACCGTATTCCCCATCAAAGCAAAAAGAACCTGAAACAAGGGTACGAAAGTCGCTTAAGAACGGACAAAACTTGGTTGGTTGGGGGAACTTAGTTGACTCGGAATGAATCGAAGATGACTGCCACATGTCAGAATCATAAACATAACCAAAAGGATGGGGATATCAACTCACGTTCCTGGCCTCGGCGGCAGCCGCTGCCTATCCACATCAAGGTGTTTAGGAATGTGTATCGCTCATCACCAGTCTCCATCGACAGGTTGATGCGGTATTTGTAGGTGCTGGGATTGACACCATCCGCCATCCCAGGGTCGTTGACCTTCTCCAAGACATCCTTGGCGCCGGTCAGCCAGCCTTCTGTCCGCACGATGATGAACGCAGGCGGCTCATCTGCGGTCTGAAGCATGTAGCTTGCGCGAAGGTTGGTAGTCGCGTCTTTAGTCACGACCTGAGTGTCCTGGCCACCGGGCTATACGCAGAGTAAGAATCTGATATAACTGAATCGAGGAAAGACTTACCAGAACAATTCCCTTGCCCCACCGGCCAGCCCACTGTCCACCCACAAACGAAACCCAATCCCGCTGACCCCAGATACTCTGGCCGACTGTAACCTTGGGGTTCAACTTGATGCTCATGCGGAAGTCCAGCTCCAGCGATGGCGCCGGAATCTGCAGCGATCGCGCGACATCGCCTTCGGGGAATGTATGAAGCAGATTGTTGGCTGGGATCGAGTCCTTCATAACACTAAGATAGGTGGGACATTCCAGCAAATGCTGACGCTGGCGGCTGGTATTCTTGGCGCGGACCTGCTGACAGTAGATGCATTGCACGGACAGACACTGGCGAAGCGATTAGCTTTGTTTATTTAGTACGCAAAAGGGTTTCGGGCAAGCCGTACCTTGTCTTCTTCCTTGGCGCGGAACTCGACAAAAGCCGCGTGCACGTCGTCCAGCGGCGGCGCGGGCAAGCTCGAGGTCGAGGTCTTCGGCTTGGGCTTGGGTGTCGGACGCGACGGCTGCGCAGAAGACGGCGCGGACCCAGGGGGTCCCGGCGGCGGGCCGGGAGTCTGCATCGGGGGGCGATTCTGCATGCTCTGCAGCGGCGTCTGCATCGGGGTCGCGTGAGGGTTCACCCCGTTGGCCATCATGGGTCCGTTGGGCGTTGGGATCGGACCAGGACCGGGAGGACCAGCACCTGGCGTGGCCGTTGGACCACTCGGGGTACCCGGGTATCCATTGGCAGGGCCGATGCCGTTAGGGGCGGTTTGGGCGGGCTGAGATGGCTGCGGCGCGTTGGGGTGGCCGCGCAGGCCGGGGCATTCGAGGAGGTGCTGCTTCTGTCGCGAGGTGTTCTTTGCGCGGATCTGCTGGCAGTAGATACACTGGACGGAGAGACACTACATACGGTATGTCAGTGACGATGGCGTGTTTGGTTTTGGTGAGCAGGATAAAATGTGGGCTGAAATATTACGAAATACGCAGTCACGCACCTTATCATCTTCCTTGGCGCGGAACTCGACAAACGCGGCGTGCACCTCCTGGTCTACGGTACGACCCATAGTGGCGACCGGAAGAGAGGGCTCGAGAGACAGATGGAGGTCCCGGGGATTCACGATGGCGACAGCGCGATGGCCGGGTTTTGACTGGGGGAGAGAAAAAAGTTGTCAGGGACGGAAGAGGCGGAGGAGGGGGAAAGGGAAGGGAAGAGAGGAAAGAAATGGAAAGACCAAGACGAGAATACGCGGTCTGCTCGGTACGGGTCACGCGTAAGTTTGAGCATGGTACATACACCCTCACCATACAATAATAACCAGCCCATCGTACATCGTCCATTATATTCGTCTCTCGTCTCTTCGACTTTTGGCCTTGATGATCGTTCTCTTCAACTCCGGGTTTTCCTTTCCAACTCCCTATGGTTGTTGCCGTACTTCCTCCTCCCCCAGCTCAGGCCCCCAGCGTGAACCGCCCGACGCACTTGGCGGCCAATAGAGACAGCAGCGGGCGCAGGCGGCAACAACGGACGGCGCAGCAAGACTGACTCGCGAGTCGGAGCTGTCTCTTGGTTAACTGTGATGTCCCCGATCTTTAGTAGTGAATCTCATTCCGGCAAATATTCCAGGCCGGGTGCCATCCCTGACTTTGACGGGAGACGTACGGGCGAGGCTGACTCGATCAAGTCTCCCAAGCGCATTTGGCACCGATCGAGCAGTCGAGCATTTTGATATGATCAGAGTGATATCGCGTTGTTTGCTGTGGTGAGTATGTACAGTTGATACCATTACTCGATACTGTTTGGGGCTCTTCGGTATACCGTACTCGAGTACACGATACTGTTTCTCTCATCTCGTAACGGTTCCTGGTAAGATTGAGAACGAACAGTAACGGGGAACTATAAAAATAGTAAACAATACCATCGTCATCCATGGAAGAAAATTAAGAATAAGAATGGCTTGCGCAAATCCAGTTCCCCTATGGTCCTGGTCCTTTCCTTCCTCTCTCTCGTGAGCTTGAAAAACAATTCCACCCCGAGGTATTATCCCAGCCATAAAACGCGAAAATCACCACAACCCGTCAAAACTGCCCTTCTCGCAACGCCTATCCATACCATGCAAGTAAGAAAAGAAGAAGAAAAAGACCCGAATACCGACACCACACCGAAAATGCCCACCGCGCTCAAAACCTCCTGATAAGTAGCTGACGGACCGCGCCCGTCTGCACCTAACCGTCTCGCCACCCGGTATACCACTACGCCACCACTCACAAACCGGCCAGCCGCAGATGAATCTCACCGTACCGGTAGCGCGTCCCGAATCTGGCACTACTCTCATCCTCGTATGGATCTTGATAGAGAGCCAGAACGCCCTTCGTGGCGAGCGTGAGCACGTTCATCAATCCATGCGTGGCCACGGCACGCGAGGTCTTCACGGGAGGTAGGATGGTCGAGAATGCGACCTGGCTTGGTTTCTCACCACTTCCTCTCCAACTTGGTCCGACTTGAGATTCCGCACTGGTCTTGATGAAATCGAGGAAGTTTAGACTCTCCCGGTCGAGAGTGGATGTGACGCGCTGAACCTCGGACTGGCGCCGCGTTGAGATCATGCTGAGACTCTCGCGGTCGGCTGCAAGCTCGCTTTCGAGATACTGTGTGATCTCTAGGTCATCTAGGTCGTAACCCGGGAGCGACATGCTCCTCAGGCGTTCGCGCCCGTCGAAATAGCTCCGTCCGGCGAGCGGGCTTGCACTCGTGAGACGACTCCGAGGTCGCGATGTTCGGCCTTCGCCATATCCTCGCGAGGACAGCTCGCTACCCAGTCCTCCACCGCGCTGGGAGCTCTGCACGGAAGCCGTTATGTTCCATGGCATCTGCGAGGAATGGTCGTCATAGAGGCTCCCCGGTCCCTCACGTCCCATTTCCACATCCAGCATCAATTGCTCCGTGGCAGGGGCGCTGTCATCATGGACACGCATTCGATGAGGCGTAGAACCTGACTGGTCCCCGTCAGGGCTATGGGCGCGCTTTCTTCCGTTCTGCCGGAAGACCACACACACGACGTCGTACAGTTCATCGCCCGAGTAACACTTCAGCGGGTGAGTTTCATGGTCAACGCCCAATCCCATCCCAACTGAGCCGATGCCCTTGCCGAATACCCAGAACGCGGCGTTTTTCTTGGCCAGTGTTGGGATCTTGTTGAGCTGCTTCTGTTTCCGCGCCTGAGCCATGTTGGAGCCATATTCCTCGTTCCACTGCGCCAGATCTGCGTTGCGGATGGTCGTGTTGCTGTCAGCAATGATGGACTTGGTTTCCCTTCTAGCCTGTCGGACTCGCGTCTCTCGGACCTCAGGTTGTTCGTCGTTGTCAATGGGGTTCTGATTGTCGAGCTCCATCCTATCACCATCTTTTGCAATTCCCTCGATCTTGTTCTCAGACTGCAACGATGTGAGTACCAACACTTGCCTTCGGATGTAGAACATACCTGGAGCCTCTGTCTATCCTCACGTCCCGCTTCTTCACGGTCATTCTCCTCCAGTTCAAAGACAGACCTGCTCCTTCGCGGTGACAGTCGCGATGGGCTAAGCTCCACGATATTCCCGTCCTCGTCGAACTCAAAGTCGGGCTGAAAGAGGATTCCTTGTTCCTCGTCTCCCACATGAGAATCATTCATTTTGCCAGAGACACTTCGCTTTTGAAAGGGACTGTTAGTATCACTGTGGGCGCTCATCATGCCAATATCTCTCAGGACATCGTCCGATGGAAGTTCAATCTGGATACTCTCGATCTCAGAGGAGAGCATCTGGCTGGCCATAGGTGACTTCGACCACCAACCAGTAGATCTCTGGCTAAAGCTCTCCTCTACCATCTTGTCAAACACTGAGAAGTCAATATCCAGACCCGGAAGGCCCGTCTCGGGTAGGAAAGCTGGGTCATATGGAACGATGAGCTGGCCGGGTCTGACACCTGAGGTCAGTAGATTAACAGCCGAGCACACAAAACACACAACACTCACTTAGCCTTGCCAGCACTAGGATCCAGCCCGCTACCGGGAATCGACCGCATCAGCAACGCCATCCGATCATGCATCCCCTGCACGTCGAGCAGGGTATACCCGCATTGCTGGTTGTAGACTCTTGAGACACCGTACCTAACAAACAGCTTGTCAGCGGGCAAAAGTATCTTGATCCCCCGACCTGGGTGTGACATACAGCAGACTTCCTTGAAGGCGCAGGGCCATCGGCGCCTCGGGGTTGGTAATGACTCTGCATGCCTGGGGAACATCGACATCGAGGATCGCCTTTCGATTCACTCGTCGGGTGATCGACCTGGAGCCGAGGGTCGCCACGAGCCTGCATTTGCAAGGCATAGTCAGCTTCTCACAGGAGTACGGGCGGCGTGGTCCGAGAGACTCGGGTACTTACCAGATGGTCGCAACGCCATGCTCCGGTGAGGTGAGGACTGTTCTCGGATTATCAGTCTGACATGGTATACGCCAGAGGCTAATTTCCACGTGAAAATTTACAAGGCAGACTTACTTTCGTGACTGTAGAACATGTTGGCTGCAATGCCTCAGATGGAGTCTGCAGCCCACGGCCCGTCCTTCAGGATGAGGATGGTCCTGTGTACACGTCTTTCACGCGTTTCAATCTCAAGGCCCTGTCCGGAAGTAGGATTTGCGTTGCCTCCTATCTGGGGTCTCAAGGATGAGGAAGTCCAAGCAAGCGAGAAGACTTGGTTGAAGCAGACGCGAGAGTATGGCCGTGGTGGCGAGTACGGGAAAATGAAATCAGGATGGAAGAATAAAGGTGGAACGAGACGACTGTAGAGAAATGTGGTGACAGACAGAGTGAGTGATGGGTTGGTGAAGAAGAGGAAGAAGAGGAAGAAGAGGAAGGAAAGAAGGCAGTAAAGCAACCTTGAAAGTCTTTCTCAATCTACAATAGGGGCAGATACACAAGTCCCTACCTAGCATACATAAACACATACACTACACTCTTGAGCAGTTTGGTCATCGCTCCTGGCCAAATAATGTTGAGTGGACTGGATTGGCCATGACTCTTGAGAATCAGTACATGCTCCTTAGGATTTGACCAGCGATGGTACGAACGTCACAAGAGGATATAAAGTTGGCTCAGCCACCGCAAGACCAGCTACTCAGTTACAACTCTAAGGGCAATGGGATAAGAGGTTGGTTGAGACGCAGCTCGAAGGAGGGTATAACATACCTCAATCAAACCAATGGAATATCTATCAGCCCGTCAACCCCAACCAACCACACATCACCTACCACCATAGAGAATAGAAAAAGATATCGATATATATATATAGATATTTATTTATATAACTTCATCCACCCCGATCAAGAAACCGAAAACCACGAGAGGAAACCAAAAATGCTGCTTTTCGAGAGACACCTCGGCCGTCAAACCCCGCCGAGAGAGGAATCTAAGCAAAACAGAGAAAGAGGAACAGAAAAAAACGAACCAGGCACCAACGGACAACATCGGACCAAAATGAAAATTCAAAATACACGAACATGGACATGAACAACAACGAAAACATTTTCCCTCTTTCTCCAACTACCAATCAACAACCACAACGACGACGACGGACCCGGACCAACCCCAACCCCATAGCGACCTGGTTGGATGCATTGCAGTGCACGCGAAGGGGGGTATGACAGACGGACAGATGGGATATGCGAGCACTATTCTATTTTACTCTCTCTTTCCTTGTCACTTCTCATTCTAGAGGAATACCCTCGTACTCCGAGTATCCAAGGGCGAGGTTCATGTTTTCTACATTGAAGAATCGTCAGTATAAGCACACTCTTCCTCTTTCTCATAGTAAAGGAAAGGAGAGAAAAAGGTGGTAGGGGTAAACTCACGCAAACACTGGGTCGCAGCACCCTTCAGCAAATTGTCAATAGTAGCGCAAACAACAACGCGCTTTCCGCTCGAGTGCACAGCAAAACCACCAATCTCGACACCGTGACGACCAGCGATGTCCTTAACCAGGGGTGCCTCGCCAACGATCTTGACGAGCTTCTCACCGGCGTAGCGGTCTTGGTAGAGGTTGCGGATGTCGCGGGAGGTCATTTCTTCTTTGAGGGGAATGCTGATTGTGTGCTAGATGAAAGGTAGAGTCAGCTTGACTGGGGTCTGGATTTGAGGATGAGGGTAAAGGCAAGGGAAGAAACATACGTGGATACCCTGGAACCAGACGGCGACGTGCGGGATAAAGGCAATGCTGGTGCCGAGCTGAGTGCTGATTTCCCGCTCGTGGATGTGGTCCGTCAGGCTGTACGGGATTAGGTTGTTGGTGAGGTTGTTGACGTCGTTCTTCGGGCTGGGCTTCGTGCCGGCGCCCGAGTAGCCGGAGACACCAAAGGTAGTCGGCTGGCCCGCGAGGTACGGGACGAGAGGCGCAATACCCAGCTGAGCGGCGGTGGCGTAGCAGCCCGGGTTGGAGATGCGGGTAGCCTTGGCGATGTCGGAGCGACTGACCAGCTCAGGAAGACCGTAGGTCCAGGTCGGGTCGAAGCGATAGTCCGCGCTGAGGTCGACGATCACGTTGCCCTTGTCGGCGCCCTGGTTGACGGCGTCGACGAAGGGCTTGCAGATCCCGTTCGGCAGGGCCATCACCCAGCAGTCGATGTCACCATTGGCGGACATCCTGCGGACATCGTCCGGGCTCAGATTCTCGTAGATAATCTCCCGCTTGTCGTAGCCCTGGAGCTTCTTTCCGGCCAGCTCGCGGGACGACACATGGCGCAGGTCCATGTTGGGGTGCGCGTTGAGCAGGTTGATCAGGGCCTGCCCGGTGTAGCCGCGCGCACCGATCAGAGCAACCTTGGCGGGTTGGGTGTTCGACGCGTTCTTCTCGCCCAGAGGGGGGTTGGGGTTGGTGGTGGCATAGGTGCGGCGAGCATTCACAGCAACGGCAGGACGCTTCAAGCGAGTAGCCCGGAGAACATTGCTAGTGGTGGAAAAGGCGCGCCTCTGCTCGGCCGAGGCACCGCTGGCGCCAAAGCCCGTCGAGACATTGTTTAGAGCAGCCTGGGCCGCGCGGTGGAGGCGCGACTCGAGGTTGATATCACCGAACATCTGGCGGCCATGCTTGTTGAATTCCTGGACAAGCTGCTTGACCTCCTCGCCGCTCTCGACACCATACCAGAACAGAACCTCGCCATCACGGCTGAGGCTGCCGTCGGCCTTGTCAAAGAACCAGGTCAGGTTCTCGTCGTCCTCCTTGACGGTCCACGCCAACTTGGGGAAGTCCTTCTTGATACTGGCGAAGACATTGTCGGCCACGTTCGTCAGCCAGCCGGACTTGGTGATGGCGAAGGTCGCCAGATGGGCCATCAAAGCACCCTGCTGAGGGGGAGCACAACGGCGAGAGCCTCCATCGGCTCATCGGAGTAGATCTTGAAGTCGTGCTGCTGCAGACCATCGACGTAGCGGTCAACCACAGCGCGGGCATCCAGACCCTCGCGGTCACGAACCAGCACATCCTTCAGGGTCTGCAGGTCCTCAAACTCGGAGAGCGAACTCTTGACGTGGATCTTGTTACCCCGACGAATCAGAGTACCAGCGCCAGAGTCGGTGAACAGTTCCTTCTGGAGATCGGCAGGGTGAATGATGGCAACGCTGGACGAGCGAGGCAGGTCGGCCAGCAGGTCCTTCATCTCCTTGATCTTCAAGCGGGTGCCGTGACGCACCCACCACTGGCTCATGAGGTGGTCGTACTCCTCGTCGAGATTGATGGCAGAGATCTTCTCACCGGTATCACCGTTGAACAGACCACCCTTCTCGGCCAGGTACACGATCTTCAGCGGCTGCAGAGCGCGTGCGAGCTCACCGGCAGCCACGTCCGCGTTGACATTGAGCACCTGCCCATCAGGGGTCTCCGCCATGGAAGTGAGAATAGGCAAGCAACCCGCGGCAATAGCAGATTCAATGGGAGACTTATCAACGCCATTGATCTTACCGACCAGGTTATACTTGGGCTTGTCGAGGTAGTCGGCAGAGAAGACGCCTGCAGTGATGGGACGAGCACGCACACCCATCCGCTCCAGCTCCTCTACAAGCTTCATATTCTCCTCGAGAAACAGCTTCCGCGCAAGCGCCAATGTCTTACCATCAGTGACCCGGATCCCATCCTCGAATTGGGGCTCCACGCCCGCAGCCTCCAACATGCGGTTCAGCTGGGGCCCAGCACCGTGAACGACGATGGGGTAGAGGCCGACATGGTTGAGGAAGGCCAGAGCAGACGACAGAGTCTCGAGATGCTCGGTAATAATGGCACCACCGACCTTGATCACGGCGAATTGCTGGGAGGAGACGGAGGTGAAGTGAGACAGGTACTGCTGGACCTCACGCTTGGAGCCGATGTTGCTGAGCAGCTGAACGACAGTGCTGCGGGTGGAGGTGAGGTGAGGGTCGGTGGCACGCGAGTAACCTCGGCGCTGCTGGGGAGAGACAGCGGCGGTGGTCTTCAGCGCATGGCGAGCGGGCAAACGGACGGTGTGCGGTGCGGAGAGTGATCGGAGGGGCTTGGAGGAAGCTCTCCGCACGGCGGTGCGAAGGGAGAGCATGGTGGCAGCAGCCAGCATGCGGCAGCTGACAGAGACAAGGGGAGAGGTGAGGGAATTATTATTGTGGTTGTGTTGGTGGAAAGGAACAAGAAGTTAGTTGGGGGGACGAAAAGGTTAGTCACCCAAGAGATTTTCGATATCGGCCGGGCGTCGGAGTGATAACGACTGGCTCGGGAGGCGGTGAACCTCGTCTTGGGTATAGAGTGGTGAGTATGGGGGAAATAACGAGATATATATCTTGCTGAGAAAAGACTATGAGGACTTATTTATACGAATTATGGACGGCCAACTGTGGAATTTGCATAAGCTCACCTTTTCGCGCTGGACATTCGGCAGTCCAAGCGAGACCCTCCCAGCCCACTCCCCCCGATGCTCGGAGACCATTAGGCAGTTTATCTGATCCATTGCGCTCGTCTGACTCGTGGGTGTCTATCCACCTCCTCCACTCTGGCGCGGTCGCTGGCCTAATACGATTGATTATACCATGCTAATTAGGTCCCTAGCAAGATGTAGCCACCCACGGATTGGTTTGCCAAGACGACACAACGAGAGCCGGGTCACGCCATGAATGATGAAGCGATCCTAACGCTGTAATGTTCATTGCAGCTAGACAGAGAAAGAAAAACTTTAAAGTACTCAAACACGGCATCAGAGGAGTATCATTTACATTCTTGACATGGACCCGTATTGCCTATCCAGACAATCCGGATCGTCGTCGAGTCAAGAAAAACGGGTCATCACAACCACGCCCAGACCAAAACAGCAGAAGGTAGGTATTAGCGGCGAAAGAAAATACAGCGGGCTTTCTTCCCCTGATCGTCATAAACAGAAAGAAAAACAACCCTGCGAACAGATTCCCAAGTCAAGCACGTGCGTATCCCATGTCCCAAACGAAAGATGTTGCATGCGTAGCCTAATCCTAATGGTGGCGGCTACCAAAGACGGCTGGTCGAGATTTAGTATAAATCGCTCATGAGAGAATTTTTGCTTTGCTTACCTCCAACGACAATCACGATAATCAGGATAATCACGCAGGCAATCAGGCATACGCGCATCTTCATATCCTTCCACCACATCTGCTTGCGCACACGATTCGCGCCTCGGCGGAACCCCTGGGCCGAGACGGCCAGGTTGTCGGTCTTGTCTTGCAGAGAGTCGAGGCGCTCGCCACGCTGCGAGACCTTGTTGATGTTCTCGCGCATCACACCGACAGTGTCGTCGATTTGCTATTGAAAGAGATCAGTCAGAGGATGGAGTGTACGTGCCGTGTTGACTGGCATTACTACTTACTGCTTGCAATGCAGCCGTTCGCTGGTTGCCATTTTGCTGGGTGGAGTTGGCGGCGGTGGCTCCGTTTGAGCCGGAGGGGATATAAGGGTCGTAGGGGGGTTCGGAGGAAGACATGGTGATGGTGGGAGGGTTGGGAGGCGGCGTGGAGTGAGGTTGTGGTGAGTGGCTGGGCGTGAGGATTGGTTGCCCGACGACGGGGGTTGCACCGGAGTGGTTGCTGGTTGGGGCGCAAAAAGCCGACCGGCAGTGTTGGTAGAATAAGCGTCAAGAGTCACGGACTCGGGGGATGGCGAGCGGGTGGGAAGGAACAGATGGAGATGAAGGGGAGGGAAGGGAAGAGAAGGTGAGACAGTGTTCTGGAATGAAGCTGACAAGTTGCTGGGGAGTCACGTGAGAGGCGTTGTCAATTGGAAGTTTGGGTTTAGCGGTTTCAAGTGAAGGACGGGTGAATAAGGAGGGATGATGATATTGCCACTGCCAGAAGATCGGTTTTAATAAGTGGCCATTATCGTAAAATACTATGTGGCTGCCTATGCAGCCAGTCCTTGAGAAACTGCTGCTATTCATAGATCCGGAACAGGCAAAATGCGCCGCGCTTACTCTTTCCGAGTGTCTTCATGTGTTCCGGGTGATCTGCCGATCGCCAGCACAGTCACTATATACCGAGTACGATTGTAGCTGTACGATCCTATTGGTTAGAACTAGGCATTTGATGGCAAATTATGATTATTATGATTGTTCTATTGGCGTCTCGTGGTTTTGTAGTAGATCTCAATGCATTGGTGCCTAGTTCTATCAGTGTCAGCACCCGACCTAATTTCATTGTCACCTTCCATTTTATATGCATGCAGGGCCTTGGTTCCTGCATGAAGAATTCGATGCCATCATGGTATGCACTTGGTGAATGGATCATATTATTGAATATACACAGTCCATACTATGGGTGATCATAGTAGATAATCCCACCATTCCAGAGCAGCCATCTGGAGACTCACACATATCGTACACATCATGCCAATCATGAAAACACAATCTCCCACCCTATTCCTTGCCTAGCAACTCCTTCCGCATCTCTTCCCGCTGTATCCTCGCATCCTCACTCGCCTTAGCGCGCTGCGCATCCATCGCCGCCTGTTTGGACTCCTGCTGTTCCTGCGCCGCGAACCAAACTACAATCAATTAGCCCAGCCCCAAGGCTTCCCAATTTCATAACAATCGAGTGGAATGACGCACTGGATTTATCCGACTTCGACCACTCCTTCAACTTATTCACGTAGTCATCGAACTCCTGCGCGCGCTGGGACCCTTGCTCGGCGCTGCGCTTCTGAAGGTCCGGATTGTATCGCTTAACTAGTTCTTCGTCTGAGGGGCGGATGGATTGGACGAAGAGAGGGCCGCCGACGGAGACAACGATGCCGCTGGTGGATGGGTCTGGGTTAGAACTGACTGATTAGGAATGGATGTGGGAGCGGACGTACGCGCCGAGGATTTTGAGCCAGATGCCTGCGCGAGACATGGTGGGTGGTGTCTGGCTAGGGTGGAGTGATAGAATAGGTTATGACTAGGAGGTGCAAAAGAGAGAGATCATCCGCATCATGATAGGGTGGCGTAGTGTGTGGCTGTGCGGTGTGTAGTGTGGCGCAGTCGACCTTACTCGATTGGGGAAGACTGTCTCACCCTGTTCACTGGACAGAAGTATACGCCGACGTCAGCGCATCTTTGGCCTTTACTCTTCCTTTTGTTCTTTAGGTCAGGTTCACTTGGTTCGAAGTCGAATATTATGGCATTGCCCTGCTCCCAGCCGAGTTAGTCAGCGGGATCCGCACGCGACTTGCTCCTTTGATCCTCCATTTCCACCGGTTCGCCAGTGGGTGAGGGAAGCAGACTGGACGGGGACATTTTCCCCTAAAGACGCTGGGTTTATCACGTAATAACAATCCCTAGCGACACCGCACGGAGCCCTTGTTGAGCTACCTCCTCCTAAATGTATTGTAAAAGCAATCTGTTCAACCCCCTGATCGTCAGGTACCGGCAGAGCCGCGAGCCTTGTGATGGAAACTGCCGCCAAACCGGACTATATAGAGAGTACTAGAAGGGTCCAGGAGTCCTTCTCCGGGTCAACCACTGAACCAACCGCGGTCTGGAACTTTGCTGGTCCGGCGTGGGTGATTGCAGTGGGTCACGAAATAAATCCCTGGAATCCATGACCGACCGCCCGTCTTCCAGTGATCATTACTGTATTCTGCCCAACTAGTACTTACTTCCACTTCCTCCCACTTTCGCTTCAACATTGTATTCCGAAATTACTGAGTGATCGCTCTGTCGCGAGGGGGTACGTTCTGCTCTTGTCTTGTTCTTCCGTTTTCTCTTCCGCGGCACGGCACTGGCCCCCTGCGCCTGCTGCTCCTGACCTGGTCCCCCCGGTCGCGGCGTGACCACGAAGCTTCTAGCGCCAGGCTCACAGGTGGCATGACCAGACCTCAGTGGGACCATTGCCTGGCTGCTGCTGTGCGCGGTTGTCGAATTTGCACTAGTTATCTGGAACTAACTCTCTCCTTCGTTCAGTGACTGGACAACCCCTCCCTGCATACCGCCAACATAGCGAGGACGGCCAGCGCGATCCGTTAAACCGCCTCGGCAAGACTCTCCGCAACTCCCTCTGTGTGCGCCATGGCATATCAGCAACGTGCGGCGCGGCCGGCGCCGACCAGACAGTACGGAGGCCAGGCTGCCGATCCTGCCGGCTACGGACAAGATCCTTATTCCGGCAGCGGTGGCTACGGCGGCCAGGACTATGGATATGGCGATGCGGGCTACGATGATGGGTCATACAATTATCCGTCCTCCACCTCCAGCCTGCAGTCTCAGCCGCGGTCGACGCGTGGGGGATATGGACCGCCGCCGCCTGGTGCCCCAGCTCCGGGGTATGGCCGGCCACCTCCTCGTGGCTATCCCGGGGATAGACCGCCAGCACAGAAACGCTCGAGAGCGCCGCGTAAGTGACCCAGACTCAGAACCCCATGATGGGACGACACTAACAGACCTAGCGGGTCCGCGTCCTCCGCCAGGCGAGAACTTCGACAACCCCTTCCCGTCCTTCCCTCCAACCCCACAAGATCGACGCGGTCTGCCGCCCCGTGGCCCTTCGCTGGAGAAAGGCATGGCGCAGATGGATATCAACGGCAGAGGGCCCCCGGGTCGGCCACCTCCCGGCTCGAGACGACCAGATATGCGGGCGCCTCCTCCGCGCGGGCCGCCGCCGAGTGCCAGCCGTGGCCCTCCTTATGGACCTCCCGGAAGGTCAGGCAGGTCAGGGCCTGAACGATCCTTTACAGACCCGAACGGGATGCCCCCGCCAGGCCGAAGCGCAACGATGCCGAACCGAGGACCGCCGATGGGCCCGGGGGGCATGTACCCTGGCCAGGCGAGCTACATGGAACCCGATTACCCATCAAGCCCCATGGGTGAGGTCCAGCCACCACGACCGAGCACAGCTAGTGGTACACGACCGGGACGAATGGATATGGGGCTGATGGCCCCTCCTCCTGATCCCACCCATCGAGTGTCCTATGCACCCAAGGAGTTCTTAGAGTCCTACTTTGAAGGAGGGACGCCAGGCGAAGAATCAGACATGCCGAATTTTGATGCCATCCCGGCAGGACAGCAGAACGGCCCGATTGATGAGATGGGACTGGAGGCACCCAGGAGCAAGGCACAAATCCCGGCCTCCGCTTCGGGGGGTCAGTACTCCGCGTACGATCCGAATTCCGCTGCGTCTCAGCCTCCACGTTCCAAGTCGCAACCCAACCTCCGCCAAAACGATGCCCCGAATCAGTTCGAAAACGCCGGTTTTCAATTCGATATCCCTAGTGAAGCTCCACCCGTTCCTCCCCAACAGGAGAATGTGGGATATCAGTCTCCTGGTGGATATCCCAACGGCCCTCCTCCACTTCGAACAAACCAACCGGCAGCGATGCCGGAGCCTCAGAACCCAGATGCCTTGCCCTCGCATCCAACCCCATTCAGACCCGGCCTCGACCAAAAGCCAGCACCTGTGCGGCAGTACACCAATGCTCCCACTCCTGCGCCCGCGGCTCCACAACCCGTGCCTCCAGATGGAACGCCCGCAGCGTCTACACCTGTTACTCACGAGGAGCTGCAGCGGTTGCAGCAGCAAGCGAGAGGCAATCCATCAGATCTCAAGACACAGCTTCTCCTAGCCAAGAAACTCGTGGAGGCGGCCACTGTCCTGGTTGATGACAACAGCCGACTGGACCCTAAAATGAAAGCCAGGGCCAAGGAGAAGTACATCCTGGATGCTCACAAAATCATCAAGAAACTCGCCTCGGGTGGATACTCCGACGCACAGTTCTATCTTGCAGATTGCTACGGTGAAGGCCTGTTGGGTCTCGAGCCAGACCCGAAAGAAGCATTCCAGCTGTACCAATCTGCCGCCAAAGCAGGCCACGCGCAATCTGCCTATCGTGTCGCGGTCTGCTGTGAGATTGGAGCCGAGGAAGGCGGCGGAACTAAACGCGACCCCTTCAAGGCCGTGCAGTGGTACAAGCGCGCCGCCACACTAGGCGACACGCCCGCCATGTACAAGATGGGGATGATCCACCTGAAGGGCCTACTGGGACAAGCGCGCAGTCCCCGCGAGGGAATCTCATGGCTGAAACGCGCGGCCGAGCGCGCAGATCCCGAAAACCCACACGCGCTGCACGAACTGGCCCTCATGTACCAAAGCGCCGGCAGCAACGACATCGTCATCCGCGACGAAGAGTACGCCAGCCAGTTGTTCCACCAAGCCGCCGAACTGGGGTACAAGTTCTCGCAGTTCCGTCTGGGCACCGCGTACGAGTACGGACTGATGAACTGCCCCGTCGATAACCGCATGAGTATCATTTGGTATACCCGTGCCGCGGCGCAGGGCGAACACCAGAGCGAACTCGCGCTGAGTGGATGGTATCTTACTGGTTCTGAGGGGATCCTGCAGCAGAATGACACGGAAGCGTATCTCTGGGCACGCAAAGCTGCCACGGCGGGTTTGGCGAAGGCCGAGTATGCCATGGGTTATTTCTCGGAGGTGGGTATCGGCGTGCAGGCTAATCTGGATGATGCGAAGAGGTGGTACTGGCGTGCAGCAGGTGAGTCTTGCCTAACATTATCACATCTATTATGCTACTCAGATACTAATCCTGTGATCCCTATTCAGCGCAAGGATTTCCCAAAGCCCGCGAGCGCCTCGAAGATCTTAAGCGGGGTGGCCGGATGCAAAAAACTCGCCTCTCGCGCTCGGCTGTCAATAAGCAGAGTGATGGTGATTGTGTCCTGATGTAACTTTTGACATGACTTGTTTTTTTCTTCGCTGCTGCTTCCAGTTGCACGCATGTACCTTTTGGTTCCCTTTCTTTTCCTCTCTTTCTTTCCGGTTTCATAATGACCACTGGCGCTGGAGGGTTGGTTGATTGGTTGGTTCCTTGGCTGTTGCATGTTTTGTACGATCTATCTATCCCCTATTTCGGACAAAGCACCGGTATAGACAGTGTTGGCTGTCTACATACTCTATTGTAATGTTTCGCTCGGATCCGTGATGGTTGGTTCGGTGTGAATGGACTGGAACTTGTCTCTATGCTTCTTTTTTCCTGTCACTTTGTCATTTTGTCATTGGGATATGTCATGCATGATGTGGACTTGGTCCTAGGAGACCAATGAATGAGGCGAGGCGAGTCGAGGCAAATACCCAGGAGGCTACTGCACAGCTGGTTTGGCTGCATTGCATACAATACAATTAATCGAATGCTATTTCCTCACTCACTTCCTTACTTCCCTTTCCATTCCTTTCCTTTACAATTTCTACAGAATTTAGGTATTATTCGCCTCTCCTGCTGTGGTACTGTATACACAGTACATAATGTTGAGTTGAGTTGGTGGTTAGCCAAGTTTAAAGCGGCCCCTTTCCGCGCTGACATATCCGGCCCTGTCGGAAAGAACCATCGGCTTCTACCATCCAGCGCTTCCGACTCGGCATTACGGATTTGGAACTGGAATTGTCAGCCAGGCATTTAGTTTCTCGTTGCTTTTTTCTCGCTGACGAGTCTCTGAATAATCGATCGGTTGAAATAAGGCGCACGCCTTTCTCAACCTGTCTCGCCTGGCTTTGAACCATACATATACCAGCACATCCTGTCCCGTGGACTTGTCACTGTGATATATGTCTTCGGAAGCGAGCCGCCAACAACATCGCGACAACCATCGTTCTTCACCACCTACATCAACACCCACACCAACAAGGACTAAGACCGGAAGACTGGCTCTGCTAGCTATTCTCACTGCGATCCTCGCTGTACTCATCGCCCTGTTCTACAGCGACTCCGACAATCTGTTCTGCCTCCGATCACTTTTTGGACCTTCCTCGTTCATTGCGAGGTCGGTAGGAGGCGGTATTTCTAAACCCAGTTCTACGTCTGCATTTGCGTCCGCGGGGACAGCCGCAGCAGCAACAATAGCCACTACAGCAGGAGCAGCAGCTAGCACACCAAAAGGCCCCGTACATTCACAGCAAAGCGAGGGTTCAAGCTCCAAGATGAATAATAAGAAGACGCCGGTTTACTTCCTCAGTCATGGCGGGGTGAGTGGACGCTTCTTTCATTACCTTCAATCATTTCGACTCCCTACTACATATATCCTTCCTACCCAACCCTGAATCTGAATGTACCATTCTAACCATACCAGCCAAGCATAATGTACGACACCGAACACCCCGCCTACTTCAAACTCGCCGAGATCGGCCGCGAGATCACGCACAAGGTTAAACCGCGCGCCGTGGTGGTTTTCTCGGCGCATTGGCAGGGCGGACGGGATACGATCTATGTGAACACGGCCGAGATGACGGATTTGATCTATGAGTGAGATTTCTCTTGTTGAAAGAAGAGTAGAGTTGGTTGCTGACTTACTTTTTCAACTGTAGCTTCTATGGCTTCCCGGACCACTACTATAAAGAAAAATATCCCAATGTCGGTAGCAAGGAAGTGTCGCAGAAGGTGCTGGATTCGTTGGCACAGGCGGGCATTAAGGCAAAGGGGGTGAAGAGGGGTCTTGATCATGGTGTTTGGGCTAGTTTCAAGTGTGGTACGTCTTCCTTTACTCTTCAGAACTAGTTTGTCTGTTCTCGGCGGTCACTGATGATGGCTGCAGCATTCGAACCAGACTCCAACCCCCTCACTGTCCCAGTCGTCCAAGTCTCCCTGTTTGACACCGAAGACCCATCCCAGCACTACCGACTCGGCCAAGCAATCAGCCACCTCCGCGACGAAAACATCCTAGTCATCGTGTCGGGGATGGCAGTGCACAATCTGCGCGATATGCGATTTACATTCGGCAACCCGCGCCCGCTGCCGTACGCGGTCAGTTTCGACGATGCGCTCAACGAAGCTGTCACTACGTCCCCCGCGGAGAGGGAGAAAGCTATGGCGGCGTTGCTGAAGCGTCCGGATGCGAGACAGGCGCATCCGTCTTTTGAGCATCTCCTTCCTATTCATGTTGGGGCTGGTGCTGCGGGCATGGATTTGGGGAAGAGGCTTTGGACGTTCCCGGAGGGGAGTATGAGTTGGGCGCAGTTTCGGTTTGGGGAGGTGGGGGGTGCTAGTGGTGCTGATAGTTCGTTGTGATTGAGATATGCAGGGTTGTTGGTTTGTCTGGAGATAGATAGGTGCCAGAAATAGAAGGGACAATGTGTGTGTGTATAAGAATCAAGTTTGATTTCATCTATAGGTACAGATGGAGATGTGTAGGGTAGGTATGGCACCAGGCTCGTGGAATTGGGTGTAGGACGGAACATCCTTGCATTATGAGGACGCTTTCACCAGATTCGTGATCCGTTCTTCGATCTGCTGGGCCGTCAGGCCTGGTAGGCAAATAGTTAGCAATTAAGTTGCCCAGTTGATTCGACTGTAGCTCACCCGACAATGCCTCCTGCTTCTCCTTTCCGAACTCTGCATTTCCATCGATTGTTAGCCCGTGTTCCTTCTTCAATCGGTTCTGACAGTCCGTCGTCAATGGGTCCTTATCCATACCGTATCGTGCAAAGACCCGCGGCTCAGTATCCAACGCCTCACGCATCATAATGGGAGTGTGCGGGTTGTGCTTCTTCATGGTGGGATAGGCGCGGTTGAGGAAGCTCCTGGACCATTGAACAGACACCGTTAGTGGATTGCCGACTGTGTGCAGTGTCCTAGACTTACCGTGTGGCTGCGCTCTGCTCGGAGGTGTGGCAGAAGAGGAACCGGAGCTCCTTGAGGCCCTTGGTGAAGACGTACTTGCCGGACATGGCGGGCAATGAGGGTGGATGTGGCTGTCGAACGAGATGTTGGTCCGGGAGAGAAGGAAGTCGGGAGAGTGCGCTAGGCCCGATTAGGGGATGGTTATGTCAGCAGGGCAAATGCCTCGATCGCAGGAGAGAAAGGTAAGAAAAACAGAAGAGTCTGACGGAGAGTAGAACTGGTTCCTATATCCTCTTCCCTATTGATTCAGAATTCTAGTTGTGTCTGTGGAGTGGCAGCCTCTCCTTATCCGACGGAAAACTCCCTTGGCTGCCTTAGTAACCAACCCGATATCGCCGACTCACCTCTTCCTTTCTCCCCAAACCCAAACGCCAGCGCTGCGGTCGCACCACATCCCCCTTATACCGTCACCATGTCGTCTCGAGTGGGATTCCGCTTCCTCAACAACGCTCGCTTTACCTTTCGCAATGCCTCCGGGCCATTCCGCCGGCCGGGCGGCACGGGCTTCCGCTTCCAGAGCTCTGACGCCGCGGCAGAGCAGCAGAGCACTTTCCAGCGCATGTGGAATAGCCCTGTGGGTGTGAAGACGGTGCATTTCTGGTATGCACTTTCTAGAACGTGGCAATACAATTCATACTAATGGGAATGCTATCTGAATAGGGCCCCTGTTATGAAGGTATGACTCGTCTCGACTCGATTTGATTTGATTTTATCCTCGATCCACTCCCTGTTCCGCGCGATATCCCCCAGATATATACCGGACTACTATGCCATGTGTTCAACGTGCTTGGAAAAAAGCCATTGCTGATGCATTGCTCTCTACAGTGGGCGCTGGTCATCGCCGGTATCTCCGACTTCAGCCGTCCCGCCGAGAAGCTCTCCCTGACCCAGAACGCCGCTCTCATGGCCACGGGAGCCATCTGGACCCGGTGGTGCCTTATCATCAAGCCCCGTAACGTCCTGTGCGCTCTCCCCCCTTGGTACTGTTCCAGATCAATGCTGACCAAACATCGCTCTAGGTTGGCCGCTGTCAACTTCTTCCTCGGATGCGTGGGTGTCGTGCAAGTGGGCCGCATCTATATGTGGGAGCGTAGCCAGAAGGGCTCTGATGCCGGTGCTATCAAGGAGATCGCGCACGAAGCTGAGGCTTCGGCTAAGCAGGTTGTTGAGAAGACGGAAGCTGCTGTGAAGAAGTCATAAACGGGGCGAAAGGTTGACTATGGGTGGAAGAGATGGCAAATGCTGAGATTTTGGTATCTATAGATAGAAGCCTTGAGCTGTGCGGTCAATGTAAAAAAAGGGCTGCGTTTTGAGCTAGTTCCTTTTGTGATCGACCTCGGTCTTTTTGTTCAATGGACGCCCGCTGTACATATCAAGCTTGTCCAGTGATCTATTTACTAGATCCAAAGAACGGAGAAGGAAGCACCAATAATCTACTTGCAACAGTATACTCACGGTCGTCTCCCGCTCCTAGCTAGCTGATGAATCGGCCGAAGTCCTTTACCCGGATTTTTCCTCCCAATCGGGGGATTCGCCAACCAAATCTTCCTCCTATCGGACACGCTCTGGCGCGCCCACTCCTCTGCACGCTGTCTACAACACGCGCAAAACAATCCCAATCCCACGTTATCCCTCGGCCTCCTCCACAGTTGTTCCGCCGGCACGCTCTCCCCGGATTAATGTGCAGGGGTAACGCGATTTACCCCACCGATGGAGAGCATGCGCCGCAATCTAGCGCGGCATGAACAATGCGACAATGTTTAATTGTAGCTAACTATATAATGGGCCGTCCGGGCCAAGTTTTGTAGTGTTTGGTTTGGGTAGTGTGCAGACATACACATTCGGAAAAGTAACCATTGACTCTTGCTATCGGTCACCATGAAATTCGCCAACGCAGTTGCGCAGGCTGCGGTCCTTGCTCTGGGGCTTGGTCTTGCAGTGGAGGGTAGTCCTCACTCGAATCCACACTCTAAGCCTGAACCTAAGTCGCGAGTTGATCCTTACTCGCGAACCGATGCGTGCAAGCCGCATCACCCCTTCCGGCCTCTGCCTCCCAGCCACCCCAGAAAGAGGACTTGCCATGTACCCTGCCACGGCGATGGGCGCGACGATGCTGAAAATGTCCTGGCTGCATTGAAGGAGTGCAACAATGGCGGCAAAGTCGTATTCGATGCCGATAAGGAGTATACCATTGGCACAGCTCTCGACATGACCTTCCTGAAGCATATCGATCTGGGTACGTACTTGAAAAGAATCAATTGACGATCTTGCTGACTTATTTCAAAAGAAATCCTGGGTACGGTGACGTTCACTAACGACACAGACTATTGGCAAGCACACTCCTTCAAACACGTCTACCAGAATGCCACGACATTCTTCAATTTGGGAGGCGAAGATGTCAATATCTATGGCGACGGTGAGCTAAATGGCAACGGCCAGGTATGGTATGATCTCTACGCTGAGAACAACCTGATCCTGCGCCCGATTCTCTTCGGTGTTATTGGATTACATGGTGGTACCATTGGGCCGCTCAAGCTCCGGTACTCGCCGCAGTGGTATCACTTTGTTGCCAATTCGTCGGATGTCTTGTTCCAGGGTATCGATATTAGTGGCTTTAGCACGAGCAAGAATGTAGCTAAGAATACTGATGGATGGTGAGTACGACATTCGGGTCCTGAGGTTGATACTGATCTCTGATATAGGGATATCTATCGCTCGACCAATGTTGTCATTCAGGATTCTGTTATCAACAACGGCGACGGCAAGTAGTCGGTATTACCTTCATATTGTCCGGTTGCTGATACTGTGGCAGATTGCGTCTCCTTCAAGCCCAATACCACCGAAGTCCTGGTCCAAAACCTCCACTGCAATGGCTCCCATGGCATCTCCGTTGGTTCACTAGGCCAGTACAAGGGAGAGGTTGACATTGTGAAGAATGTACTTGTATACAACATCTCCATGTTCAACGCCTCGGTAGGTGCTATTCATATCTCCGAGCGATAAACCCCTAACCTAGCGTTCAGGACGGCGCACGTATCAAAGTATGGCCCGGTGTGTCTTCTGCAATGTCCGCAGACCTGCAGGGCGGCGGCGGTTTGGGAAGCGTGCAGAACATCACCTACGACACGATGACCATCGAAAACGTTGACTGGGCTATCGAAGTGACTCAGTGCTATGGACAGAGTAATATGACTCTGTGCAATGAGTATCCGGTATGTTTACACGGCCGTGTCATTATCAGTTAGCTAATCTGATTCGACAAATACAGAGCAATCTCACCATCTCCGATGTCCACTTCACAAACTTCAAGGGGGTGACGTCTGGCGCACGCAGCCCAGATGTTGGAACTATTGTCTGCTCCAGCCCTGATGTGAGTGCTGGCTTTATATAGAACTGATGATTGTATTCTAATTGTCTCCAGGTGTGCTCGGATATTTACGCCAGCGATATTCACGTCACTAGTCCAACAGGGACCGACGAGTTCGTCTGTACAAATGTAGGTTGATACCAAGACAAGAAGAGGATTGGAAGCTGACATTATTGTGAAACAAATAGGTTGATGATAGTTTGCTGGAGGTTAACTGTGTGGCTTCGAGCTGAAAAGGTAGGGCGCTTACGAAATGCCAGTCAAGGGAGGATGAATTCTTAGCATTGGCCTACAATATCAAGTGCACGTGTTCTTGATTTTCTTGTCAATAATGAAAAAACATGAATTCTCCGCTAAATATTCCTTGTCCCATACCATATTCCTTATAAGTATACTGCCTGCCATGAGCTACAGTCGATCCGCAATTCCATGGCGCTGAACCCAGCTTCGAGCTCGTTTGCCGAAGATATACCTGGATAATACAAAAGAGCACCAGTTAGCATTCTGGTTCTATTTCTGGGCGTGGCGAATACTCACATAGGTATTGTCAGAAGAGTGACAGCCATCGTGATACCCCCGATAGTAAAGAAACAATCTCGAACCCCTTGGTTCGCAATCCAGTCGTTGATATAAAACGATAACCCAAACGCAAAAAGATTCTTGATGAAGTTCATTGTCGCAAAGGCCTCGCCTGCTTTCTCGCGATGACAGTCCACAATGTACGTGACGACGCCGGTGGTGCCCAGCTGAACACCAAAATTGATCAACCCCAGACAGACAATCACTGGTATGGGCCACGGCTCCTGTACATAGGCTGACTGTCCCCATGCAAAGAATCCAGTTGCTGTGAAGAGGAGATAGGTGATCATAATGGGGAGGCGGAATTCAGGTTCTGTGAAGATGATGAGGAAAGGAGATTTTTGGGACCAAGAGAGGGATACCGTACCGAATATGCCACCGTTCATTTTGGACATCTGTTTTACTAGCCCGTCAATTAGAGGACCAGCAACCATAGTGCCAAGGACAGATGCTACGAAGGACGAGAGGTTCGTCGCTCCGACAGCGCCCACTGAGAAACTGTAGGGCGGCGCAGAGAAAATCTGAGATAGGGTGAGAGAGATTCCCACCAGCCATGAAATACAGGTTGTGAAGAGCAAAACTGCCCAGAGCACATTGGGCGAGGCAAGTAGATAGAATGGCCGAATAAGGGTATTCCAAAATGAGACTGTGTTGACGTAGCCACTATACGGAAGAAGCTCCTTGGTCCATGAGCTTGGCTGTTCTCCAGTGGTTTGTAGGTGCTCGGGATGTAATTTTGCCGTGTCTTCCACAACAACCTAGTCATTGTCAGTTGAAGTATATCAGAGCCATTGCTGTCTCTACCAACCTTCTCGTTACCCGTGTCAATGTTTAATGCCTCCCTAGCATAGGCCGACTCGGGCATCCAGAAGAAAATCATGATAAGTGCCAGCGCAAATGCACCGCCCATCGCGTACATTGCAATGTGGTAAGATCCGTATTGAATGATTGCCGCAGCTAGTAGTGAATCAGAGTCAGTGTCCCTTCTAATTGTAATTTTCCCCGACTCACCAATTGGAACTGCAAGGTTGATCCCTCCCAAGACCCCCAAGTTAAACACCGCGGTGCGAAATCCTCTTTCATGAACAAACCTAGACGACATGTCAGCTATAGAAGAAAAGAAAGCTCGCTATACTGACCATATGTCTGCAATCGAAGCCGGAACCAACGCTTCGAACGGTGCCATGCATAAGCCACAAAGCACCCTCGCTGCAACAAGAGACGGAAAGCTTTTTGCTGCTGCTGCCCAGAAACACGAAACCATGAGCCCCACCGTGGTGGACAAGTAGATGGGGCGTTTGCCATATTTCACAGCCAGCGAATTGAATATCAGACTGCCAACAGCAATCGCAGCAATTGTCCCACCTTGAACCCCAGAGACGAATGTGCTTAGTGACACGTTGAATTCTTTAGCTAGTGGAACAAACGCTCCTCCGAGAAGTGGACCGACAGCTAGCAAGAACCACCTAGTTTTAGATTCACAGAATAATGCGCATGGAAATATTTCTTACCTCCAACACATCCGCATCCCCAGCCAAAGGTTACGGTAAACAACTCCTTCTTTCTTCGCGGCCAATTGTATGGATCGTTCGGCGAGTCAGATGGCTGGGGAACAAGTACAAAATTTCCGGTTGGGTCATGTTTGAGGAGACTAGGGTCAACTCCTGAGTAGGTGTTGGTGTCTTGAAGATGGTTTAACGGGGCCGTGCCTGGGACGTGCTCCAGCTTGGTATCGTCTAGGATTCCAAGTGGCATTTCGATGGTTGTATTTGCGATGGGTTATGAAAAGATGTTCAAAAATATAGAGGAAAGATGGAGAAAAACTAGGTATCACATTCTAATCCTTGGGCGCAATCTGGCTAGATTGTTTCCTGTAGTACAAAGTCTGGCAGGAGCACCCCGAACAAGAGGGATAGCGTGAGAGGGTTTAACTTGGCGGATCGAGGGCCTCCTGCGTCTTTAAGGCACGGTTGAAGGCGGTCTCCTCTGTTAAGCTCTGTTTTGCACGCTTGGGGAATTATCCGGGGTTGGGATTCGTTAACAGAACATGGGGTAGGTCTATCAGTTCCTCTTAGGGTAAAGATTTGTCGGTGTGGTATACTACAGTACTAAGAATGGCCCATGTGGGGTCTTATTTCTATGAAGGATACATACTCTCGGATTGATGCCGATACTGCATAACAAAGGAGCAAGAGGGGAAATGCTTAAAATACTGAGATTATTATCGTTGACTAGGGTAACAAGCTCCACGGGGAGAAAACAGGCCGAGCATCCTTGACACTGAAGATCAGATGGCGTACCTCGGCAAGTAGATTGGAGAGAAAAGCCGAGCCATGCTATCTGATGAAGTCATGTAAGGGACTTATTTCCGCCTTGTAGATCAGGAGACAAGGATAAACCTTGCTAATTCCGCACGTCGGCTTGACCATGCGGGGGCGAAGAGTAAGTGTCGTTGTTCAGTAAATATGCCGACAAGACCCGGCCGAGACAGCGTAAAGTTAAAATAAAATAGTAAACCGAACAAACTAGAATGTGGCTTTAGTTCTCTTGGTAAAAGTCACGTAGTGGAAATGTTATGGGGTAATAGTATTGGCATCTATGGATCCACCACTCCGCAGAAACCGGAAATCCCCCAGCTCCACGAAACAACAATGTGGGGAAGCGAACGAGGTGGAGAGTCCATACATACCGGATATTACAGATACGACATATAGGCTTTGTGGCGCTTACTAGGATAATTTATTTCCGTGAAACGGAAAGAAACTGCCTCGGACTAAACTTTTGTTCTAGTCCATCCATCACCACTTCAAGATAAACAGTATGACGCCTGCGAGAAGTATCATCGTCACTGGTAAGAAGCGAACAGCTACATATTACTTTCAAATAATATTCAGAATTAACCCACATCTAGGGGGGGCATCTGGCATTGGGCTGGGCATCACCCGACACCTCATCGAAGAACCCAACACGCACATCACCATCCTCGACATCAATCCAACGACAGGTTCCCAGACGCTGAAAGACCTGCACGTGAAATTCCCATCCGCTAGTATTACATTTGAGGAATGCGATGTCTCTTCCTGGGACAGCCAAGCTGCCGCATTCGAGAAGATACATGCTCAGCAAGGCCGGATCGACATTGTCTTCGCGAATGCCGGAATAACAGAGAAGGGCAGTCTGTTACCATCAAAGAACCCGGATGGTGCGAGGAAAGGACCCGTCAAGCCAAATCTGGCGACGTTGAATGTTAACCTGGTAGGACTTATCTACTGTGAGTGTATCGCCCTCGGCGTAATATGGATCATCTAACACTGATCCATTGATATTGGGTAGCCGTCCAACTTGGCATTCACTATATTTCTAAAAACACCGCATCGGAGGGCAATTCTAAAGGACTCATTGTTTGCACCGCCTCTAATGCGGGTCTATATCCCTTCGCGATTGCACCGATGTACGCCGCCACCAAGCACGGGGTCATAGGTCTCGTACGGTCCCTGGCTCGCTCGTTGGAAATCGAGCAGATTCGGATTAATGCATTAGCACCTGCTGTTATTGGTACGTGAAGAGAACCCTGGGCTCATAGAGATCGTCAATTAACGTTCAAATAGAAACGAATATTGCACCTAGTGCAGAGCTGTTCAAGTCCATGGTTCTCACGCCAATGTCGACTGCGCAGAAGGCTGTGGCTCGATTCATAGAAGATCCCTCTCTGACGGGCAAAGTTGCAGAGTTGCATGGTGAACATGTCACACTCGCGGATCCTCCGCCATATGTAGATGAGGATACGGGGAAGAATATTGAGACGTTTTGGAACTTGGGGTATGCATAGGGACAATAGTCCAAGATAGTGTCTGGTCTGACATGTACTGGGTCTTAAGAATGTTCGTGTGTCAAGAGCAGGTGAACGTTGAGTAAGCTGCTGTACCTAGCAGTGTGATATGTTCATCTATGTTCGAGTAACATCAATAGCCAAATAACAAGAGCCCACCCAGGGATATAAACCATGAAAGATAAACACCAAACCAAGCCAGCCGAGGCTTCCCATTAATACAAATTCAACGCCAGTATATATCTTGACACAACCATTCCGTTCATGGTGTAACAAGGAGCCTTCTATTCCTTCTCATCGCGCAGTAGCACCTTCAACTTCTGCAGTTTATCTTCACAATTGACCTCCATGTTCATGACCACATCAACTGCATCTTTCTTGGTGATCAGCAGCTGTGAAACAAGCCAGAAATTGTATCCATTCTTATAGAACCCCATTGAAGCCCATTCTTCGCCTGAGAGTTGGTTGCGTAATGCCTCCCAGTGATTGTGCCACTGGGATAATGCTGTCCGAATGGCTTTGAGGACCGAATCGTCTGGTATGGAGCTGATCTGATTTGTACCCAAGGCTCCATATTTTCCATTTTGTTCGGGTTTGCGGCGACGAATACGTGGCCCTAACAAGGTCATGTGGGTATTGATGAATGCGTATAGAACTATACCGGTGGTTAGTGGTTATAAATATAAATTTGGAGGATTAGCACATACTGTGAATCAAGAACCACATGTCCAGCACAGTGAGGTCCATCCGGCTGATTCCAGGTGAATGTGGTGGAGAGTCGCGTCGGGTTTCGTCTTCAAACAGGTTTTGAAAAGCCTCAGAAATTGTAAGGTCGCGTGTATACCGGAAATTAGGCTCTCTGAATGGGTGTTCAGAACGAAATAGCGAGTCGTAACATGGTAGGTCGCATTCCATCTCCGTATGAGTGAAGCGACAGGGATAATTCTGGTAGAAGAAGAAGGCGCAATCCAGTGAAATCACAATATTGATACAGCTGGAGGCGGTTAGCTTGGAACTGCCTTCAATGTTGCTACCTATACATACCGAATGCGACACTCTGTCTGGATCCACAGGCTTTCCAAGACTCGATCGCGGGGAGTATGGCGACACTGCAAAAGCTGTAGACGCCGAGTAACCTGACACCGAATGTGTTAATTGATAGCATACCCAGAGAATGCAAAAGACACACCTTAACAACTTCACTGAACCGGTTCTCCATCGCCCGACTGCGGGAAACCTTACTGCCCGCCCAGTACTGGACTATGGTAATAAGAAATCCAGCTTGGAAATTCTGGAACTTGACCCAGTCGTGCGACTCATTTTCGAAACATCGGTTGCCAGCGAAAACAGTTACAATGTCGTTTTCCGAAGAGTAAACATCACAGGAGAAAATAAAGAGTTCTGCAAAGTCCAGCACCCTTTTGGCAACATAGGCCTCTCTCTGGTCGGTAGCGTACATGGCTCCCATAAAAACGACCGAAGCCAGCAGTGGCAAGGTGGCCGTCTCCGGGTCAAATGATGGACCATGTATCATCTTGCAACTCGGATGCCAGTATTTAAAATACAGTGCCACGAATTTCCGAATGCGAGCAGTGGTGAGCAAGAAGTTGAGGCTTGTGGAAATTTCTTCTTGGGCTTTGGTATCCAGCGGGAGCGTCCATGCTCGTGCTAGTATCGACTGGATAAGCGCCGTTGCAAAGGGTCGTTCCGGCTCGAACATGGCATTTTCTGCGGATAGTGCCAGGCTAGGATCTTGTCCCATAGCCTGGTAGACCACTCCGGAATACGGGTCTCCTTGCATTTTATGAGCATCTCCAAAGGGCCCATTGAAAAAGTCCAGAAATGTATCCTGGTAGAAATGAAGTGTCGTAGGGTCCGAATCCAGCATAGCTGGGGTATAGTCTGATCGGCCGCTCTCCATGTTATACGGGAACATGCTGTTCTCACTCTCCTCTAATTCATTTTGGTTGCTGTCGAATAATGCACCCCGTGGCCGGTCACTCCGAGGGGGCAGTCGGAAGCCTTCGGTGAAACTGTCGTAGCCGGCATTGAGTAGGAATTTAATCGATCCACGGTCTGATGGCTGTCCCGGTAACTCGGATTTCACGGAGGGTTCGCCTAGATGAAGGTCAGTACGGCATCCACCGAAGCCAACATCATAACCAGCTCCATACTATAGTCCAGCTCTGGCTGTTTCGACGGCTCCGGCTGCTCGTTGTTGCACTCGAGGTTTCTCTTTTGACACGATCCGCAAGGGCTCTGGCCGTCGCAACGTAGTTTCATAGACATACACTTTAGCGAACACATATAGTTAGTATCCTTTTTTTTTGTCTTGTGTCTATAAGAAGAAGCTCACCGATTGGCACGCATGACGCCGTCTACCCCTTTGGCCCGTTTCGGGAATCTTCCGATCTCCGCGCTTGGCGCAATCGGTGTAGTGGTCGCGGAGATTATCGCTATAGGCAAGGATGTTATTAGAAACGAGGACAGTCCAGGTTACTGGACCACTTACCAGCGCGCAAAGGCTTCATTGCAGAAGACACACGAGTAGGGCTTCTGGCCCGAGTCTGGACCGGGGTTAGCTTTAGCAGCGACCAGGAGAACAAGGCGGGGCACTGACGGCGCAGATGGTGTCGTTTGAGGTGGTCGATGCGCGTGAATCCTCGTTGGCAAACAGTACAACGAAAGTGCTTCTCGGCGGGCTTCATGTTCTGGCGCGCCCATCGGGGAGCATGCGATCCGGGGAAGCGATAAGTGAAGAAGCGGAAGAAGACCGGGGAGGGAGGGAAAAAGTGCTCGGTATGCGTATTTCACAGTTTGACGACTACCCGCCACCAACCGAGTAGTGTAATACGGTACGGTAGTGTATTCCGAATCGATGATATCACCAACAATCTTATTATAACAAAAATGAATGAGTTTATCATGTCTATCTAGACAGGGAGTGTAAAGTCCGACGCCGGCGGGGGAAGTCGATTTGATCGTCGTCCAGGTAGTCCACGTTGATGCGGTTGTACTTCTCGTTCTCCGTCCACCCATCGCCCAGCCAGCCTGTAGGGTTGTCGTCGACATACTCATACTCAAAGTCTTCCCAGCGCGGATTGGCAAATGCCTTCATAGCATGCAACGAGGAACCCGGCCAAAGTGCAACGATTCGTCCCTCCTCGGTGCCGCCTTTGTACCAGCTGCGGCACTTGCTGCTGAACACCGTGAGGGAGAAATACTGGTCACAATACTTGGTGAACCGCCTAACAGCGTCGCGGCGCACGGTCATCGAGCGGATGTTGTCGCGCTGCATTTTTTGCATGCATTCCGTGAAGTAGTCAATTGACTTTTCAATAAGAAGGAGGAGGTTGCCTTCGCCCAGACCGGAGTTAGGTCCAAGACAGATGAAGAAATTGGGGAACCCGTCAGTTGTCACAGACAAGTAGTTCTCTGGGGTGTCCTTCCACTTCTCCGCCAGTGACACTCCTCCAGATCCGATAATAGGAAATCGAGGCGTTGATGATGTGTCAAACCCAGTGGCGCAGACGAGCATATCAACAGGTCGGTGTTGTCCGTCGGCTGTGACGATGCCCGTCTCGTCAACCTTGACAATCTCTGATTTGATCAAATCCACCTTGGGATCAGTCAATGCCTCCAGATACCCCGGCCCGGGGGTCAGACGACGACAAGCAGGCGGGAACGAAGGGAGAAGCTCGTCAAAGAGCTCTGGTTTGTTGGCCAAGCGTGCCTTCATATTCTCAGCGAATACCTGTTGCCCTTCGACCTGCATTTCGGAGCCTGTCAAGGTGGCTCCGTGGATTGACTGTAGTTGCAACTCGACCTCTGCTTATCGTCAGACGTAATGCTTGGGCGTAAGAAGTAAATACCGTACCTTTACGGAATTTCTGGTACACTTGATGGTCTTTCTTGAAGCTCTCGAGCTCCTCGGGAGTAAATGAAACTATCAAAATCAGGTTAGAATATCCATCTTGTAGATTATTGACGATCCCTCACTATTATCTAGTTTCTTGCCACGCCGATCGATTTGGTCTCGCGCAAAGGATGGCGAAATCCATGTCCGACTGCGAACATAATGGTCGATATGCGTCACGTCGGGCAACACTGCAGGCACGATCTGAATTCCACTCGACCCGTTGCCGATAACAGCAACGCGCTGGCCCTGTTCAATTGTCAATTTGTGCTGAGTGCGCTTGCATCATTGGCTAAACATGCCTTGTAATCGTAGCTTTCGTCCCAGGTGGCGCTGTGCATGAGCTTGCCCTTAAAATCGTGAAGACCGGGTATCTGCGGCCACTTCCAATCGTTCAGCGCCCCGGTTGCCTGAATCAAAATGTCACATTTGTCCGAATTGATCGTCCCACTATCTACATCTTGAACCTATAGCTTGTTAGCAAATAGTTGCATTTTGGTTGGAAGGCGGTGCTCACCTTCAAGCACCATTTGGACAGCCCATCATCCCAGATCGCCTCGGAAACCTTCTGCTTAAGCTTCATATACTTCAAGCACCCGTACTTTAGGGCAACGCGTTTCCAGTACCTGTGGATTTCGGGTGCGCTCGCATAAAACTGTGACCATTCTTTGTTTGGCTCAAAGGTAGCCTGGTAAGTATGGGCCGGGATATCTGTATAATGTCAGAACGCTTCAAACCACGAACCACGCAGGAAATAAATCATACCACAAGCGCAGCCTGGATAGCGGTTCTCAAACCAAGTGCCTCCAACATCCGCATTCTTGTCATAAATGCACAGTTCCAGATTAGGAATTCTCTGCACAAAGCGAATACACGCCATGATTCCCGAGATACCTGCACCGATGATAACTACCCTAAGTGGGCGGCTTTCGTCGATCGATCGCTCCTTCACGATCCACCTATTGTCGAGATTGTCTGCCTTCTCAGCGACCGGCGTGGGTTCGCCATTGAAGGTACGAGAAGTGCGTTTTGTAACGGCTGGAGTCATTTTCAAATATCCGCCAGGATATGGGTTGAAGCAAACGAAATCCTCTAGAGTTTCGAGTGATAGTGAGGGGCATCGGTCGGATATTATTATTTAAGAGGGTATTTCCTGTGTTCCTTCGCGCCTATTATATATCATTGGACTAATTTCTCCTAATTTCTCCTATTTGCGTAAAGCTGGGGTTGCTAATCCACATCTACGATCGTTGGACCAACGAGAAAAGCTGAACCCCGTCCTCCCAAGTAATGAATACGTCTAACTTCCTCATGGGCCGGAAATACCCCTCAATACATAGCCGCCTTCCCCGGGATATCGGGTGATGCTTACGGGACAGCGGAATGACCGAGGTCGTCGCGGAACTAGAGGTATGAGGGGTGGTGGGTCCGGAAAACCCCCGGCAAATAGCCGCACCTGGAAAAAAGCAGACCCGCCACATCTTGGCACTACGGGTCTTTCTGACGCAGTAGTGCAGGGGCAGAATGCCTCGCTACTGTCTAGTCGATCTAGCTTATCCATGACAAGGCCATGAAGATCAGGGCTATGTATCTCCAATTGTGCCCTTATCTTGTCCCTGGCTGGCCGTTGAAAGGCAGCTTCGAGGTATCTCATGTTCAAAAGTAAGTGCTGGGTTATAAACCTGGGTAAGTAATCGCTTGGTTTTTAGCCATTGGTTGAATTGCAAATGCCTTACTGGGCTTGTGAAGATTTGGTAGTTGTGTAAACGTGTCACTGTACTGATTATCTACAATGTGGGTGGTTTCACTATCCCTCAACTGGATAGAATATATTAACGCGTCAGGTCTATATACATGCGTACGAGAGTGGGAGACTTCGGCAATTTTAGTCCAGATTACATATAGCAAATCGGTATGTGCTGATTCAGTTAGCGTAGATAATGTATATATTCAGTAGGGAGGCTCGAGGGAAAGTGGAATGTTAACTGGAGCTGCGAATCCGCACTCGCAAAACCCTTTGCAGCAATGAGAGCAGTTTCTCGGAGTCAGTAGAATTTTTATATGTAATAAGCATAAACTCGAAGCTGATCAATGATTTTGTCATGTAGGTGGTTCTTAATTAAATTTGCATGACTGTTGATTACCCAAATCTCACCAATCCGCAGCCCCACCACGGCCCATTCGGGGCCCATTTACGCCGGAATTCAAGCGCACCCCGCCAAAAGGGACAACTAACATAGCTATTACAACTGCCCACCCCCGATAGCTCTTTCGAGATCTATTATATTTCGGTCGCCTGTGCGCCATCAGCCATGCCTGTGTTCACCGAGTACTCGGCTGCGTCCCGAGAACTGCGCGTACTCCCCTCATTCGCGCCTCCGCTACCGCGTTTGACGCCGCGAATTGCCGCGGGCAATGAAGAAAAATTCGAGGTTGTAATTGTAGGCGCTGGTCCGGCTGGTCTGATGCTAGAGCTTCTTTTGGCACGATATGGCCTAGATGACGATTCGTTGTTATGCGTCGACGCGAAGCCGACGACACTGAAATCGGGACAGGCCGATGGTCTGCAGCCTCGCACCCTGGAGACACTGAAGTCTTTGGGTCTAGCAGATGAGATTCTCTGTGAAGGCTGTCAAATGTGGCAGGTACTGTTCTGCCTTGATTTCTGGGTTTCGCATATTCAACAACCGTTAACCGCTGATCTATCGTATAGGTCGCATTCTGGAACCCTTCGGATGACAAGGACAAAATTATTGAACGCACTTCAATTGTGCCTGATGTTGCTGTTCCGGCCCGCTACCCGCACGAAGTCACCATCCACCAAGGGCGAATCGAGCGAATCCTGGAAACAGATCTTTTGCGCTACTCAAAACGCGGCGTTCAGCGGAATGCGCACCTCCTTGACGTCAAGATTGATGAGGCCGGTGACGCCGAATTCCCAGTGGTGGCTGAAATTGAAACAAATGGACAAAAGCGTACCGTTCGCTCGAAGTACTTGGTGGGTGCCGACGGTGCTCACTCAGTTGTTCGTCGATGCATGGGACTGAACTTAGAGGGAGAATCGAGTGACCATATTTGGGGTGTTGTCGACTTGGTTGTTGACACAGACTTTCCCGATATCCGTCGCCGATGCGCCATTCACTCGCCTTCCGGCTCTGTGATGATCATCCCTCGTGAACGTATTGCTACCGGGGAATATCTCACGCGGCTTTACGTTCAAGTTCCCGGAGATGTCAAGCCAGACAGTGACCAACAGCCCATCGATGGCACGGGAGCGGCACGTGTGTCAGATGCAAGGGCTCGTCGTGGCCAAGTCACTGAGAAGACCATCTTTGAAAATGCTGCCGCTGCATTCAAACCATACTACATCCGCCCCAAGAAGGATGGTGCGGTGGATTGGTGGGCAGCTTATCAGATTGGCCAACGAGTAACGAATAATTTCTCGGTGAAGGATTCGGCTGGGATTAACCGAGTTTTCATTGCCGGCGACGGTATGTTGCCCATTGTGAAATTCGAACAAATGCATACTGACAAAGCACCTCTCCACAGCTTGCCATACCCATAGTCCCAAGGTATATGAAGAGTACTGCCAACAGGCCCGGTAATCGCTAACTGTGTGTCTAGGCAGGTCAAGGGATGAACGTTTCTATGATGGACTCTTACAATCTGGCTTGGAAACTGATCTATGCCATCAATGGTCTGACACCGCATAGTGAAGGGCAACCTGATGACATTCTCGACACATATCACATTGAAAGACACACCATAGCTCAAGAGCTGATTGAGTTCGACCGTGCATTTTCATCCATGTTCTCGGGCAAAATTGGTGCCCCCGAAGACGGTGCTGGTGGTCTAACCCATGAAGAATTTCTCAAGGTATTCAGCAGAGGCAATGGATTTACGAGCGGCTGTGGCATTGAGTACCCGGAAAATATGACTGTGAACCGCGGGCTGAAAGAGAATAACAATCCGATCCATGGCACCGATTATCTGTCTGGTGTTCTGCGACCAGGACGGAGACTGCTCAACGTGCGCGTCATTCGACATGCGGACGGCTACCGACGCGATCTTCAGGATGGTGAGTTATACAGGTTCTCTTACCAATGCAAGGCTAATCTCCGGTCTAGACTTTCCTTCTACCGGCCGTTTCCGCATTCTTTGCCTCGCGTCTTCTGACCTGCTCAACCCCCAGGGTATCTCTGCGCAGACATTGAAACAGCTATCACAGTTGATCGGTCGCTTTCCGCAATCGTTGGTTGAGCAGGTGGCCATTCACCCCCGTTTACCAAAAGACTTCATGTGGAACGACGTCCCATCAGAGCTGAAGTTGCGCTCTGAAATGAATTTTTACAACGGTTACGAGATGGACGATGTTTATAAAATCTATGGCGTGAACACGGAGAAAGGGGCCTTGGCAGTCATTCGGCCTGATGGATATGTTGGAGTAGTTGCTGAATTGGCTGATGTGGGACGAGTTGCAACCTTCCTGGAAAACTGTATTCGGACGATCTAAGGAGATTATATTCGATATATCTTTCAGAGCATGCACATAGACTTTCAACCAAATAGCACCATGAAATGAGGATTACCGTCCAAGCACCAGAACAAAAAAAGCTTGCAAATTCATCATCTAGAGATTTCCATAATCCCACCACGTGGAAAATCCTTCAAGGTTGGGAACAGTAGATTCCGAGTCTTGATATTCCAGGCTTTCCAGGTCATCAAACTGAGCAGGATCGGTCCATAACCAAGGGGTATTCGACATAAGGCTGTCGGCGGGTGCGACCAATACATCTCGAAGCCCCATACCACTTGGAGAAACAGGCGTGGAAGACACGTTGGGCATGCGTGGCGGTACATGCACAGTCTGGCCGCCATCAGCAGTGTTGACTGTCACTTCCGGTGACATTGCAACAATTATTTCAAGGGTGGAAGTAGAGCTCTCCTCTAGATCCTTCCGAGAAGCTGTCGGTGTAAGGGAAGGATGTAGTAGACTACTGGTGGGCATTTCTTGAGACTCCGGCGCAGGATTTACTTCAAGAACGTCCCACATCAAAGGTATACTCAGATGTATTTTGGCAGGCGCCCAGTCAAATTCAAGATTGTCCGAGCCAGAGGCGATGCGCGTCATTTTGTCGAGGGAACGGTCCTAATCAGGTCAGCTCACATTTGCTGCATGTTAAGGAATTTCAAAACATACCAAGGCTCCACATGCCGGAGAAAAAGAGACAAAGCTTTTCAAAAATCTCCGACATTTTGTAAAGTCCGCTTTCGACTTATGTTTTAATCTTGGATCCGCAGCACAGCAATAATACAGATGCACTGTCGCTGCAATTGCGGCCGCATGTCCAAAGAACGGGTCAATCAGTCGGAAGTTCTTGTCTGAAACCATGTCGATCATTCGAACAATCCAGGTAGCGTGCAACAGTACCTGTTCCGAAGATCGTCTCCAAAACGCATTGGGGATGGCGAGATTGGGGTTATGCTGCGACGCGACGATGTAAAGAAATGGATGGTTCAATACAGTGAGGATCGAATGGTAGGTAAACTGTAGCTTGAGCCAAGGCCCCCAGTAATCCCTCATAATTTCGAGTTCGTCTGCTTCGCGCTCATAAAATTTGACAGACTCGTATCGATGACATAGCGAAAGCTTATTCTCAATTTCCGTCAAGTCGGATAGTACCATGGAGTACATGGAATCGTGTCGCCAAGGTTCCTTGAGTCGATTCTGAGCACAGTCGGCAACGTATGCTCGTACGCGACTCCAAACCCAGTTGATGTGAGCTGCCAAATTCCAGATTCCGATGTCGCTGGATGTTGAGCACCCGATTTCATCATTGGGAAAGGGCGGATGCTTTGGGCCGGGTTCCTTAAGCAGTCCATCACTACACGTTGAAACATAGACTGGCCGTAGGATCTCGGTTGGAACACTGAGAAATCCGTTCTGCTGACCATATGTTTGCTCCAGTGATTGAAGGCTCCAGAAGAGCCTTTTCTTCCGCTCCGGCATGGGATCTTCGGCTGTATAAGCTGATTCAAAATCAAGCA